AAGACAAAATCAAATAATTAAAATACTTTAAATTTTCGTTCATTTTTCACTTTTAAATTAAAAAGAATTTCATATTTACAATCCCCTCATGAATCTCTATTCGAAAGACAAGATAAAAGGTCATCTTTCAGAATATGTATATATGTCCTAAATTTCAGTTATGTCTGAAGCGAAACCACGTGTATAATTACCACTTATTGAAAAACGGTAGGAATTTTTGTTACTATACAGTATTTTATTTTGACTTAAAGAAAAAAAGGAACTTAGTGGTCGCCTAGTATTTCCCTTGAGAATGGAAGTACTGGAGATGAGATTTCAGTGGGAAATTTAAAAATCTGGAATCTGTATAAATTTGAAATAACAACAACAAGAAACATGCTGATCAGCATCTGTTTCAATAGTTTCGTTTCAGCTTTTCGACAATCACCCACGTCATTTTAAAAGTTCGGTTTTCATATTTAAATTTTTTATGCTCACTTGAGACTCGCCCATGGGCGGGTACCCTTAAAAATCCCCTAGTGCCGATTATTCACGAGTCAGTGTAATATGACGAATCCACTAAAGATAATGATCTTTTTTTTTTCTTCTTAATAAGCCTTCGTAAGAACATCCGGGAAGGTTATTTGTTTTTAATTTTAAGAGGATCACCCCCACCAAACATACATACATACATACATACATACATACATTTATATATACAGTGCTGTTCGATAAAAGTAACTCACCTGATTTTTTTTTTACTAAATGTTCTCTTTTCCGATGAAACGAAAGTTGAGCTAAATTCAAAGGATAAGCGATCTAAAATCCGAAGAAGAAGCTTTGAAAGCTCTTTGAATTTAGCAGTAAGTACTGTCAAGCATCCGTTCAGTATAATTTTCTGGGGATGCTTTTCTTTTAATGGAACTTGTTTTTTAAAACCTACTGAAAAGACCCTCAGGAGCGAGCAGTACAAGAGAATTTTAGAGTCTTGTCTGCTCCTTTCTGCTGAAAGTGTGCAAATTGACCCCACCAAGCTCATTTTTATGCGGGATAATGCTCCCTGTCACAAATCAAAATTGATGAAGGAATACTTTGATGAGAAGCAGGTGAGTGTCATGACATGGCCGCCCCAATCTCCTGACCTCAACCCAGAGAAAAATTATGGAGCATTATAAAGTACAGGATCTCAAGAAAGCTGTTGAGCAACATGCTCCATAAGTTTTCTATATGGCAGTGAATGTTGGTCAATTTTCTCAAAGTGACTAGGAAACTTGAGGCAACATAAATGTGATTCTACAGACGGATGATGAGAATATCATGGACTGAACATATGAGTAACGTTGAAGTTTTAAGGACAATGGAAACTAAATAGAGGCTTATACTAAGAATCAGAAAAAGAGAATTAAAATTTCTAAGGTCCACGAGGAAGAAACGTGGCTTGGAGGATTTGATCCTCACAAGGCAAACTGAAGTCAGGAGGGTTGGAGAAGAAAGCAGTAAATAACCTTAGTAACGAGCTTGTGTAAATGTTTGGCAGCACAGGAATTAGGAGAAATACGTAAAAAAAAAACATTGCTAGAAGCTACAAATTATATTGAGAACCATAATGGCAATTGTACTGAAGGAACACAAGAAGAAGAAGAAGAAGAAGAAGAAGAAGAAGAAGAAGAAGAAGAAGAAGAAGAAGAAGAAGGGCAATAATAATAATAATAATAATAATAATAATAATAATAATAGTAAGAAGAAGAAGAAGAAGAATGGCAATAATAATAAGAAGAAGGGCAATAATAATAAGAAGGGCAATAATAATAAGAAGAAGGGCAAGAAGAAGAAGAAGAAGAAGATGGGCAATAATAATAATAATAATAAGAAGAAGAAGAAGAAGAATGGCAATAATAATAAGAAGAAGGGCAAGAAGAAGAAGAAGAAGAAGAAGAAGAAGAATGGCAATAATAATAAGGGAAAGAAGAAGAAGAAGAAGAAGAAGAAGAAGAAGAAGAGGAATGGCAATAATAATAATAAGAAGAAGAAGAAGAAAAAGAAGAAGTTGAAGAAGAAGAAGAAGAAGGGCAAGAAGAAGAAGAAGAAGAAGAAGAAGTCGACGACGACGACGACGATGACGATGACGACGACATTCAATGAAATACAAAACTGCCTGTTTTATTTCAAGAATCCTATCATCAGATAATGAAAGTTGCCGGTATAAAAATAATTGGAGAAAGACCTTATTACATTGTTCTTGTTAATTACACTTGATATATAAACTGACCGCTAGAAATGACTACAGCTAGCGTTTCAAAGATAATGTCAAAGACCAGGGGTGAGTTTTCAGTCCAAACAGAGAATTTATTTATAAATAATGAAAAAAAAAAAAGAGATCGTTATTTTATTTCTAAAATCCAAGAAAATGATACAGCTAAAAATTTGACACATGATATTTTTCGAGGATATTTTTTCTGCTAATGTGCCAATCTGTTTTCGATTTTCTGTACTGGTTGTGCTATTAGTCGATTGTCCTTCGTCACTTAAAAATTTAAAGACGAATTCACAAGGAAAATTGGTTACATATCAACTTACAGAAAGTCACGGTTTAAACATTATGCTCGTAATAGAAAAAGGCATTTTTCGACAAGATCGGCACTCGCAATAAAAAGTGGATTTATTAAGAAAATCCATAAGTATAAAAGTTTTATTTAACACAGCCGTCAACATTTCAATCTTCTTAAACCCAATGGGAAAAATGCTATTTCTCTGTTTGACAGGGTTTAACGTAATTATTTCGACTTGCTAGAAATTGAGTAGAGGGTTACTATTTAACGCTACAGCGATTTTCGTTTGAATGACGCATTTGAATGGGAAATACTTTTTATTGGCCAAAACGTCGACTACATTACGTCGATAACATTACTTTCTTGTAAATACGACATAGTATCATCATCATGTGTCACTTAACTACTTCAGTCGTCGTGGGGTGGATCTTAAAGGCAGAAGAAACATGCAACCTCCACTAGGATGATCTGTTGGCGATGGCTCTCAGGAGATCCGGCGTTGTCATGTCCGTCCACTCTTTAAAGTTATCTGATCAGCTCTTCCGTTGCCATGATCGCCTTGAAAAGGCTGTTATACCATGAGAAAACCATAACATCTTCCAATGCTTAATAGTGCTAAAGAAGAAATTCCTGTCGGTTGACGAGACTTTTGGTTTTGTGTTAATGTTATTGTCCACGAATATCCCTATCAAATTGGAAAATCTTACGAAATAGGAATTTGGGTTCTTCGTTAAATTTCGATTAAGAATCCAACACAAGTCTGTCGGTTCACGAGACTTTTGATTTTGTACTCCCAGTAGGAAATGCGGAGGTATTTTTCTCAAGCATTTGTTCTCGAACGCCTCTATCATTTTTCCTACATCAACCAGCAGTGTCGAAGTCTTACAACCGTAGAGGGGGATGGATATGACCAACAATTTGTAGAGCTTGAACTTGGTATGGAAGCTGATGTTAGTCTCCCATAATCCTTTCTAATCTGGTGATCGCTGCTCTCGCTGTGGCAATCCGTGTGCTGATTTCCGCGTTGCAGGCCCCATCTTTTGACATGGTTGCGCCCAAGTATTTAAAGTTGGATACTATATCCCATGGTTCCCCGTGCATGGTGACACGGACGCTGGCAATTCTTGTTCTATTCCCCGTTAATTTGGATTTCTCTCTGTTAAGTTTCTTTCCATACGCGCCGGCTCTTTCAACAATTTTATTAGTCAGCTTTTGCAGTGATCATGAACCTGGGATAAAAAGTACGAGATGAATTTACCTGACATTTAATGTTTACTTTATCGCTCATACTCATCTATTTAACACTCTTTTTCTGGAAAGCTGTTCCAAGATATTGGAAGACTTTTCGAAGAATTCCTCCAAACAAAACCGAAATCGTTTTTTAATAATTCAATAATCATTGTTGGACTAAGGCTATTAAAAATCAGGGAAATACTGTATAGTTGAATATTGGTGATCAAAATATATAGATATGTGTTTATTTGCTTGTATGTGTAAAATTTCAAGCGTACTATTTTTTCAATCGGAAATCAAAATCATTGGTATGCCGCCGGAAATATTGCGCCAAAACCAATTCTTATAATAATTCCCTAAATCTAATTTTTATTTTTCTGTTCGTCTGACAGAGAATTACTCAGGAGTATGGCCGCCACATCTTATGTAATGGCTGACTGACACTAGTTTTTCAAAATGCCAATGTTTTAGCTATGTAAGTGTTAGGTTGTTCGAAAAGTAATTATGTTTTTAATCTCTATGAATTGTGTGTCAACCAACCAAGGCAGAATCATCGTTGAATGCTAAGAAAATGCATTTATCATCTCTTCTCATCAGATTCAGATTTTAAGTCCCCGGGGTGATTATAACTTTATGAAACAACAGATTAGACATTGCTTACTGTATTCATTACAAAATGGTAATACTAACTCAAAGGCATTTAAAAACATTCATGCTGTGTATACGAATGCAATAAAGATTTGTAAATTCCAGTTGTTTAATTGTCCACGAATATTCCTATCTCCCTCTCTCTCTCTCTCTCTCTCTATATATATATATATATATATATATATATATATGTGTATATGTGTGTGTGTGTGCGTGTGCGTGTGTGTGTGTGTGTGCGTGTGTGTAAAGTTGCTATATTCATGGTGAAATGGTGGCAGGATGATTTGAATCTACCACATTTCCTACGTATTCCTTTGATAAGAAGGATTTTTTCTTGTCAACACCTTCGCTAGAAACGCCTACCGCGACCTGCAGCTACGAATACTTCAATCCTCGCCTCTTCAAGTGAATTGCCAATCGTTATCTATCCTCCATGTCCTTATAATTTTTACTTTACCCGTTTGCGTTCATATCACCCACAGCATTCTGTGAGCTTCTACCTTGAGTGGCACTTTAGCTTTCTATTGGGTGAAGTTAAGTTCAAAATATATTGATACTTTGTGGACATTCAAATGCACACTGCTGATTTCTATGTTCACATTATCTATCTATCTATCTATCTATCTATCTATCTATCTATCTATCTATCTATCTATCTATATATATATATATATATATATATATATATTAGATCAATGTTAATATGACGCAACATAATTATTTTTTTAGTATGTATAGTGGAAACATTATCTAGGGAAGGACGACTTTGAGATTAAATATGAATTTTAGATTCTCCTTCTTATATGTCGCGTATCTCTTCAGGATTTTGGATATCAAAGCTCTCGATAATTTCCTGCCCTTTGTAGCTCTCAATAAATGTTGTATTATCTTTCTTAAACTTTGTCTTACCTTCAATCTGTCCTGTGAGTATCAGTCGTCTTTCCTGCACTAAGAATCATAGAAATTTCATCTTTCTGTTCCTGATGTTAAATCTATGTGTCTTCTTGGCTTACATTTTCTCTAAATGTCCATTATTGCTAATAATTTTTGTCTATGGCATTCTCACTAACATTCTGTAGAACCACAATTTTGTTGCTTCACGTCTCTTCTTCATCTGCGAGGAGATTGTCTAGCATTCACTAGCACACAGGAGAACTGATGTTACATAACAGTACAGTATTTTTTCTTTGTTTCTAACGAATGTAATCCAAAATTTGCTTTGTAAATTTGCATGTGTGTTATAATCCAGTCAATAATCTACTATGTAAGAATATTTTGGGCACTTATTTCATATAGTAACCAGCAGAATATTCAAAATAATTTGATTTTTTTTAAATACTTATATTTTATTCTTTTCTTTACCGTTCTAATTTTCTTTTTCTAGGGTTTGTTGGGACCTAAAGGTGAGCCAGGTCTGGATGCAATAGACGGAAAACCGGGACCTGTTGGCCCGCTGGGCGAAAAAGGCGAAAGAGGTATTGATGGGAAGCCTGGACCAAGAGGACAAGCAGGAGCACGGGTCTGTATTTTTACATACAAAAAATTATTTAATAAAAAAACCCCGACATATTTCGAATAATAAGGATTTTTAGAAGGAAATCGATATCAGTGGTTTATAAGACACTGAATATAACATCATACGAATTCATATGAAACATGTACATAGTAATAAAAAATAGTCAATGATGGTTGATAATGCTTCATGTGATACAAATCCAAACATTACGAAAAGAAATTATTAATCCTAACTCTATAAATCTAATAAAGAGAGCAAATAAAATTATGATTAAAGAAACAGAAATCAAAAATTGATAATGGTTTGATAATATTTCATCAATTATAATTTAAAGAAAATATTACTCCTTATACTATTAATATAATAAAAAAATAGCTATTAACTATAAGCTGAATGGAGATGTGCCTTTCAAGAGATGAACAAAAGAGAAAGCCGAAAAAGACAAAATGAATTGAGGACATTACTATAAATACTTTGGATTTTCAGCTCGGACATCGGAATTGATTTTGCAATGGAGAAAGGTGCAATGCTGGAATCGAAGAAAAGGAAAAATAGAAACCATAGAAAGGAGTGAGAATTTAATGCTACATACGATTTCCTGTAATCGGGATATTGGAATTAAGTACAGAGATATTCAGTAGTAGTGATGCACAAAAGAAAACGAGGAAGAAAAATATAACTGAAGACTTTAGAACACACGAGCAGGATTTACAACCAAGCCATGGGTACTGAGAAGGAAAATGGAAAAATAACAACAACGAAAATAAATGACTTTATACAAATAGCCAGCATTACATCCAGGTTATCTGAATTTACTTTGGGATGGAGGACCAATGGCACAATAGTGAAAATCTACAAAGGAAAGTGAGAAATAATAAAACGTACCGACGACTTTAGTATAGATGACCAGGATTTTCAGCCAAGACATGGGAATTGATTTCAGAATGCAAAAATCTGAAATTCTGAAAATACGGAAATTAAACTAACTTAAATATTTAAATATGCAAACATTTAATTCTGAGAGCCCGTAATAATAGAAATATTCCAAGTCTCTTGACAACTGTTTCAAATTAAACGTACACCTTACATGACAGAGTGTAACGATTTCTCATCTGTAATCCGACTTTCAAATGACAAATTATTCTTTTTCTTAATACTTTCGTTGAAGTTTCGTAAGCATTTTATCTTATTCAAGTGAATGCCCTTGTCTTTGTTGTCTATTTTTATCACTATCTTTCGACCGAGGTTTGTCTGGGGAAAGGTCAGAGCGTACAGTATCTGAAAAGTTGAGATAAATATATAAAAAAAAAATTCTGTCGAACATTTGTCCTAATGAAAAAGTATAAAATAATATATACATTTCACTCGTTACAGGGACCGATTGGACCCGCTGGAGCGACCGGAGCTGATGGCGCCCCCGTAAGTTTTCTTCATTTATTGACTGCATGAAACATTTATCTTATAAAATTTTATTTCATTATCGAGATTATTATGATAATCCACAGATTCTCATTCTCTCTCTCTCTCTCTCTGTCTCTCTCTCTCTCTCTCTATCTATATATATATATATATATATATATATATATATATATATATATATATATATATATATATATATATATATATATATATATATATTCAAAGAATAAATCAATAAAATTAATTTAATTAATGGAGAATTCACTTCCTAGCAGATTAAATAAGACATTTACACACTGACCACTCGCTGAACGACACGATCCTTGTTTTTATTAATTTTTAGAGTTGAGTAGATGTTCGGTCCATATTGCAAATACTATTTGTAAAACATTTACTATCCTCACATAGATGTTATTTTTTTTCTTAATCTCAGGTAATTTCAAGGTAAAATTCAATACGAAAATGAATGTGATACTTGTCGAGAAATGATTATTATTATTATTAAGCTGCATTATTTAATATATATATATATATATATATATATATATATATATATATATATATATATATGGAGAGGGAATATACGTATGACAGAAACACAAAAAAATGGAAATAGATCTAAGTACACACAGGAGTCATTAAAAGATAAGAATATAGATATTTTTTCATCCTTTCTCGGACCAGTCTTAATTGTTTTATTACCCTTCACGCAGAATTCTTTCACTGCCAGTTCAAGAAAGCCATTTGGGTCACTAACACACAAAAATAGAATATCTAATATCGAGAATAATTAACATCGAAAAACATAAGAAAAACTAATTCCTTTGTATAATATGTGGAAGACGGTCACGAGACCGGAAAAACGTGTAGCAACGTTATGGAAAATAAAGCATAATATATATTTTTTTTTAAATTCACATTACAACCAAAAACGTTTGAGGTTTCTCTCTTCTTTTTTATTATACGTACTTTTCTCTCGTTGGAACTAATATAACCTCTTCCTTTTTTATATATATATATATATATATATATATATATATATATATATATATATATATATTCTTTTGTAGTTCACTGCTACCAGCAAGCAGAAATTTTTTCTCTTGATGATGGCCATGTTGGAAACATAGTCGAGGAATCTAACTGAAATAATAAGAACGAAAGAATATTAATATACAGCCCAGTGTTTCTGAAGATTTTAATTTTTAATATTTTTTATTGTTCAATATATATATATATATATATATATATATATATATATATATATATATATATTAATATTTTATTGTTCAATATATATATATATATATATATATATATATATATAATTTAAAAGCAATGTCAGTAGTTACCTTCTTGATTGCTTTTCTATTCTTCTCGCTCCTCAGTGATGCTTGTGTTTTTAAATTCTTTCACAACCATCACCCCCTTTTTTGTCTTACTGGCTTGACTGCCTTGCATGTGGTGATGTTCTACTCATCATTATTCTTTCTTTCTTCACTTGCAGGGAGAAGCTGGACCAAGAGGTCAACAAGGAAAGACTGGACCTGTTGGACCCGAGGGTATCAGTGGAAAAAAAGGTGACCAAGGTTTAGCCGGCCCTCAGGGACCTCGAGGAGTAATGGGTCCACCCGTAAGTGTTTATAAATATACATTTTTTTTTTTATTATAGGCGTTTAAAGTGACAAGGGTGAAGGTAATTGCATTTCCTCTTCGGAAATTATTGAGTTTTCACACAGGAAATAAATCTCTTTTCAAATGTAACAGAAGTCAATTGAAAAAAAAGTGAACTTTTCAAAAACATGTAGTCGATGTCAAAGGTTTTTTTTTTTTGCTGCTTTCAGGTTTCAAAAATCACCCCAAAATTAGAGGTTGCCAGCCCTTTTCAAAACTAATTTACTTGCTCAATCCTCGTCCTGCATATGACAATAAACTACATCTGGTAAAAAGGCTTCTCATCGGGAGATTGGAGGTTTCGAGGAACGTGGAACCACCTATTCATCGCTGTTGCTCCCAGGCTCACCCTTACCCGGGGGTGGTAGCACCTGTTAGGGTCCCAGCTATGGGCAAATTGTGAACTCTCAAATAAAATCAATACATTTTTATAGCAAAATCACAATCGATGCAACAGTAATCATACTTATTATAAAACCCAGGTTGTGTGTGTGTGTGTGTCTGTGTGTGTGTGTGTGTCTGTACGTTTATATATTGGATCGGATTTCCTACATTTTTCAACCGATTTCAACAAAACTTTACAGGACAACGTAAAATTACCTTGCAGTGGTTCTGACAACGCCCAAAATTGGAAAAAAAAATTGTTTTTGCACAAAATCAATTTGAAAACACGATTAAGAGGCATCGCGTGAATGAAAGGGGGACAACTCATATCGAGTTATACTTATTATTAAACCCAGGTTGTGTGTGTGTGTGTGTGTGTGTGTGTGTGTGTGTGTGTGTTCGTTTATATATGGGATCGGATTTCCTACATTTTTCAACCGATTTCAACAAAACTTCACTTTTTTTTGGCAGGTAGTGTTTCTTATTGTCTTGCACACTTTTTTCTTTATTTTTACATTCAGAATGCTTTTAAAATTCCATTTACAAGACAATTGTTTATAATAAAATTCTATTCAATCGGTAGACTCATAAAGATTGAAAACAATGTTTTTGTTTGTGTTTGGGTTTGACCAATTCGTAAAAAAAAAGAAAAAAACTAATTAAGACATGCGTGTCCGTCAACCTTAAACAATAATCTTTGTCAATTTTATTTTTCAGCCTTTATGATGGTCGATACTTGATTTATCTCATACTGTTACATCCCCGAGCAACGCCGGGCTCTACTGCTAGTAAAATATAAAAATACATTTTTATAATAAAATTACCAACAATACATTTTATGCTCTATAAAATATATATCTAAAAAACATATCTTTACTCGAAAGGTATAAAATTATGTAAAAAAAAATATATATTCAGTTGAAGACATAAAATTGTATACAAAATATTTAGATTTCGGCATTACGTAACCCATAGAGATGTTGAAACAAAATTAAACAAGCAAATCAAATTAGCTCGCTTCGCGTTGGGATGATTTTATTTATAGTTATAGTCACTCAATACAAAGCCCATTAGTGATTCAAGGTAGGGGATTACTGAATGTTATTACTATATGAGCGAGATGAAGGAAACAAGAAGTGCACTTGATGAGGTTAAGGAGGAGATATAACGGTTAACTTGATTTGAAGAGTTTAAAATTGTAGTTATCGGGAAAGCATCCTCTCCGGAGTCTTTTCCACAATGTAGCAGTTTGTTGTCCGAGTGGAAATTCCTTCTTGCTAATAGATTACGAAGAGAATGAAGATTCGTCCTAATGTACCTGGCATGGCAGGTCTTATCAGCGTAGGTCAGGATTGGTGTAACTAAGTGAGACGATGAAAATGGCGATGGAGTAGCGAGAAGCTTGCGATGTTTCGTCTGTGGGAAAAGGGGTTGTCTGGTGGAAAATAATCCATCCCCCACATGCTGCGTAGACGCTTTTGAACCCTATCAAGACAGGTCAATGAGGACTGGGCAGCTACAGACCAGATAGAACAGTCCATTTTTGATTTGATCTGGCTCTTGTAAATATAAAGCAGGAGTTAAATACTTACTAGAACAAAACAAGGGACCTGGCAATTTTACCAAGATCTCTAGCGATGGATCATATATATGTTCTGCTTGAGAAACGGTGATCTTTAGTCCCATGAGGCATTCAGGGCAAACATCCATTAAGATAGGTTAAAATTCAGGGTTTGCTAGGTGATGATGGAACGTTAGTAGTTTGTTTTTGTCTTTAGTGACTATAATCAAACAATTTTTTCTACATTTAGCTACCAGAACTGAGTCAGAAGAGAGATCAGCAACCAGGTTCTGCTAATTTAAATTCTTCCAAAAGTCTTTTAACATATATCTAATAATAATAATAATAATAATAATAACGAAATAAACCCATTTCTTTACAAAGTTTCCTTAAAATTTTAAACTTTTTACTTAATCTATCCTGTTGGCTAACGGTAATCATAGCGCTTGCGAATTTCTAAATTTAGCTAACTCCCTCACTCAAAGATTGGACGCCATTTACGAATGGATTTAATAGTTTAAACATCCTAGCTTATTAGGAGTTAATTAAACCAAAGAAGATAAGAGATTTACTAATTATTAAATCAAGATAGTAGTCACAATCTTATGGCCTATAGTGTACAAGTTTTGACAATTTACTTTACGTAAATTTATTTTACGTGAAAACACAATTGCTTTGCTGATGACTATAACCTTCAAAGTATTTTCTTTATGAAGCAATACATTCCCTGAGATAATGGTACTCTTGCTGGAGTCATGATTGGAAATCATTTTCGGGAATAACTTTCAGTAATATAGCCACATGGATTTAATGGATTTCAGCAACTGATTCCTTTTAGGGCATTATTCAATAATAATATAGAAATTTGTTATGGAAATAACAAAGAATCATAAATATGTTTGTTGAATATGAAGAATAAATAATTTTTGTAAAAGATTTCTCAGCCACGAGTTCACATTACTATCCATCAATAAAAAAAATCTAATTCTTGTCGCAATAAATTGGTATTTTGGAGGAAAATAATTGTCATTGTGTGGAATTGATTGCTTTTCTACTTTTAAAGTTTTTTTTTTTTTTTTTTGAGAGAGAGAGAGAGAGAGAGAGAGAATTTGATACATGAGAAAATACAGTCTAGGATTGAGATTTAGGAAATAAGAAGAGAGAGGAAGAAAACTACATAGAATGTGAGAGAAGAAAAAGAAAGAGAGAAATGAAAATGTATTAAGATTTAAGAAGGGGCGTGATAGAATGAATGACAAGAAAGGAAAGGCAAGGCAAAGCACATGATAAAATATGACGGGATTCTGAAAGGTTAACGTCCCGACAAAGAACAGGCTTTAAAAATTTGTAATGTTTGGTTAGATTTTTGGAATTGGGTAGAACTGAGAACTTTTCATAACAATTGCCCGAAAGAGAAAGAAAGAAAGAAAGAAAAGAAAGAAAGAAAAAATGAAAGAAAGAAAGAAAGAAAAGAAAGAAAGAAAGAAAGAAAGAAAGAAGGAAAGAAAGAAGGAAGTAAAGAAAGAAAGACATAGGAGAATAAGATCGTGAGAAATTAGAGAGATAGAGAGAGAGAGAGAGAAGGGAGAGGTGAATGATAAATTAACTCGAAAGAGAGCGGAAGAGAGAGAGAGAGAGAGAGAATTTGTGAGAGATGGAGTGAAACAAGAAAAGGGATATATCGATGAAAAGAGAGGAGAACAAAAGGAATAAATACTCGAGAAGAGTGAGATCGATTGGGTGATTGATTTTCGTAAATATTAATCAAACCATTATTTATTGTCAATAACACATAATATAATTTTCTTTTTTCTTTCCACAGGGATTGGCTGGACCAAGTGGACGCGATGGCCGAAACGGAAAACCAGTAAGATTTAAAACATTGTCCAATTTCTTTTCATCATTATTCTCAAGAAACCTACTTAATATGGGACATTCCCTGATTTTTGCGTTTACTCCTAAGACACCACAAATAATTCTGAATCAAATTCCATGAAAAATTGAGTTATAAATAAATATTCATAAAAGATAGTAGCAAAAAAGTGGATTAAATACGAGACTTGACCAATGTATTTTTTTTTATTTATTAACCAACATTGCACCCATAAAACTACAAGATTATTTATGTATAGAACGGCACGTCTGTATTCGATCAGCAAGCCTTTACTTGTTCCTCTGGCTTGTGTGCTGGTGATTTAAATTTAATATTAGACTCAATCCCTAGGGTGCCATTCCTCCACACAGTACTTCTTCTATGGAAGGGGTCTGAGTATATTACCCGGCGCCAAAACCGAAAGTGCCGAGGTGGATGCTTGGACAAGTTTTCAGTGGCTGTTGAAATATCATATTAAAATCGATATTGTGCCACATTTAATACGACGTGGGTATACAATTAAATAACCCAGGCCTTCGATATTGGATGAAATTGCTATCTTAAGGTTGTGTTGGGAAGCTTGGTTTATTGGCTTCTAACACTGCGGCAACACAATCTTCACTGCACTAAAGAGAGAAGATAGCAACGACAGCCTGATAATAGTCACAGAGATTGGCCAATTTTTGTTGTATGTCACCACATATTAATCCAAGCTTGTGTCATTCTGCGACCGCGGGGAGGTGGCAGTCATGGGAAAACTACAATCCGTTTGGTCTTTCTAATGCAACGCTTAACTTCATAAGCAAAATAATAGTTCTTAAAATTTTATTTTGTTCCTTCCCACTTGTTCACTCACACATTCTCTCATACATAACCACATCAAAGAGAATTGTACATTGTTTTTCGAATTTTGTAAATTTTCGGAGAAACCAACTTTGCCAGCATTTTAAACCATTGATGATTTTCACTAAGTTTATACGTGTAAACATTATTTTTTGCTTTCAAATGAATAAATTAGAAATAAATCCCACGCAGTGACATGTGATAATCACGCTGTCATCAGTGATAATTACATACGGAGACTTCAATATTTTAATTATAAAAATCTTTTCTAAAATAAACAACTTTTCTAGCATTTCTAAGGAATATGCTTACACATATTTTCTTCTGTAGTGAAAGTAGCCGAGGACCTGCTACGAAAAATGGCCTTGAATCTTTTAAGTAGTGTGGCCGGCCTTGTGAATAGCCTACATTGTGATGATCCCACTGCAGTAAAATGGTTGCTCATGCCTAAACTAGGGTTTCAATACACCTTTACCCGACATTTGTGCTTGCAACAATGTGTAGTAACCATCCTGTCTTCTTCATAAAGGTGTGAGGGAAGCCTGCTCTCAAGGATTCCATCTTGGCGACAGCACCTTCCTCATTACACTAAAGAAGGTTGGTTGGTGGATAGAGACATCAGCCGGAGAGTGGTCGTGAGGAATGGACAATTTTTGTCCTTCGTCTATATATCTGTATATTGGCACTTGATTTTTCCTCGCATCACCTTCCACTGTGTCAGCTCTCAAATACTCGTCCTTCCATATAGGGAATAATGTCAGCTCTCAAATACTCGTCCTTCCACATAGGACCAAAGTCTAGTGTTATCCTTTTGGGCAGTTCACGATTCTCTAATGACTAATGCCTAGTCTCGGGGGTTCTGCATCTGCGGCAAAACCTCCCTAATTGCTTTAACGTTGGAGTTTGGTTTATACTAACACCAGCAAGGCAGCGATTGTTCGAACAGGGAAAATCTTTACCTTTTCTCTATAAACAGGAGTATACGGAGAGGTGATTCTGAGAGAATTAGAAGTTCTACCAGGATTTATTATTAGCGGCCACAATCTTAAGAACATAAGGTATGCAGATGAGACACTGTCGATAGCAGACACAGAAAGAAAGTTATAAAAACTCCTACAGTTGGTAGTAAAGTACAACGAGAAGAAAAGCTTAAACATCAACTGCAAGAAGAAAGAATGCATTGTTGTTAGAAAAAGGATGAACCCAAAGTGCGAATTTCCAGTCGGATATACCAAAATCAAAGAAGCGATGAAATTTAAATATCTGGGAAGTGTTTTAACAGAGAACGGAAAGAGTGACACTAAAATCCGAAGGCACATTGCGATAGCCAAAGATACATTCCAAAATCTAAGCAGTGTACTAAAAATTAGAAAAACTTCGCTAGAATCAAGGAAAAGAATACTGAACTGTTGCTTGATATCTGTTCCCTTTTATAGTAGTGAATGCTAGACGATTTCTTCAAAGATTAAGAAGAGACTTGAACCAAAAGAAATGTGGTACTACAGAAGGATGCTGAGGATGACATGGACAGAGGAAAGCAGCCCGTAACATACTTTATGGGCTTGAGTAAATGGATGGTAGAACAGGATTTGTGAGAAATAACGAAAAGACAAAACTTATTAAGAGCTAAAAGGGAGAGGAAGATATGGAGGGCCATGATCACCTACGCCCTGAAAGGACATGGCACATGAAGAGGCACAATGTACATAAGTAAAGTTATCGTTTGTCAATATATTTAAAATGCATTACCGAATTATTACGTAATATCACTCCTATATGGTAGTGAATGCTTGGCAACTTGAAGCAACACCGAATATGTGAGCAACGACAAATTTTTTTTAGAGAAAATAGAAACATAAAGGAGACTTATACCTAACACCAGGAAGAGACAGTTGAGCTTTCTGGGCATATAAAGAGGAACGTGGGTTTGGAAAATCTGATACTCACGGGGCAGATAGAGTGCAAGAGGGAGTAGAGGACAACAACGCATAACAAACTTAATGAAGAGTAAATGGATGGCGGAACAGAGTTTCGTAGAAATAACAGAAAGACAAAGTTTATATAAAAGCTACAAAGTACAGGGAAGATGTAGAGAGACATGAACGCCTACATCCTGAAGGGGTGTACGTCACATAAAGAAGAAGATGGGCACCTCATTAAATCGATCACGTGTCACATCCTATGACTATACGCCGAGATTCTGTGTTATATCTGCGCACCAACTGCGTATTTACAAGTTATTTTTACTGAGCAGAACACGGTTCTATAGCATCACATTTCAAATAGAAACCTCAATTAAATTTTCCATAAGTAGGATTCGAACCTAGATTTCATGGTCGGAGTGCTAAAGTTCGAACCCTTTGTCTAAATGAACAATACAGAAGTGCGTATATTTGTTATGTTATATTATTTGTGTTTTAAACAATCTGTAAAAAATTCTGATTGGTTCAGTATTTCAAATATTATCATCATCGCTACCGTGTTATTATACATCGATTTTGCACTTAAAAATATAGACTAGTTCTATATTTTTTCTCCAATCATTCTCATAAAAACAATATTTTCTGTGAGTTGTATATTTCAGTGCAGCACGAATCTTCTTATAGATAAACCTATGCTTAGCATAAACATCTTGCAAAAATTGTCTGCCATACACTGGCAGCATAAAAAGTTACGATGAAAAGTAACTATAATTACAACGAAATAAATATTAGTCCAGAATTATTAATGGTTGATTTTGCTTCTTTATCCATAGGGAAAAGACGGAAAACCTGGAATACAAGGACCCATTGGAAAACCAGGATGTAAAGGAGATCGGGTAAGTTGAACAAACAGAATTCTCTGTAAATTCGTGACAATTGACGATCTGTTTATACTGCAATCTGATTGGTTGATAATGATCACGTGATCACGGACAGAAATTTTTGCGCCAAAAATTGATAACCATAAAATTTTGTTGTCAAAATCGGGAGTGTCAATGAGTGTCGCTAATGATAAAAAGTGTTATTTATTTAATTGGACTTCGTGACAATCCCGAAAAGTTCAATGTACAAGGTGCACAAGAATTTTATTTGTGTGTGTGTAACTGCAGGCATAGCGGTTAATCGCTTTATATATATATATATATATATATATATATATATATATATATATATATATATATTAAATAAAAACAGACCACTTTAACGTTCCATGTAATAAATCATTTCACCACAGCCCTTTTAAAGGACTGCGGATCATCAGACTTTACTTCCAAAGGTTGAAACAAAAACTTAAATTATTTGCTCTGGATTTACATCGAGCTCTCTGGATTTTATCCTCCTTGGGTTTACCCCTACGAATTACCTAGTTTTTCATAAACTATATATATATATATATATATATATATATATATATACAGAATCTTAAAAAATATACAAAACCCAGGAATGGAAAAACTTGTATTGATATTGAAATACTAAATTTATTCAGATATCATTTTTGAGATTCAGACATTCAGAACTTAATACGACATACCTTTGGACTCTATTAGAAATGCTCAAAATGGTAGCATTTATCTTCCAAACATTTATTAATACGGCTTGGGCAACGTTGGCCAAAGTGTCCTATGGGATTGTTGTACATGCATTATCAATTTCTTGTCTAAGGGCCGCCAATGTAATTCCATATGTCGAGAAAATATCATACCACAGTGTCATCGTAATTTGGTAAAACTACAAAAGACAAGATTTTTTTTTTCAGGAAGTATGTATTGACTTTTTGTCTGAAATCAGCCTCATATATTGAGGCGGGGGGAATAAATTACATCAATAAACGGTTACATTTTTACAAAAGAACTTCCTTCTTGAGAGGGAATTATTCGTCTATTTGGAAAAAAGTCGATCATTAAAATTAATCGGCACAAATTATCCGTTGTCTTTAATGATATTCGCCTCAAATAATATTTTATGTCTAAATACACATTAAATATATATATATATATATAATGTGTATGCGCGCTCACGCGTGTATCTGTGTGTGTGTGTGTGTAAAATCTTTAAATTTCCTGTCTTAAATGTAAGTGATCATGTCTTTTCAGAGATTCCTTTCTTTTTACTTATCTATGAATAAACCTGACTTCATGGGAAAATAGACGAAATAGTTTACCGTTGCCGCAGCACAAACACGCACACACAAACAGACGCGCACGCACGCACACACACACACATATATATATATATATATATATATATATATATATATATATATATATATATATATATATATATATATATATTTCTACTATTAGATTCTCAGCATTCTCCTGTTTGTTTTTCTACTCATAAAGATTCACCAATTGTAGACATTGTGATATCAAACCTTCTTCATGTTTTTATCTCTGTCCGTACTCGAAACTGAAATGTTTAGCGAGTACCAAGGTCGAAGAGTACAACAGCCGAAATATATAGAAACTTTTTCTTTAAATTTCATTTGATTTGGGCCGAGGATCTTGTGAGTATTAGTGTGAATGAATGAATTTGTATATGAGGGTATGTGCGCTTGTGTAAGAAAATATCTGTATGTGCGTGCATCAGTTTGTGAGTGTGTATGGGACGCATGCTTCCGTGCACAGCCTTTGTTGTGTTTGAGTGCACACACTCGTCTATGCACATGCAATTGCATTCAATGAAAAGACAAAATTGATGCAAAAAGAATGGAATACAGACGAGTTCACAGGTTTGAAAATCATCCGATAATTCAACTGTGCTGTTGTATATTCATTTCGTATGATTTGCATTTCGTATTATTCCGGCCATTTCTTTAATATTGGGATATACAGTACACCGGAGTGAAAGGGCGTGTACATGAATGGCGACTGGAGGTGAGTTGAAAGATGCAACGATGTTAACTCTTAATTGTTTTCTGCAGGGAGAACCCGGAGAACTTGGATTGCCAGGATTGAAGGTAAGACATTGCTTTGGATATTCCTGAAACTTGATATACCTGAAATAATCTATCTGTTGTCCTCTTGATTACTCTTTCCTCTTCCCGATCTTTATTAATATTTCTGTTCCTAATTCTTCCACATCCTGTAACCCCTTGTGTCTTATTGGCTTTACTGCCCTGGATGGGATAAAAATATTTAAAAAAATATCTATCTATCTATATTTCTCTTTCTGTCCCTCTCTCTTTCCATATATATATATATATATATATATATATATATATATATATAGAAAAAGTTTCAAATTAAAAAATTATAATGTTTTATTTTATGAAAGTATTTATTTATTTATATATATTTTATTTCAAATTGTTAATTTTGATGAAAAATTGAGGACAATTTGTTTATCAAATATATAAATAAATAAATAAATTTTTCATAAAATAAAACATTATAATTTTTAATTTGAAACTTTTTCTATATATACATATTAATATTAAAAGTATACGTGGCATTCTCTATATTATATATATATATATATATATATATATATATATATATATATATATATATATATATATATGGTATATATATCAGTTTACTCCTATCTACATATTTCTTTATATTCCTCACGCTTTCTCTCTCTTTCACTATTTTTCTATTTATATCTCATTCTATTCCATTCCAATCCTCGCTTTTTGTTGATATCTATCTATCTATCTATCTATCTATCTATCTATCTATCTATCTATCTATCTATCTATCTATCTATTCGATCCTGTCAAGCGCCTAATCATTCAATGAACAGATGGACTAGTCCGGCTTGTTTTCTTGCCATCAATCCATATCAGGCATTGAATGAGAGTTACAAATTTTAAGCTGCCTTGAAAAAGACGAATTTGAACTCGTCGCACCACAGTGGTAGCGATCTGAGATATCAGCCTGCTAACCACTGTCTAAGATTGTTCAAGTAAATTACTTACGTGGCATGCAGCGAGGTTCGAGTCCACTATAGTAGCAATATTCTGCAACACGAGATTAGCCTATAAAATACACCTAAACTAGACTTTGAAGAATTCCACCGGTGATTTGCTTTGTATGGCACACCGGTTACAATATCAAGTGTTGATAATTAGTCACCTATCTAATTAGTAATCAACGTTGCCACCCCCTAATTCGGATATGGATATTTAATAATTATCAGTTTAAGAAAAAAATTGCTTTATTATCCCTGTTGAATTTATCTTAATATGTCAGCAGAAAAATTGTTACAAAATCAAAAGGATCAGAAAATACTGCGGCGTGACTAACGCTAAATATGAAAAGATTCGAACCCTTGGCGGGACTAACATTAAATAAGAAAAAAAGTATCCCTTGACGGAACTAACCCTAAATAAGAAAAAAGTGACCCTCGACGGGTTTAATGTTGAATATGAAAAAAGTGACCCTCGACGGGTTTAATGTTAAATATGAAAAATTGGCCCTTAACTGGACTAACGCTAAATAAGAAAACAATAGCCCTCGGTGTGGCAAACGCTAAGAAAAAAGTGGTTAACGCTATATAAGAAAAAAGTGGCACTCGATGGGGTTAACGCTAATTAAGAAAAAAGTGGTCTTTCACGGGACTAACGTTAAATAAGAAAAAGTATCCCTAACGCTAAATAAGAAAAAAAGTGTTCCTCGATTAGTTTAACCCTAAATGAGAAAAGCCCAAGCCAAAGGAGATTAACATATATAACGAACAAAGTACTAAGGGAGATAATAATTACAAGATGAGATCCTCTTAAGGGAAGTAATGTATAGTTATTTTCCAAGCGTAGCTTACGTGGCACCTGGCTAAAAAGTATGGGTTATCCAGTGAGGATCGAAATCACTACTCAGTTGCAATTGTTCTAACGAGACAATCTTGCTAACAATTACACCACTTCGAGGTGTCCAAACAAAGTAATATATATGACATCTACATTTTATCTCTTCAGTTGGTAGAAATTGAAATTAGTCTAACATTCAAAATCATTGATTAACTGTCTTTATCTTCTTTTTTTAGGGAGAACCTGGACTTGTAAACTTGACTCTAACTGAGGATGAACTCGTTGACATTTTTATCAAATTTCCGGTAAGTTTGCTTGTTTCTACATTACTAAGGAAGTATTTTTGTAATCATTTAAATAACATACACGCTCGGGTATAATCCAAATTTTGAGTCATCCTAACATGAATTCAAATCATTCATCGTTTAAATAACATGAATATATAAACATATGAAGAGAGAAAGGAGATCACCGTCCCCTGTGGGATCATGTTGAGATCATAGACAGGGAACACCATTGGAAAATTCGAAAATTTAAGGAATCCGCACATATGCTAGGCCACAAAAATCTCCTGAGCCGACCAAGCATAGAAATAAATACAATATTGGAACCAGTAATAAGGAGTGCCAGAGAAAAGCAATGATAACAAAGTTGCAATATGAACTCTGGTAAAGACAATCATGAATATATGTTAATCCCAGCATTTAATCTGATAATCTCTCAATATTTGTATTTTCGTAAGTCACCATCCAAAAACACATCCTTGATAATGGCTAAAGAAATAACTGAAAGCACTCGGAGCAATTATAACTATCGACAATTCGTATAAAGATTGTCGGGCGTTTTTGAATTAAAGATGCATGCATATATATATATATATATATATATATATATATATATATATATATATATATATATATATATATATATATATATATATATATTTATATATATATAAAGCTTTAATTTTAACCATTGGAAATTAAAAGCTCATGATCATTATACAGACATTCATTGTGAATATTAAATAATACATGTTTCATATATATATATATATATATTCATTATATATATATATATATATATATATGTGTGTGTGTGTGTGTGTGTGTGTGTGTGTGTGTATATATATATATATATATATATATATATATATAAATATATATATAAAAACTTGTGGGAGTCAATGTAACATTAATGGATTCCGCGGGAGTCCATTTTAAAATTATTTATTATGAATTCTTTTACTAGTGTACATAAATGTTTCATAGAATTTAGTTGTTAAATATAAGTTTATTTTTATTAAATTAGTTTTACTTCAAAATAAACCATATACATTTAATATTTCTATAATAAACTTAGCAAAAAAAAAGAAATCTTTTTCGTCCAATGGTTATTTTGATCCACAAAAAAAAAAATAATAATAAAGAGTAAAAATGTTCCATGGGTAAAAAAGCTTGAGAACCATTGATTTAGCCAGAGCGAAAACGCTTCATAACGTCAAATCGAAACAAAGCACAGCCGGTGTCTTTACACGATATTTACGTTCTAACAGTCTTCAAACGACTTGAAGGCAACTGAAAGAAGGTAGCGATCTAGCATTATATGCCTATGATCATAACACATCTAGGCTAATGCATCACAGGAAAAAAAAATATTTAAAAACCCGTGGATATTGCCCCCGACTATCTCTGTATATACAGGGTGAGGCAAATATTACGCACCATACGGGTTAATTAATTAATCATATATCAAATATCTAATTGGTTTTGATAGATCCTGTTGAGTGGCCACCGAACTCACCAAATCCTATACACTTTTTTTCTTCTGTGGGGCCATTTGAAAATCAGTTGTTTATTAGACGCGTCTAAGAAATATCGATTAACTTAAATTAAAAGAATTAAATATGAATGTTGTAAAATGACAGAGGAAACTCTCCGATGTGTTAATGAATCAGACAGGCACAGAAATTAAGTGGGTCTTGAAAAAGAACATTTGAGACTATATATATACCTAGTAAATAACTAGTAAATAAAATATTCATGTGTAATTATATTTTTAAGAATGTCGAGTAAGCAAACGAAACGGGTTGAGGTGACTCATTTATTTATGAAGTCACAAGGACTATAAATAGCCACGGCTATTACTCATGAGCCAGTTGATTACATACTACTTCCCGCGAGTAGGTAACACTAAACAACAATGGAGTCGCCGAAATCTAACTAACCGAACGAACAATTATCCCTTGATAATTATGAATACGCACAAACGTTGCTTAGGATACTAGCAGCTAAAGTCAGAACAGAAAAGCTAAAGGATTTAAAATCAGTTGAAGGAGAAAATCAAATAACTGATCACCTGCTCGTTGTGAGGCCCTTATAAAATTATCAGCAATTGCACACCTAAGACACTTGGAGGAAATGATGTTTGATGATATAAGTCGACTAATAGGGAAGAACAATCGTCGGAGGAACACTCCTACGAAAAAAGAAAAAAATGTGATGATCTCCCATATGTAGACAATCTCTTAGGAAAAGGGAGGACGATATCGAAGAGACAAAAGCCCCATAAACCTCTTTGGTACAGGGAGATGAGGTGACTCATCTGCATATGAAGTCATAAAGACCCTAAATAGCTACAGCTATTACCCATGAGGCAGTTGAGTACACACTACTTCCCGGGAGTAAGTAGCACTAATCAAAACAGGTGAAAATAGCTTAATTTTGTCATTGAAAAAGAACAATAATTATTCGTTATGTTTTTATCGTTGAGTTAATCGAATACTTAAAACGTGTTTATTAATGATTTTTTACCAAAATATATATCGATCATTACATGACTAATTAAATCATATTTAACTTGTTTTTCTTTTGTCTTTTTTGCAGGGATTCAAAGGTGAACCTGGTGAGTATAATTTCGTTTCCGATTTATCGATAAAATTGAATTATCGATCTCCAATCGATTTCCTTGTAAAAGGGATCCGTAAAACGAAATGATCGGAACATTTTAAGCCATCACAAAACGGAAACTAAATGTACTGTGTATGACGATAAACTACATCTGGCAGCAAGGCTTCTGATCGAGATATTGGAGGTGTTGAGAAGCATGGAACAACGTCTTAACTGTTGTTGTTCTCAGGTCCACCCTGACCTGTAGTGGTAGCACCTGTTAGGGTCCCAGCTATGGGCAAATTGAGACCCACCCACCAAACAGTAATCAACAGTACATTTTAATAATAAAATGGGCAACAATACATCGTTATAGCAAAATAAAAATCAGTGAAACACTATAAAAATACAGCTTTAGAATAAAATTACCAACAATATAGTTCATGACCTACAAAACTATATATCTAAAAAACAAAAACCAAAGAAAAAAAACTAACTTTACCCTGAAAGCATGTACATTTCAGCATTAAAAAACCCATAGAGGCTGATAGGCCGTTAAACAAAATCAACCAATATATATATATATATATATATATATATATATATATATATATATATATATATATATATATATATATATGGTAAAATGACCAACAATACATACTTATAGCAAAACAACCAACATTGTCTGCAGTTGAAGGCATACAAATATTTTCAAAAATATTTAGTTGAAGCCATTAAATTGTGTTCAAAATATTTCGATTTCAGCATTAAATAACCCATAGAGGTTGATATGCCGCTAAACATAATCAAACAAACATCGGAAATTTCTTCTACATATTTAATATATATATATATATATATATATATATATATATATATATATATATATATATATATATAATTCTATTGCAGATTATTTTAAGATAGAAAGAATATAAAGGTTAATTAGATGAATGAAAAATGCATCTAATAATTATTATAAAATGTCATGTAAACCATATTAACATGCAAAACAACACAATAATTTAGTCCGATATAGATATGTTAACGAAATATATGATGCTGTGGTTTCATTAATTTAGATTTTGCTATTAAAAATATATTGAACGTCGTTTTTTTTTTGTATCATAAAACGCGATGATCTGAAAACAATGACTTTGCAATATTTTGTATATGAATATATACGAGAATCGACTGACCCAAGATACACTCGCAAATTGAATTTCTCACGATATAATTCATATATAAACATGCATATATCCATAAAATTTCACCAATATCACAACATCAGTTACTTACAAAACATTTGTGTTAAATAAAATATATTATATATATATATATATATATATATATATATATATATATATATATATATATATATATATATATATATATATATATATATGTATACAATTTTTATATATATTATTTATATATTATACATATGTGGTACTTATTGGAAAGCGCTCAATATCAGTGATAGAGCTAACATATTTAGTTGTGTTGATGCGAGTTTGTGACTCCGGGTTTTGTCTGGCGATCGCAAAGGGCGTGAAATCCAGGGCCACAAACTCACTTCAACGGAACTAAATATATATATATACATATATAATATAAAAATTGATTTTAATAAAAATGTTAGATAGCTCTTTAGGAAACGTAATGAAGTTGCAATACAAATGAGAAAAAAAAGTTAGTTCACTATAGAATGCTTCTCCAAGTGTGGTACGCGTATGCGAGCCATCCTCTGCCGGTACACTGAGTTTCCAGGCAAACAAAGAAACAGTAGTCACATTCCACGCCATCCGAGACTTTCCAGTGTATCTGAATCATTTTTGTTTTTAACATTTTCATTTTCGTTTTATATTGCTTACATTTTTCAATTACTCTCTCATGTTAAAAGTCATTGCTATACACCTAACGAATGCGATATAGTGAACAGAAATACAGCGAACAGTTGAAATACATATGTAACACCATCATTATGATGTGTTGACTGCAACTGTGCGGGAACCACACCTAGAAATACCAAGAGGCTGTTTTCATGGACATATAGTTCTATAAAATCAATATAAAATTTTAAAAATGATGCAACTTTTATTATATTCATTATATCTAGTATAAATGAATAATATTTAAATAATGTTCAAATAATATTTTATAATTATATAGCACAAATATGGTACCTGTCCCTGGTATACAGGGGAGACTTGTTTCGTCAATGATGACAGGCCTTAGAATGAGCATGTTCTCATGTTTGGTACAGATAGTTTCAAAATGAACCTGAAATAGTATTGGTCCCTCGCACATTAAAATAAAAAAAAATGCCGGTACTTCATATTAGATAGTTTTAGAAACATTGCAATAGAGAATTGGGGCAGCACGTTGACCATGCAGAAGCTATTGCTTTTCACCATTTATATATCTTCTACTTTTTCAGGTATCCCTGGAGAGTCTGGTTCAGCGTTTGCAAACATCACTGACTTGGCTGTATTGGCTGAATTGGCTGGACTCAAAGGCGACCGGGTATCTATTGTTATTTTTCGGTTTTAATTTAATGTTTTCGTGGGTCTACACTATTATTATTATTATTATTATTATTATTATTCTCTTCTTCCTCCTCCTCCTACTCCTCCTTCTTCTTCTTCTTATTCTTCCGAGTGACGCGTCCGTTCAGAACGTGGGCGATCATGGCTCTTCTGTCCTTTGTCGCTCTTAGTAAAGTTTGTATTTTTGCCATCCCTTATCATCCCTGTTCTGCTAACTATCTACACAAGCTTACAAGCACATTCCTTTCCTCCTCTTGCCTTTAATATTTTGTGCGGGTCAAATTTTCTAAGCACTCTTTCCTCATTAGGTACCCAAGAAATTTCACTTATCTCTTTCTGATTCTAAGTATTAGTGTCTTTGTTTTCATTCTCTCTAAAGCATCGTCGTTGCTCACGTGTTCAGTATATCGTATTCACATAAGCCTTCATTAGAACTATATTATTATTGTCTCAACTCTCATCTGTAAGGAGATTAACCAATATTCACTATATAGGAAAGACTGATATTTCATATCATTTTTAGTTCAAACTAGTGCAAACTATGCTTTCTACGGCTTTCCTAAAAAAGCTTCGTCGTTCAGTCCATATTATTCTCAGAATTCTTCTATAGAACACTCTTTCTGTTGCTGCAAGTCTCTTCTGAAAGGAGATTGTCCAGCATTCACTATATAGGAACAGTTTTGTAATCTTTCATTGTTTCTAATGAAATTTTCATTATACATTGCTTAGCTTTTGGAAGGCATATTTCGCTACTTCAATGCACCTTCGGGTTTTGCTGTCACCTTTTTGTTCCTCTGTTAAAACACTTTTTCGACATAACCAGAAAAACGATTGTGTGTTTCTTTTTATCTGTCTTTTGGTTCACCCATTTTATAGGATACCATTTTCCACAATTTCTTTTCTTTCGCTGTGGGATACGTGTCAATATATAAAAATTCATATTGTGCGTTGCACATTAATCTAAATCTTTGAGTGAATTCTACTTCACAAAACAATATATATCTTCTGCAGGTTGTTTCTACTTTTTCTTCTTCTTCTTCTTCTATTTCTATGGGTGAACATGGTTCTCCACAACTTCCCCCATTTTGTAGCTTCAATGCTTGACAGCTTACCATCCTTCCTAGTCCTTCCTTCTGCCGTCCATTTACACAAACTCGTTCTCTTCACATCTACCATCAATATGTTCTGAGTGTCAAATTATCCAAGCCCTATTTCAACATTATATACCTCAAGGCTTTCTGATTCTAAGCTCAAGTTTCATTTTCCCTTAGCACTTCCTATCTGCTCACATATTATGTCCATGATACTCAATTTCCTTCTGTAGAACCGCATCTCTGGTGGCTCAAGTTTATTCTTCATCTGTGAGAAAATTGCCCAGCATATACTGCTATAGAAGCGAATTGATATTATATAGCATTTCAGAACTCGTTTTGTTAATTCTAACAGATTTTTGTGTCATTCAATGAGTGACGAGATAGTACATCTATAGTAATCTATGAAATTCAATCTTACCTCTCCCTATTCTAGGGAATATGTACACACACACACGCATATATATATATATATATATATATATATATATATATATATATATATATATATATATATATATATATATTCTATATATCAAGAACAGTATTGGGGAAATTGTATTACAAATTCGAAAAAGTTTACTTGTGATGCGATTCAGGACTTCATCGGTCTAAATTTGTATGTAACAAATCTAGTCCACTGAAGTCATATCTCTCTCTCTCTCTCTCTCTCTCTATATATATATATATATATATGTGTGTGTGTATATATATATATATATATAGACAGATAGATAGATAGATATAAATAGTAAGAATAAAAAGCTACAATATAAAAGAATGTAAAATCTTAAAATATAAAATAAACATCATTTTATATATATATATATATATATATATATATATATATATATATATATATATATATATGAAGATGTGGGTCTTTCTGGTGCAATTAATCTGAAAGTCAAAGTAAATGACAAACTCAAGAAATACACCGATCTCCGGATTGAATGTGTGTCGTTTTAATTGCCACAGTTATCATTAGCGAACTTGTAATTAAAGGCTACAAGTAAAATCTTCCTAATCATAAATAGGCCAAGACCATCAGAACATGTATCTGTTAAAGAATATGGCAAAATAAATATAAGGATCTTAAAATTAAAATTTAATCTAAGTCACATTAAAACCACTTTTATTCGTATAATAACTGGAGATTTGGGGTCAATCAAGAAAGCCAGAGAGTATCAAGAGTAGATTTCGGATGAAAAAAAAATCTTCTAATTATTGAAAGCAACAATTCTTACACATTATTCATTTTTCTTTTTGTAGGGTCCGCCTGGTCCACCAGGCAAAAGGGGTAAGAAAGGTGAAATCGGAAGAGCTGGTTCCAGGGGTGAAAAAGGTTTGCCTGGACCACCCGGGCCATTAAAAGAAGGCCCCGTAGGAAAAGACGGCCGAGACGGACCACGTGGACCACGAGGAGAAGAGGGACCCAAAGGTGATAGGGGAGAGAAAGGTGACTCTGGTGGACCACCCGGTGAACCCGGAGTCCCAGGAGAACCAGGAAGAGATGGAGAACCGGGCTTACCCGGAGCATGCTGCAACTTAACGGCTCAGGAACTTAAAGAAGGTTTGCATCAGTGATATGCTTTCCGTATGATGTACATAATAGTATATCAATTCACATATTAAACCCTCTTCCGATTGATAAAGGATTAGATAGATATGATCAAAATAAATTATGAATGATTAATCGGAAATATCTCGGGGTCGATTAAATTTGTGCGTATATAATAATGATACTAACATATATATATATATATGTATATATGAATGATAAAAGTATCGTCATAAAGTATGCTATATTTATGATTAAGTGTCCTCAGTATCAGAGATAAAGCATATGTAAATATAAAAGTGGACACTGAGTTAAACACCAGGGGGCGACACCACATGCACCAACGCAATCTTCAGGCCTTCAACGTCCTATCTCTGATATTGAGAGCTTTTACCCATAAATATTACATATCTAACTATATTTTATCATATATATATATATATATATATATATATATATATATATATATATATATATATATATATATATATATATATATATACATACAGGTTGGATAGGTAAATTGTCGCCATTTATATTTTTTAATTTCCCGCATGCTCGTTGTTTGTTTTTGATTTTGTCACTGCACAGTATAGTAGGGTCTGTTGGGCACCGTCTGTCAGAAAAAGACCACATTAACGCAATTCACTATTCCAGAAATTTGGAAACGGCACGCTGCAAAGCTTGGTATTCGCACCAGAATCTCCAATACGATAATTTCAGAGTCTTTGGGTGTCAGTCTGAGAACACTACAGAGGATTCGGAAAGAGTTGGATTACGAAAGTACGGCAGCTCGGAAAACACACTCTGATTGTTCTGATAAGTAAAGAACTCCCGAATTTGCTTGTGAGAGCCTTAGACTCAACACGGAGGGCTGCATCAAGTTCCTTGAGGAGGTAGTGCTGCTCTGGGTCAAGTGAGTGACTGCAGGAAGAATCTATGTCTGGCAACATGACCCTGCACCATGCCACACATTATCCCTTACTAACTCCCCATAATGCAACCCCCTTTATTATTATTGTGGGGATCATTTGAACGAGAGACCCAACTGAAGGCAAGGATTATCGCAGCATTCACCAATTAAACAAGGAGACCGTCAAGAAGAGTTGCAGGTGATTTCGAATTCATCGGGGATTTTATTGAATGCATTTTCTCTTTAATATTTCACGATATTTTGTGTAACTTTGTCAGTTAAAATCCGCTGGCAGTATTATTTTCATTTTTGCGTAATTTGGACGAAAATTCATCCATCGCACCCTGTATATATATAACATAATAATAAATGATTAATATTATTATTATTATTATGAGGGAAAGATTTTACAGCTTTCAACTGGGAGCAACACTTACCTGCTCGGTCAGTAAATGCCTAATGTTTCCTTATAAGGAAACGGATCATATTAGTATAACCATTACAAGTGTCTAAAGTGGGTACCTCAATGACAAAACCAATAAAGTTCGTTTCGAAATACAAGCTAGGTCGAAGAAATACACGCTAATCTTCCCTACATCTTCAGAGACATTAACGGCAAAGTTGTAAATGGCGTTTGATATATTTCTTTTTCTAATACCCCTTATATAACAATAATCATCATTAAACTGACATACACGCACACGTATATATATATATATATATATATATATATATATATATATATATATATGAGGAATGTTTTAAACCTTTACTATTTATCTTACCATTCTATCGGATTCCGGTCAACATTTGATCCAAACTCACACACACACACACACACACACACACACACACACACACACATATATATATATATATATATATATATATATATATATATATATATAATGTTTGAAGCGCTGATGATTGAAGAGACCACTAGTCAAGTTTCAGTTTTGAACAACTGGTGGTCTCTTCAGTCATCAACGCTTCAAAGCCAAAGACCCACCTTCGTATGCAAATTATTCGTGATTTGTTGTTTGCTGATGATGCTGCTCTTGTAGGCCCAACATCTAATAAATCGTTTCTCTGTAAAGCATTTGGTCTTACACTTAGCATAAAGAAAACTGAGGTTGTGCACCAACATTGTCCTACTCCGGAGCAGTTGCGTGGTGAGAAAAAAAAAACACCAGTCTACAAATTTCCAGAGAGACCATTGAAAGTAGAAGACAAAGCCCTGAACTATGTAAAGTCTTTCACCTATCCTGGTAGCAAAGTCAATTACAGTGGAACTCTAGATGATGAAATCATGCATTGGATTGCTAAGGCTACCAGTGCTTTCGGCAAACTCGCCATCGCTTGTGGGATGAGCCGGGTATTCGACTGGATACGAAAATTCGGGTTTACAGAGCTGTTGTACATGCCATTCTTTTGTATGGCTCAGAATCATGGACTCCATACAGGTACCATATACGCCAGCTAGATGTTTTCCATAAAAGCTGTCTGCGTGCAATCTGTGGAGTCAAACTTCAAGATAGGACATCTAACGTAGACCTGTTAACAGGTGTAATATTGGAGGAATCGAGACTTTTATCATTCAGTCTCAGTTACGGTTGATTGGTCATATCTTGAAAATGTCTGATGACAGAATACCCAAGATCCTAATGTACAGCCAGTTGGATCAGGGCTACAGGAATATTGGACGCCAATGGCTAAGACACAAAGACAAGCTGAAAAGTAACTTGTCAGCATTCAATATACCACATAACAACCTTGAGCACTTAGCCTTGGAGAGGGTAGAATGGAGATCAACATGTTTTAATGGACTCAGCAATTTTCAATCTGCTTGTCTGAATCATCTTCAAGAAGCGAGAGCAAGATCTAAAAGGTCAGCCAATCTAACAGTGATCTCATCTCACAATCCCCACGCTTGCTCCATATGTGGCCTCCTTTGTAAATCACTAGCGGGTTTTAAATGCCACTTAAAATTACCGCACAAAATTTCATAACTGAATCAATAAGTTGTCAGATCCTCATACGTCGAAACCGACGGAGTGTCCATTATTATTATTATATATAAGTTGACATTGAGGTCAAAACCCACTCGTGAGAATGAAATATTCAGGCAGAAAGGTAGCCTTTAAAAATAAAACTGATTGGGTGGTGACCACAAAAGTCCACTTTTATATTTATATCCCTCCATCCCTTTAACAAATGAATATAGCATATCTTAAAACTATATTTTTCATATATATATATATATATATATATATATATATATATATATATATATATATATATATATATACAGAGATTGATTTCTTCGTCATGTCTGATTCCTTGGTGAAAAAAATCGCTTGCAAGTGCCGCGTTCGGACACACGCACAAAACTCTAAAGGAGCGTCTATTTTTCTGCCTCTGATAAATGACTTGAAAATTTACTTGGCTTCTTCCTCGTGAAGAACTTTATTACTTTCGTGATAGAGCTTTTTGTCGGCCAAAGAAATTATTATTCATTTAAATATTTAATATAGGGGGGTATTACAAAAAACGAAAGGCTATTCCATTATACTGGATTTCAGCAAACCTTTTAGTGGAACATATCAGTTAAAATAATGCTATTTTATTGTTCCAATTTTAATGACATAATAAAAGAAGAATTTTTTTATTATTTGATACACTTGGGTTGAATATACCCCAAGTATTTTAAATCCATAGTGCCATATCGACAATCCTCAGTAATAATTATTTTTGGTTTCAGGTGGCATTATACCTGGATGGGCAGGTTTGACAGGTGAAAAAGGAGAGAAAGGAGCAGTCGGCTTACCCGGAATTGATGGTTTACCAGGAGAGATGGGAGAGGTTGGATTACCTGGGGAAAGAGGAGAAAAGGGAGATGCTGGATTGCCTGGATTACCTGGATTGCCTGGTCCAACAGGTCCACCAGGTCCCCCTGGAATACCAGGAAATGCGACAAAAGGTATGAAAGGAGAACCAGGAAGTATTATATCAGCAGACTGTAAGGACGAAAACTGCCTTGATTTGCGGGGAGAAAAAGGTGAAACTGGTATTGGAATTCCTGGTGAACCTGGTACGTATAGAAAAACAATTTTTGTTCTTTTTTTCTGTCTTTCTTTCTTTCTTTTTTCGTATCTATCTATCTATCTATCTATCTATCTATCTATCTATCTATCTATATATATATATATATATATATATATATATATATATTCATATCTATATCTTTTCTATCTAGCTATTTCATTCTGTCTATTTATCTCAGTCTGTTCATATCTATCTATCTATCTATCTATCTATCTATCTATCTATCTATCTATCTACTTATCTATCTATCTATCTCAATCTTCTCATGCGTATCTATCTATCTATCTATCTATCTATCTATCTATCTATCTATCTCAATCTTCTCATGCGTATCTATCTATCTATCTATCTATCTATATATATATATATATATATATATATATATATATATATATATATATATTCATATCTATATCCTTTCTATCTAGCTATTTCATTTCTGTCTATTTATCTCAGTCTGTTCATATCTCTCTATCTATCTATCTATCTATCTATCTATCTATCTATCTATCTATCTATCTCAATCTTCTCATGCGTATCTATCTATCTATCTTAATCTTCTCATGCGTATCTATCTATCTATCTATCTATCTATCTATCTATCTATCTATCTATCTATCATCTCATGCCTATCTATCTATCTATCTATCTATCTATCTATCTATCTATCTATCTATCTATCTGCTATGCTTACTTTGTGAATCCAGACGAAAGACCTTGATCAGAGATGTCTACTAAGGCCGGTGAGAATGACAGTCTGGATGCCTGTGATTATAAAAATAATTCAAAAATTTGAAATATTTGACAATATCGTCTAATAAAATTTCAATACAATTCATGAAACAAAAACAATCAAGTAAAATTATAATGAGAGAAATACTAGTCAAAATTAAATATATTTGACAATGACTCCCCTCAGATAAATTCAGAAAAATATTACTCCTAATATAATTAAGGCAATAATATCATCAAGTAAAATTAAGTTGAAAGAAATACCAATGAAAAATAAGTAATGATTGACAATGATTCACATAATACAAATTCCAAAGAATATTAAAGCAAATACAATTTGGGTAGTAATAAGTTAAGTTAAAATTAAGTCGAAAGAATGTTCAGTCAAATGTTCAGTCAAAAATTTCCATCAAAAAATTAAAACAAATCGGAATGCAAACCACTCTATCAAATGATCGATTTTCTTCCATAGCTCATTTGTATTTTAAATGCATGTATATTAAGTAATTCACTTAATAAATTATTTTTATTTTATTAAATCTCCTCCTTGACAAATTGACTATAGTAAGATTCGAATCTGGCTTTCACTGTCGGAACGGTAACTACTTCTCTACGCTATATATTCATACATCTGTTTTTATCATTTTTTTTTTTAATAGGAGTACCCGGACAGAAGGGAGAGCCAGGTGATATAGGTTTACCAGGAGAACAGGGAAGACTGGGTCTTAAAGGAGAAGCTGGAATTACCGGTCCAATGGGGCCTCCAGGTCTACCGGGATTTAATGGAACTCATGGTCTAGACGGAAAAGATGGCAAAGATGGAGAGCCTGGATTGCCAGGAATGAAAGGAGAACGTGGGCTACCAGGGCTACCCTCACACGGAAAATATGACGAAGGATCCGGCGATTGTAAGTTGGCTTTCTCTTAGATTTAACAAAAGAAATCAGAATAAAAATAAAATAGGAAGAAATTTTATTTCACTGTTGAGTATAATCGTGATCTTCTCAAAAACTAACACGTGAAAATGTTTAAATTTGTATTTCTTTGTCTTTCGATTGTGTTATGTCAAAGGCAGTCGTTATATAACTAGATATTATATCTGTCTATTTATCTATCAATTCCAGTCTATTCATATCTATCTATCTATCTATCTATCTATCTATCTATCTATCTATCTATCTAGAGAGAGAGAGAGAGAGAGAGAGAGAGAGAGAGAGAGAGAGTCTGAATTTTCGGAATATATTTTCAAATTAAAATCGCACATTAAAGGATTAAACAGGAAGTGGATTTACTTAGAGAATATAGTTTCCACAGGGAGCCCTCTAACTAACAATAACAACAACCCGCTTCTTTTTTTTATTTCCTGTCTCGTTGAAAAAGGACATAGTCGTGTCCGAAAATTTCGACTCCTCGAATCTTTCTCTTCGTGCCTTAGACAAAGGCTAATATATAAAAATATCATCAATCTTATTGCCAAGAGCATTATCATTTTTGTTTTTTATTCCTCAAATTTCATTAACCGGCTTACATATATATATATAATTATTTATTTAAAAAAATTATAACATAAATATGTTATAAAATCACTACAAAAATAACCATTTTGTTTCAACACCCTCGGTGTCTTATTTAACATCATCACTTGATAAGAGGGTGTTGAAACAAAATGGGTATTTTTGTAGTGATTTTATAACATATTTATGTTATAAATTTTAAAAAAAATAAATAATTACATCTGCTCTACTTTGTATTGAGCACTCTTTTAAGAATAGTAATTGTTGGTTATTGAATTCATTCCATATACACCAATCATATACTTGATATATATATATATATATATATATATATATATATATATATATATATATATATAAACAGATGGTGGCGGTGGTGAAGATGGCTGTGAAGGCGCAGCCTACTATTGAAGATTCGTGAGCAGGCATCGCGGGGGAGTGTGGGTGGTGGAAGTGACTGGGAGAGTCGGGCCCTCCTAAGAGCACATCTCAGATCCTCTTCATGCTGACGTTTGGCGTCTAAAGTCTCCCAGATGAGCATATTCCAAGAAAGCAACGGTTTCCCAGATCTCATAGTCAATGTTGTCCCGTGTCTGGGATGTCTTCAACTGCCACACTGCTATGTATGTATTTCCAGGCAGATTGTTCAGATGAACTACACTTCTCAGTCCCCCCAGTTCTAACCTTCTTGGCTAAGACCCGTCATGCCACGCATATTGTAGCTAGCCACTCACATTCCCTTCGTATTCTCCTGGTGAGATGTAAGTGCCACCCAAGTAGCTTATTCCCACGAACCGCTGCTTTATTGAACAGACATTCGGGAGGTTGCTTCCCTTATCGCTACAATCTTAACCTGTTCAAGTCTAGTGATAACCGTTGTCTTCCACGCATAAGCTGTGTCACTTACTCTGTAACCCTCTACCTCTAGTGACTCTCGGGCCTTGTACAGGATGGACCTCACTGTAAAATATTATTATTTATGATTTTTTATCTTTTTCAGTTATTGGTGCATTTGCGAAGGGAGAAAAAGGAGAACCTGGTATTGGTATCCCTGGAGAACCCGGAGTTCCAGGTATTACTGGAGAACCCGGCGAAGCAGGCACACCCGGAATCAATTGTATGAATGCCAGTCTTACTGACTTACTTGGAGAAACGGACAGCCTCTGCAAGTTGACAATTAAGGGCGCACAAGGGATAAGAGGTGAAACGGGACCACCTGGACCTCCCGGCCTTAAGGGTGACATAGGACATAAGGGACAGAAAGGTGATTTTGTAATTGGTGAACCCGGACGTGATGGAGAGCCTGGAGCTAAAGGACCACGAGGTTTTGAAGGCTTAGCAGGTCTTCCAGGTCCCCAAGGACCACAGGGAGATAAAGGAGAACCTGGCGCTGGTATACCTGGAGAACCAGGTAGAGATGGGAAACCGGGAGAAAAAGGCTCGAAGGGCGAACGCGGTCTCGATGGTCTTCCTGGCGACGGTAATGCCACGTTGATCAAAGGAGCCACTGGCGAGAAAGGTGAGTTGTTTTATTTAGTTCATCTCTTCATAGTAATGGACCGAATTCCTTATCGTTGTCTACTAAAATAAGTTCCCTAACTATAATCTCGAATGGTAACTATAACAATGTCGACTTCATTGGACTTAAGTAAGGTTTAATGTTGCTGCAAATATACATGCACATGATGGAAAAAGAAGGCTGGAATCTTTAAAATTAAATTAAATTATTTTTTTAAATTTGTGCTTAGGGTATATAGACTAACCGATTTCATTTAGTTTCTTTTTATTTTGTTTATGTTTTCTCTCTTTTGTTGTTAAATATCCCACACATGGTAATAGAAAGTCTGCCAAGAAAGGTGACATGTAACATTCTTGATAGACTTAGCAGTGTTCTTTAGGGTGAGTTCAAAGAGGTTTTACAGTTTTTTTATTCAATCTGGAATAACATAAACTGCCAGGTCAGCTTATTAGGTACCCGACGTTGCCCGGGTATACATGGCTGCAATTGTGTAACTACACCCATTGTATATCCGCACCTCCTGTCAAGAAATGCATCCTTCATCCATTAGTATACTAAGCTACTCCCCCCACTCATCTTTTTACGGTATGCTCTTCGCAAGTGTTTGATAATAAATGCAATCCACCAATAAAACCTTGCGTGGTTATTCCTCAGGGTTAAATTGTTTCAATGTTTTAGATATTCAGTAAATTTCCTATGACCGTAATAACTTTCAAATAGTATGGCCTTGTTCACAAATCTAATAATGGAACGAAAACAGGGATGAAGCGCCAGAGCTTGATTCAACTGAAAATGATCGCCCCCTCTTTCTTCGCACGTTTGCTATAAAGCTGGGTTAATAAGATATTCTTCGGGAATTTTTCCATTTTAACGTTTCAGTAATCCTTTTCAAACAATCTTTGCATCAAAGGTTGTTTGAATGCCAATTTAGAAAATATAAAGAAACTATTGACTAAATGGCAAAAGCTGATATTGGACCTAGTTTGTGGCAGATTTCGTCTACTTAACTGAAATAATCTAAACCAAACTTTGATGCGAGACAATTTCTCTGTCGTTTGTAATTTACATGACAAACTTGGAAAGCATCGAATGAAAAACCAGGGAGTCATAGCCGAAAAACGGGTGTTTTAAAAAGTTTTTTTAATGTTTTTTCGTTATACACGGGGAAGCGAACAGGACTAAAACCACATTATCTTATTTCTTGCATGATGGCAAATTTTCTGCGACGTGTTTGAAGAAAATCGGATGAAAAATGAGGAAATTATTCAAATTTTTATTTTAAATATTATGAAAAACCCAATGTTTTCACAGTTTTTACCATTTTTTGTCTGAAACTAATGTTGCAGAAAAACTATCAAGCACTCTACATAAACTTCGTAACCTGTGATATGTTTTTCATTAAGTGCAAAGAACATCTGCTTATCCGGTAAAAATTTTGTGCGTGTGTAACTTTGCCTTGGTTTTTGCAAAACGTCGTAGCCACCTTCAGTTTGATAAATTTTTCTGTCGAAATCCGGGAGAGACGGAGAGTATATCGTTGATGTTAACCTTTCTCTCGAAATCTGCAATATGTGCGTAAAAATTCATCAAAATCGTTTGAGAAATATGGACGTGCATAAATAGCATACCTATACACAGACACGCACACAGTCATCTATTTAATAGATATAGATTTAATAATGCTATATTAAAATTACAGTAATCTCGAACAGTTATCATTAACTTTCGAAACAAATTACAAAATTTGTGGAATGTACCTCTTATATACATAGGAGAAAATGTTTAATTACAAAAATGTTTAATAACCAAAAAAAAAAAAAAATGAAATAGGGTAGACTATATATCCAAAGACAAACACTTAGAAATTCTAAATTTAAATCTAAAATTCTCAGAGTCCTCTTCCATTTGTGCGCATGTGCAGTCGTATCAACGTAACCATCACGTTAGTTGAATGAAGTCCAAACGAACGAAACGCGTCACAAAAAAACTTTTTCTAATTTTCCAGAGATTTTTTTCTCCTAAGATTGTTCTTGATATAGAACATTTATGACAATGTGGTCGTAGTATTTGTTTTCGAACCAAATTTGCGCTGTACTGTTTACCATTTTGATGCATACATAGGTACAGATTTACGCTGTACTGTTTACCATTTCGATGCATACATAGGTACAGATTTACGCTGTACTGTTTGCCATTTTGATGCATACATAGGTACAGATTTACGCTGTACTATTTACCATTTCGATGCATACATAGGTACAGATTTACGCTGTACTGTTTACCATTTCGATGCTTACATAGGTACAGATTTATGCTGTTCTGTTTGCCATGTTGATGCATACATAGGTACAGATTTACGATGTACTGTTTACCATTTCGATGCATACATAGGTACAGATTTACGCTGTACTGTTTGCCATTTTGATGCATACATAGGTACAGATTTACGCTGTACTATTTACCATTTCGATGCATACATAGGTACAAATTTACGCTGTACTGTTTGCCATTCTGATGCATACATAGATACAGATTTACGCTGTACTGTTTACCATTTCGATGCATACATAGGGTCAGATTTACGCTGTACTGTTTACCATTTCGATGCTTACATAGGTACAGATTTACGCTGTTCTGTTTGCCATGTCGATGCATACATAGATACAGATTTACGCTGTACTATTTACCATTTCGATGCATACATAGGTACAGATTTACGCTGTACTGTTTACCATTTCGATGCTTACATAGGTACAGATTTACGCTGTTCTGTTTGCCATGTCGATGCATACATAGGTACAGATTTACGCTGTTCTGTTTACCATTTCGATGCATACATAGGTACAGATTTACGCTGTTCTGTTTACCATTTCGATGCATACATAGGTACAGATTTACGCTGTTCTGTTTACCATTTCGATGCATACATAGGTACAGATTTACGCTGTTCTGTTTACCATTTCGATGCATACATAGGTACAGATTTACGCTGTTCTGTTTACCATTTCGATGCATACATAGGTACAGATTTACGCTGTACTGTATACCATTTCGATGCATACATAGGTACAGATTTACGCTGTTCTGTTTGCCATGTCGATGCATACATAGATACAGATTTACGCTGTTCCGTTTACCATTTCGATGCATACATAGGTACAGATTTACGCTGTACTGTTTGCCATTTTGATGCATACATAGGTACAGATTTACGCTGTACTATTTACCATTTCGATGCATACATAGGTACAGATTTACGCTGTTCTGTTTGCCATTTCGATGCATACATAGGTACAGATTTACGCTTTACTATTTACTATTTCGATGCATACATAGGTACAGATTTACAATGTACTGTTTACCATTTCGATGCATACATAGGTACAGATTTACGCTGTACTGTTTGCTATTTTGATGCATACATAGGTACAGATTTACGCTGTACTATTTACCATTTCGATGCATACATTGGTACAAATTTACGCTGTACTGTTTGCCATTTTGATGCATACATAGATACAGATTTACGCTGTACTGTTTACCATTTCGATGCATACATAGATACAGATTTACGCTGTACTGTTTACCATTTCGATGCATACATAGGTACAGATTTACGCTGTACTGTTTACCATTTCGATGCATACATAGGTACAGATTTACGCTGTTCTGTTTACCATTTCGATGCATACATAGGTACAGATTTACGCTGTTCTGTTTACCATTTCGATGCATACATAGGTACAGATTTACGCTGTTCTGTTTACCATTTCGATGCATACATAGGTACAGATTTACGCTGTACTGTTTACCATTTCGATGCATTCATAGGTACAGATTTACGCTGTTCTGTTTGCCATGTCGATGCATACATAGGTACAGATTTACGCTGTACTGTTTACCATTTCGATGCATACATAGGTACAGATTTACGCTGTACTGTTTGCCATTTTGATGCATACATAGGTACAGATTTACGCTGTACTATTTACCATTTCGATGCATACATAGGTACAGATTTACGCTGTTCTGTTTACCATTTCGATGCATACATAGGTACAGATTTACGCTGTACTATTTACCATTTCGATGCATACATAGGTACAGATTTACGCTGTACTATTTACCATTTCGATGCATACATAGGTACAGATTTACGCTGTACTATTTACCATTTCGATGCATACATAGGTACAGATTTACGCTGTTCTGTTTGCCATGTCGATGCATACATAGGTACAGATTTACGCTGTTCTGTTTACCATTTCGATGCATACATAGGTACAGATTTACGCTGTACTGTTTACCATGTCGATGCATACATAGGTACAGATTTACGCTGTTCTGTTTACCATTTCGATGCATACATAGGTACAGATTTACGCTGTTCTGTTTACCATTTCGATGCATACATAGGTACAGATTTACGCTGTTCTGTTTACCATTTCGATGCATACATAGGTACAGATTTCGCTTGTACCCAACGTTTGTCAGACCCGTTTCAGCGTCGGGAAATGCTGAGAGCAATTTAGTAGCCGGAAATATATTTTTATCATATATATATATATATATATTCCCTGATATGAGGAAAAACAGACAAAAAGTCAGAAACTCTGGTATTTTCAATTTTGTGTGGTAATGTGTATTCACGATTGTGTATGTGTACCTGTCTAGTGGGAATACACACTACTGTCCTATGCCCACTTAAACATACAAGAATATTCACAAATTTATTTACATACAGAATTATCTACGATTATAATGCACGTGTTACGTGTAACAAACCAATGAAAACTAACCCCACAAAATAGAAAATACTATAGTTTCTGTCTTTTTGTCTGTGTTCACTCTGAACATTCACTTACGTGATAATACCCTTAGGAAAGTTATTAATCCTCCTCTTCTCCCTCCAGCTATTGGAGGACAGACTGGGTTCTATAGCATTGGATGGCAGGAGAAGAAGACCTCTGAATTCAAAACCTGCGGGGGTTGTTTGCGGACTTTGTGGCACGTAGTGCACCAGGTCTCTGTATTCGGCCATTCAAAAAGTGCAGTTGGTGCAAAGTCTTCACCACTGTAATCAAAATATTTCTGCTGGTGTCTGGGTTTGGCTCGTAGAAACTGAGTTGCATGACCCTCATATGTCGAATACGACGAAAGAGTTCATCAAATATATATATATATATACTGAGAATGTTAGGTTTGATGAATGGAAGTGGAATCGAAATATTCGTATACACATAGAGATTATATAGACATGGACGTTAGGTAATATATAGTGAATTGATATTCTACACCAAATGAGTCTAAAATGCCTTGGTTCCGTTATGTCATTTTATACATTTGTGGAAATTCATGAGCAGATGTAATACTATATTTGGTAGGTATATAGGGAAAAATAATATAATTGAGGAATTTTGATAACTGGTAAAAATGTGTTGTAATCTGCGAAATATCCGAACACAATCCAAAACCAGGAAAAAAAACTATACTTATGTTTCATCGATTATACAAGTCATTAAGTATGCCTTTGTATATATATATATATATATATATATATATATATATATATATGTGTGTGTGTGTGTGTGTGTGTGTGTGAAAATCCCATATGATGCGTTTCGATGTTCAGAAGATGGTCTCATGTATATGGATTTCTAATAAAATTATCCCATAAAATTCTATTCATACTTTAACAAAAATAAAATCCGGAATAATTACCTACCGCTATTAAATAGCACATAATATTAATATGCATGATGAAAAAGGAAGAATTAAAGATACGTTTAAAATCCTCTAATATATTTGGTAATTCAAATATATTATGTAAACTAAGAAAAGATATGTTACTTTGATCAAACTAGACTAATAATACATACATACCAACTAAATAACGACTGCAATTGAAAATAATTCATAAATAAAGAATAATCCATACGAGAAAATATAATTTATATTTAAAATTTCCAATTTTTTTTCGAACATTGCAGTTAAATGTATCACTATATGTGACAATATCTATATTTGATAATGATTTCAGGTGAAGTAGGCCCACCTGGAGAACCAGGAGCAGCCGGACTGATAGGACTTCCGGGTGTCACAGGAACGAAAGGTGAACCTGGTGAAGTAGGCTTGCCCGGATCACCTGGTGTTCCCGGTCAACTCGGAGAAACGGGACCAAAGGGCGCAATGGGTCCCAGGGGATTAATCGGATTACCGGGAGAAGAAGGCCGAAAAGGAGAGCAAGGTACAGATGGTCCACCGGGATTACCAGGAGAACATGGAAGAGATGGAATCGCAGGTAAGAAAAATCATGATCTTTTCTTCATGATTATGTTTTTACCGTTTTTTTATTATTATTGCTGCTCTTGTTGTTGTTGTTGTAACTAAGCGATTCAGGAGAACCGGAACTGATGCCACTGTGTGCGACATTCCCGGAAGTTGGATCCGACATACTGGTTGGACCCAAATATAAACATGATCGACTATAATTGCAGGGGAGTTCGATACTATTTTATTATACTTATTGATATAATTACTATATATTTATTCATTATGTATTTTCCTAAGTAATTACCTATTTCATCGTCGTATAACAACCAACAAAGGCAGAATCCACTTCACATTAAATAGAAAACTCTATGTAAAGTTAGTATATAAATGAAGGTAGAAAAAAACAAAACAAATGTTCATAAGCTCGCCAGGGTCATAAAGCACTGCCCGGGACACCCAGTCAGCTCCTCAGGTCAGAGGATTCGTTGTGTTGTATGCACCAACTCTGGTTCTATCAGTTCAAACTTTTACAACTGTTTGTGAAATTTACTAATTTTAGTATTTACTAATTTAATATTTATTAATTTTAATTTATTTAAAATAATGTAAAATAATTGTCACACTTAATCCATTTCATAATATATGACGTCATTTGTTTTTATTAAGATACGCTTCGAGCAGATTTGAGCGATCGAGAGAAATCATGGGAAATTTGTAGTTTAAAAGCAGTAATTCGACTTTGCTAACCAGACGCTTCCTCTGTAGCTATATATATATATATATATATATATATATATATATATATATATATATATATATATTGAGGAATCGATGAACCGAGTTCGAATTCAGTTGAGTTCATAATATTCATTTATGTCCAAATGCCATTGGAAAAGGTACTTCCCCGCCCATTTCTGGCTAAATAGTCGGGCAGGGTGGATTCTATAGTCCTCTGTCTAGGAGAATGATAACTCTGAATTCAAATTCGTATGTAGTCCTAGCAAAGCACATACGCTGCAGCTAAGAAAACGATTAAGTAGATGATTTCGACTACGATCGACTTGAGAGTGAGTGTGTGTGTGTGTGTGTGTGTGTGTGTGTGTGTGTGTGTGTGTGTGTGTGTGTGTGTGTGTGTCTGTATATGTATAAGCAGATGAAAGAAATTCTGGAGGTAATGAAACAACAATAATAATGATTCTACTACTACTACTACTAATAATAATAATTATTATTATTATCATTATTATAGTCCTTCTCTTAAGCAGCGTAAAATAAACTGGTCTTTCCCGAATGACATAGAATGGTAGACTATACAGCCAGCAAATGCTGAAAACCCAGAACTGTTCCTGTACCGCTGACGCGACACGAATGCGTGAAGAGACTATATCCTGTTGTTCGATTAAATTAACTTAATACATTTAAAGATATAAAATGTTTATTTTACGCCGTTTAAGTGAAACGACTTTGATAGATTAATTTATTTGAGCCATATAATACTGTAATCACGTTGACTGACTTCATTTTACGGCTCATCAGTTTATTCAAAGCCAGTAAATATTTTTAGTCGAAGGAACGGAAATATTAAAATCTAAAGTGTAATAGGCATTGGACAAATTGAACAGAAACAAAACAGCAAGACATGATGGAATTGTAATAGAGAATTTGAACTCCATTTAATGCGTCATATCTGAAAACTTCTTCTCCGAATTCTGATGAAGAAACCACGCAGCAGAATCAGACAAGAAATGCAGTTCAGGTTCGTTAAAGACACTGGAACAAGAAACGTGATATTTATGATCAGAATAATATCAGAAAGAACGGAAGGATGTGTACCTGTGTTTTATAGATTAGAAAAAAGCGTTTCGTAAAATACATCACAAAGTAGTGTTCAAAGTGCTTCACAATCTTCATATATTTGGGAAGAATATTAAAATAATTCAGAATTTATACTGGCAGCAAACAGTCTGCATACGTATAGAATAGATATAGAAAAATAGAAAGATGTGTAAGAGAATGGTGTATCTTTTCACCAGAGTAAATGAGGCGATTCTGAGAAAATTAGGCGTCCTACCAGGATTCAATATTGTCGGCCACAGTCTTAACAACATAAAATATGCAGATGCCACAGTGACGACACGAAAAGAAAAATGCAAGAACTCTTACAGAAAGTAGTGAGTCAAAGGGAGAAGAATTAATTAAACATAAATTGCAAGAAGATGGAATGCATGGGTATTGGCAAAAGAAAGAGCTCAACATATAAATTACAAATTGGAGATACCAAAATATCTGGGAAGTCTTTGTACAAAGGACGGGATGTTTAGCACTGACATCCGTAATCTGAATGCGCATTGGGATAGCCAAGAATGCATTTCAAAAGTTAAGCAGAGTATTAAGAAACAGAAAAAATCGTTAGAAACAAAGACAACAATACTGAAATGTTACGTAATATCAGTTTTCCTATAAGACAGTGAAGGCAGGACAATCTCCACACAGATGAAGAGATCACTTGAGGCAGCAGATGTGTGCTTCTACAGGAGGATGCTGAGGATTTTAATAAAAGAGAAAAAAATGCTCTTTATCTTATTATCCTGTCGGATTCTGATCCAAATTTGAACTGCATAACTCACACACACATGCAGACACAAACACACACACGCACAAACACACATACACCCCCACACACACGCACACACGCGCACGCACACACACACACACACACACATATATATATATATATATATATATATATATATATATATATATATATATATATATATATATATATATAACCTTCAGTCATGAAGATTGCGTTTAAGTATGAAACAGACTGTCACTGCTTGATGTTAACCTCACTGTTCATTTTTATATTCTTTCTATCCCTGGTATTGGGAAGTTTAAGCCATAAATATCAAGAAACCTGCGCGGGTTTTGTCGTCTGACAAGCTTCCAGCTGATGAGATTGTTCGTTAGCGTATTCCCAATAATGCATTCTGGTTTGGATATATATATATATATATATATATATATATATATATATATATGAATTATTCACACAAAGAAGAAATACAAAGGTTAATGATTTAATTATGAGAAATCCATCGTCGCGAACAATTCAAATAATATACAAAACCCTGAACCTGTTTATGAATGAAAAGATCCTTGTTTTTATAAATTTCTGTTGCATTAGTTCTTATTTTTACTACAAGCTTTTCGTCTGTTCCTACAGACATCTTCAGGTATGGAATAGATGTTGTTCTTGTTTTTTCTCTCAGTAATAAGAGGACAACGAAAATATATGTATTGTTGTATTCGAAAAATGCTATTAGAAATGAGTTATTGTTTTTTGAGCGTGCAGTAGCAACACTGAGTTTGATTTTAAATTTTTTACAATTGTGCGTTCTTGTACAAATATATATATATATATATATATATATATATATATATATATATATATATATATATATATGTATATATATATATGTATATATATATATATATGTACGTAGAGAGATAGAGAGAGAGAGAGAGAGAGAGAGAGAAAAGAAAAGGAGAGAGAGACAAATAAAGTTGACCTCCTTTATCTTTACAGGTGAACCTGGAGAACCAGGTCCAGTCGGACCGAAAGGTATGGCAGGAGAAATTGGACTTCCTGGACCTGCAGGCCCCAGAGGTCTTATTGGTAAGAAATTTTTAAACATTCTAAAAGAACATTTGAAAAATCATTATTAATTTCTAGTTATTTATCCTTTTTAATTTGGTTGCCGATCAGAAACTTTACATTATTATTCTTGCTTGATTGTTCTTGCTTTCTACAATTTTATTCATTTTCTATTTATTTTTTTCATTTTTCCTTCTATCTTTCGTGTTTTGTTTTTTTTTTCAAATGTTCCTTTCATCTAATTTAATATATTTTACCTTTCCTTCATTCAAGATTTTATCTTCAAGTTTTGTTCGCCGTTTTATGCATATTGATTTTTCGGTCTGCGTTTAGTCATCTTCTGTGAAAAAGGAAAATTCGACGGGCGCGCACTACACGTCTATAATCTTGGCGTAACAGACAGGAACTGACGTGGATTAATAATAAAAAATTAAGAAACATCTATATCTGAATAGAAACAATTTTGTGCTCATTTTATCTATTCATTGACCTAGGTAACCTTTCGGCCAAATGATTCTTCAGAGGTCGATCCTTGCCAGAGATGACGTAACGAAATTGATTTTCAAATATGCGGAAATTGCAGATAAAGTTGGAACGCGTCTAAAACAAATTTACGATTAAAATAAGTTCGCAAATTTAAGAAGCAATATAAATGAACCAGCAAGAGCATAAAACAGAAAAAGGGACCGCAAAAAGTTCTCCTTCTGTTTACAAAGAGATAGTTGTTGCAATTTAATGCAAACGGCTCCTAAAACTTGCAAATGGTGCTTGGACCTGTCCATATGCCAAATGGAGAATAAGTCAGTCGTGAAACTTTCATTCTCTGCCCAATTGCAGAGTCGTGTACAGACTGTGATACACGAGTATGATTACTTGAATGTAATGTAACACATTTAGAATCTAAGTCCAGTCCATCTTATGTACTCAGCCTCATCCGGCTGGCACTTGAACTTATAGATAAGGAAACTCTTACTAAGATAAGACAGTTGGTCATTTGTAAAGGAAAGAAACACTAGACGTGTGCTAAAAACAACACGTAATTTGCCCGAAAAAAGGCAGTAGAGACAGAATTGGAAACTGTCGGTTAGAATTTTACACTTTCTACCAAATCAAAGGCAATTTTAGATAAATCAGACACAGACTAGTGCCGAATTTAGGAGATACACTAAAATCTTATATCTTCCGTTCTATTGTACGATCAATAATATTGGTTGGATAACCATTATTAATAAGAATAGAACGTATTTTGTTTAATTCTTGCTGAAGGGTACAAGAGGAATAAATCATCAAGGCCAGATAGAATAAAGTTTTGATTAAATTAATTTTTCTGGTACGGGGGACAAATGAGTTCTAACTAATCTAAAGGCCTGTAAAAGTTGCTTTACAGAACACACTAGTAATAATACCATTCTTTCGCTCAAGCAAAACGTCAAGACAAGAGAGAGAGAGAGAGAGAGAGAGAGAGAGAGAGAGTTGTTTTCGTCTTCCTCCATTCTAAATAGCAAAGATGGATGTAATGAATTTAAATATTGACAAAAAACAGTTGCTTCATATATATTGTTAAACATAAAAAGGTGCCATCCACATAACGCAGATAGACATAAGGTTTCCGATATTTCTCAAATAGTAGGCTCTCGCGGTATCCCCAAAAAATGTTGACTATGGAGGGAACCAATTGGCTACCCATAGAAACCCGTCGACCTAGGCGGACATGACATATTCGAAGCTGAAAAATAAATAAATAAATGAGCACAAAATTTTGTCTATTCAGATCTATTTATTTATTCAAAACATTATATATATATATATATATATATATATATATATATATATATATATATATATATATATATATAAGTAAAAGGATTGTCACTTTTGCTGATTGGTAGTTTTCATAGACGGACCCGTCCCTCCACTTTTCAGAGAGTATCTGCAATTGGCTGCTTATACTTACTTTTCTTTTTTTTATATACACTTATCATTTTTTACATTTTTTTCATAGCGTGTGTGTGTGTGTGTATGTGCGTGTGTGTGCATTTGTGCACCCATGTGCCCGTCTACACGGATGTGCATTCGCCCGCAAGCGCCCATTCGCTCGTCTGCGCGGATGTGGTACGTGTAGGGTGTCGTGATTATTTTTCCTTTTCGTCATTTTTTTTCAAATATGTTTCGTTGAATATGATAGACACAGAAAATTTTATGAATTTGAGTTTTTCTGGTATCCTTAATTTTCTCTTTTGGTGCGAATAAAGGGGTCAAAAACATTGTCCGCTTTGTCTATTGTCCCAAGCGCTTTCGGCCAAATTTTTTAAGGGTTTATTTTTAGTTGTTAATTTCTTTTCATAGTTGTCTTTTAAGATGTAGTTGTGTGATGCCTATAGTAGACGTGTTTATTCTGAGTCCCGCGAAAGCAAAGTGGCAGTATTCTATTTAAAAAAACAAAAAACAAAAAACAAACCTTTTGCACATCACTTCCATTGTTAATAATATGAGATTGATACTAAGTGCCAAATGTGTTATGTAGAGTACTTTTCATGTTTTCGGTTACGGGTTTATATATATGAAATTATTCAACTCGATCAATTTTGGCCTTCTTATTATTATGATGATCATGGTGCTTTTGACTTAGTTCATCTGTTAATTATTTAGCTCGTACGTTACGTCCAGAGAGAAGCTCATTATTAATGAATTATTCCGTTTTGATAATGAAAAAAAATGAGGAAGATATATCAAAACGCACGAACGAACGAATGATTGAATGAACGATAAAGCGATAACACCATCATATGTTAAACTTCAGTTTCAGAGAAATGGAATAAAAAACTTGTTCAAATCTTTGCATTTGTATCCTCTTACTTATTAATCGTTACAACAAAATTTGGTTGTCAAGCTAAATGTTTAACGATGCCGTAGGGGAATTTAAATGAGCAATGTATAAACGAAAAACTATCAAGGTGCATAAAGGAGCACTATCTTAAGAATGGATTAGTTCGTCGAGTTTGAATTGATGAATCGGAGAGCCGAGTTCGAATTCCATTCGAACCCATTACATTCACTTACGTGCTAATATCCTTGGGAAATGTATGAATCCACTTCTCCCCGCAGCCATGGGTAAATACTAGAACAGACTGGGTTCTATAGCCTTGGATGGCAACTGGTTTACCGAAGAGAGAAATGGAAAAATCTGCCTCGTCAGTCATGTATCTAAAACTACATGATCGCTTAAGCATGTACTGAACTTAAGAATTATGATTCATTAGAAATTTCGAATAAGAAAATCGTGATATTTTTGCGGGTATTTATAGTTTTTATTAATGCAGTTCTCTGTGATACGTAATTTTTTATGTATCTTACCAGGGATCCAGTTACAGTGAACCCCTATTTTCAACACCGTATCCATTATTATTATTATTATTATTATTATTATTATTATTATTATTATACTCAAGGTCCCCAAGGACACCCAGGAAAACCAGGCACTCCAGGAACGAAGGGTTCCAAAGGTGAAAGAGGAAGCGACGGCTTACCAGGTCTACCTGGCGGCGTTGCTGGAAGTGGTGATGGAGTTTTTGATGGACCCGTTGGCCGACACGCTATTCAAGGGAAAAAGGAGAGAAAGGTGAATCAGGACTTCAAGGTCTGGCAGGACTTGATGGCTACCCTGGTGAAACTGGTGCTCCAGGAGAGAAAGGTAAGTAATTATGGATAAATTACATGCCTAATATCCGGATGTCGAGGAAACAGGACGACAATTGTAAAGGCATTAAATTTATTAGTTCTGGATATATTTAATATTTTAATGAAAAAATATATATATATATATATATATATATATATATATATATATATATATATATATATTTCTGCTGTGATAGAAGATGAAATAAACACACAGGTCATTAATCCGTTGAAGTTTTACCTGTTAAAAATATCGCATAAAAAACGCAGTAACCTAATTTTTTATGCATTATTTCAAATTTTCTTTTTTTTAGAGGAGGCTTCGAAAATATATTGGTGAGAGAAAAAGCGCTTTGAGGCGATTTTACCCAGCACTACTTTCAATATAGAAACGACCTCTCTAACCTTTCGAGAGAACTTTACTTGAAAATATATATTTATCTACTGAGATAAGATACAAAAATATTTTCTTTTAGTTCTTCCCTGATCAACAAATAAATAATTAAGTCTTTAATCTACGAGAAACGAAATGAAGTTATAATTTATCTATTACAATATTATTACTTTATTTCCTCTAGTGTATATTTATTTTTTCCGGGTCCCAAACAGAGAGCTAAGGTCAGAGATAGCATCATGAAATTTTCAACCGAGCATTCTTTGAGAAAAAAAAAACTAACATTACACATAGATAAAGCCTTTCGTGGCTGTACACGTGAGTATTCATTTAAGGCTTGGGTTACAAGGAATCCATTCAGTTGTCGGCAGGGTTATGGTTAGGGTCATTATTATTATTATTATTATTATTAATAATAATAATAATAAATGATTATTATTATTATTATTATTATTATTATTTTCTTTAAATTTTGTTGTATTCCACATTTCCTTCCTTTAATGTCATAAATGGCTTTAATGACATTTTTTCCACCGATCATTTTGTAAAAACAAAACAAAACAAAAAACAACCTAAGAACACACACATTCTACGTACATAAAGCTCTTCGTAAGGTGTGAGCTGTGAGTAATTTTCGTATTTCTTTAAGGCCTGGTCTGCTAGGAATCCTTCAAAGAGTCTATCAGAACAGTTGTCAATCAATTCGAGGGCTCTAAATTACAACTGAAATTGTTGATGTCTTTTATGTGCCACATTTTGAGGTTTCCTTTAAGAGATTTTGTATTTTAATAGCTTTTTTGAAGATGTCAAAGATACATTATAATCTGCAGGTACTGTCATGTCAATAAGAAAACACATTCTGTGTGTATTGTAAAGTTCCATAAAATTATTACACGTCCTATCTCTGTAACCGGATCTGGGTGATGTTCATTTGCTTCCCGTAAAAGTTGTATGCTTTCCATTTCAGATATTGGTCCACTTTATAATCTCGGCTTTTATATTCAGTGAGCGCTCATACAGTGCAACATGATAAAGATGGTCAATTGTTACTGGATTACTAGTATTACTTACACAAACCAAAAGATCAAATATTGGCGCCATAAAGTCGGATAAAAATAAATATTCTTTTAAAAATTTCTTACTGAATAAGGTAATAAGGCTACTAAGACGCAAAGTGTGAAAGATTATGAGGAAAAAAAAGTTGAAAGAAAATAATAAAAGAACAGGAATTAATAAGACAAGATAACAATTGATATTGCATTTTTAAACATCAAAGTTTACTGGAAAGTCAGAACAGAGTTTCACAAGCGAGAAGTAAAGCAAATAAACTATCTGCATAGAACTGTAAAGTGATGAAACCTTGTTGCAAATCTAGTACAGTATTTAGTCACCCCCCCCCCACGAGGGCATCATGTGGCACAAGGCCGGTTTAACGTGGGCTCGGCTAAAAATATGCCATTTGAACCCGTATAAACGGGTTCAGGGTCGGTTTACCTTTCCGAAAGAGACTCCGCTCTTCGGCGTAGCCTCGTTCGGGTTCCTCCCCGCCCGAAGGGAGAGAGTTCAACCGATCAGCAGATCAGCCGGTCGCCCGACTTCAAACTGAAAATCTATTACTGCGCTTAAATTCATAAAGTCTAGCTAGCAAAAAGGAAAGATTATCAGAACAATTGCTATAAAAATATTTATAGAAAAGGCAAGAGAAGCGACATGAAGATGCAATCAATCTAATACATTATTATCATAATCATCATCATCTTCGAGTTTTGAGTCGGCACTGTGGGGAAAGGACTGAAGCCGAGATACCAGGTCAGGACAGACAACACTGAAGATTCTTTTTTGGATTTTATCAAGAATCCCTAAATACATAGTAGATGTATCAGACCAGATGTTAAAGTAATATTCAATGCATGGCCAAATACTAGATTTATAAATGTATAAGATTAGATCCTGACGAGACAAAATTGTCTAGCATGACATATTGAATCAACTTTCCTAGTAGCAGACCTAGCAATTGATTCAATATACTCTTTCCACTTTTATATTTTATTTTATATAATTAGATAATCTATAGAATGACGAACTGAGATATTGCGATGAAACGCAACTGAAATTAAGATGAAAGAAATCCTAGAAAATTATGATTAATATTGATTCATCCATTTTTGTTATTGATTCGGCATTTAGAAGATTATTTTTTTAAGTAAGCAGAGTGACTGAAAATTTATTGACTTACTTTTTATAATTTTACAAAACTGTTACAAATTGTTTATTTTACACACCTTTGATTTTCAGGGGAACCTGGAGTAAATGGATTTGATGGTGTGCCTGGAAAGATGGGTGACCCGGGACCAAAAGGTGATAAAGGAAGTGAGGGACCAAGAGGATATAGTGGCGAGCAAGGCGTTCCTGGTCTTAAAGGAATGAATGGCATACCAGGTATTTATTCTTCTTATAATATTCATAAAATAAACAAAGTTAAAAAAAAGTGAAAAATCATAACAGGAATTAAATATAACGATATCTAATCCGCATGAACTTAGAAACAATAGATCATAAATTATATAGGACAGATCTATGTAATCTAAACAATTTATATAAACGCATAAACTATATACAATACATGTTATATATTCATAGTATAAAAAATAGAGTATATTTGCAAAAGGGACAATGGGAATAAAGACAAAAAAAATCCTCTAATATATTTGGTAATTCAAATATATTATGTAAACTAAGAAAAGATATGTTACTTTGATCAAACTAGACTAATAATACATACATACCAACTCAAATAACGACTGCAATTGAAAATAATTCATAAATAAAGAATAATCCAGGCTACGAGAAAAAAATATAATTTGCATTTAAAATTTCCAATTTTTTTCGAACATTGCAGTTAAATGCATCACTATATGTGACAATATCTATATTTGATAACGATTTCAGGTGAAGTAGGGCCCACCTGGAGAACCAGGACAGCCGGACTGATAGGACTTCCGGGTGTCACAGAACGAAAGGTGAACCTGGTGAAGTAGGCTTGCCTGATCATTCTGGTGTCTTCGGTCAACTCGGAGAAACGGGACCAAAGGGCTAAATGGTCCCAGGGGATTAATCGGATTACCGGGAGAAGAAGGTCAGAAAAGGAGAGCAAGGGGTACAGATGGTCCACCGGATTACCAGGAGAACATGGAAGATGGAATGGAATCGCAGGTAAGAAAAAATCATGATCTTTTCTTCAAGGGATTATGTTTTACCGTTTTTTTATTATTCCTCTTGTTGTTGTTGTTGTTGTAATCTGCTGATTCAGAGAACCAGGTTGATGCCACTGTGTGTATTGCGACATTCCCGGAAGTTGGATCCGACATACTGGTTGGACCCAAATATAAACATGATCGACTATAAATTGCAGGAGTTCGATACTATTTTATTATATCATTGATATAATTACTATATATTTATTCATTATGTATTTTCTAAAGTAATTTACCTATTTCATCGTCGTATAACAACCAACAAAGGCAGAATCCACTTCACATTAAATAGAAAACTCTATGTAAGTTAGTATATCTTATATTAGTATATAAAATGGGTGAAAAAAAAACAAAACAAATGTTCATAAGCTCGCCAGGGTCATAGCACTGCCAGGACACCCAGATCCAGCTCTCAGGTCAGAGAGGATTCGTTGCGGCGCACCAACTCTGGTTCTATCAGTTCAAACTTTACAACTGTTTGTGAAATTTACTAATTTTAGTATTTACTAATTTAATATTTATTAATTTTAATTTATTTAAAATATTGTGTAAAATAATTGTCACACTTAATCCATTTCATAATATATGACGTCATTTGTTTTTTATTAAGATACGCTTGAGCAGATTTGAGCGATCGAGAGAAATCATGGGAAATTTGTAGTTTAAAAGCAGTAATTTCGACTTTACTAACCAGACGCTTCCTCTGTAGCTATATATATATATATATATATATATATATATATATATATATATATTGAGGAATCGATGAACCGAGTTCGGAATTCAGTTGAGTTCATAATATTCATTTATGTCCAAATGCCATTGAGCACTTCCCCGCCCATTTTTGCCAAATAGTCGGGCAGGGTGGATTCTATAGTCCTCTGTCTAGAGAATGATAACTCTGAATTCAAATTCGTATGTAGTCCTAGCAAAGCACATACGCTGCAGCTAAGAAAACGATTATAGATGATTTCGACTACGATCGACTGAGAGAGTGAGTGAGTGTGTGTGTGTGTGTGTGTGTGTGTGTGTGTGTGTGTGTGTGTCTGTATATGTATAAGCAGATGAAAGAAATTTGGAGGTAATGAAACAACAATAATGATTCTTTACTACTACTACTAATAATAATAATTATTATTATTATCATTATTATAGTCCTTTTCTTAAGCAGCGTAAAATAAACTGGTCTTCCTGAATGACACAGAATGGTAGACTATACAGCCAACAAATGCTGAAAACCCAGAACTGTTCCTTGCTGACGCGACACGAATGCGTGAAGAGACTATATCCTGTTGTTCGATTAAATTAACTTAATACATTTAAAGATATAAAATGTTTATTTTACGCCGTTTTAAGTGAAACGACTTTGATAGATTAATTTATTTGAGCCATATAATACTGTAATCACGTTGACTGACTTCATTTTACGGCTCATCAGTTTTTATTTCAAAGCCAGTAAATATTTTTAGTCGGCTGAACGGAAATATTAAAATCTAAAAATTAATAGGCATTGGACAAATTGAACAGAAACAAAACAGCAAGACATGATGGAATTGTAATAGAGAATTTGAACTCATTTAATGCGTCATATCTGAAAACTTCTTCTCCGAATTCTGATGAAGAAACCACGCAGCAGAATCAGACAAGAAAATGCAGTTCAGGTTCGTTAAAAGACACTGGAACAAGAAACGTGATATTTATGATCAGAATAATATCAGAAAGAACGGAAGGATGTGTACCTGTGTTTTATAGATTAGAAAAAAGCGTTTCGTAAAAATACATCACAAAGTAGTGTTCAAAGTGCTTCACAATCTTCATATATTTGGGAAGAATATTAAATAATTCAGAATTTATACTGGCAGCAAACAGTCTGCATACGTATAGAATAGATATAGAAAAATAGAAAAGATGTGTAAGAGAATGGTATCTTTTCACCAGAGTAAATGAGGCGATTCTGAGAAAATTAGGCGTCCTATTAGGATTCAATATTGTCGGCCACAGTCTTAACAACATAAAATATGCAGATGCCACAGTGACGACACGAAAAGAAAAATGCAAGAACTCTTACAGAAAGTAGTGAGTCAAAGGGAGAAGAAATTAATTTAAATATAAATTGCAAGAAGATGGAATGTATGGGTACAAAAAGAAAGAGCTCAACATATAAATTACAAATTGGAGATACCAAAATATCTGGGAAGTCTTTTGTACAAAGGACGGGATGTTTAGCATGACATCAAAAATCTGAATGCGCATTGGGATAGCCAAGAATGCATTAAAAGTTAAGAGAGTACAAAAGAAAAAAAAAAAATCGTTAGAAACAAAGACAACAATACCGAAATGTTACGTAACATCAGTTTTCCTATAGAGACAGTGAAGGCAGGAAATCCTCCACAGATGAAGAGATCACTTGAGGCAGCAGATGTGTGTTTTACAGGAGGATGCTGAGGATTTTAATAAAAAGAGAAAAAATGCTTTTATCTTATTATCCTGTCGGATTCTGATCCAAATTTGAACTGCATAAACTCACACACACACATGGCACAAACACACACACGCACAAACACACATACACCCCACACACACACACACGCGCACGCACACACACACACACACATATATATATATATATATATATATATATATATATATATATATATATATATATATATAACCTTCAGTCATGAAGATTGCGTTTTACATGAAACAGACTGTCACTGCTTGATGTTAACCTCACTGTTCATTTTTATATTCTTTTCATCCCTGGTATTGGGAAGTTTGGGCCATAAATATCAAAACCTGCTAGGTTTTGTCGTCTGACAAGCTTCCAGCTGATGAGATTGTTCGTTAGCGTATTCCCAATAATGCATTCTGGTTTGATATATATATATATATATATATATATATATATATATATATATATGAATTATTCACACAAAGAAGAAATACAAAGGTTAATGATTTAATTATGAAATCCATCGTCGCGAACAGTTCCAAATAATATACAAAACCCCGAACCTGTTTATGAATAGAAAAAGATCCTTGTTTTATAAATTTCTGTTGCATTAGTTCTTATTTTACTACAAGCTTTCGTCTGTTCCTACAGACATCTTCAGGTATGGAATAGATGTTGTTCTTTGTTTTTTCTCTCAGTAATAAGAGGACAACGAAATATATACATTGTTGTATTCGAAAAATGCTATTAGAAATGAGTTATTGTTTTTTTGAGCGTGCAGTAGCAACACTGAGTTTGATTTTTAAATTTTTTTTTTTTTACAATTGTGCGTTCTTGTACAAATAATATATATATATATATATATATATATATATATATATATATGTATATATATGTATATGTATATATATATATATATATATGTATATATACGTAGAGAGATAGAGAGAGAGAGAGAGAGAGAGAGAGAAAGAAAGGAGAGAGACAAATAAAGTTGACCTCCTTTATTCTTTTACAGGTGAACCTGGAGAACCAGGTCCAGTCGGACCGAAAGGTATGGCAGGGAAATTGGACTTCCTGGACCTGCAGGCCCCAGAGGTCTTATAAGTAAGAATTTTTAAACATTCTAAAAGAACATTTGAAAAATCATTATTAATTTCTAGTTATTTATCCTTTTAATTTGGTTGCCGATCAGAAACTTTACATTATTATTCTTGCTTGATTGTTCTTGCTTTCAATTTTATTCATATTTTCTATTTATTTTTTCATTTTTCCTTCTATCTTTCGTGTTTTGTTTTTTTTTCAAATGTTCCTTTCATCTAATTTAATATATTTTACCTTTCCTTCATTCAAGATTTTATCTTCAAGTTTTTGTTCGCCGTTTTATGCATATTGATTTTTCGGTCTGCGTTTAATATCTTCTGTAAAAGGAAAATTGACGGGCGCACTACACGTCTATAATCTTGGCGTAACAGACAGGAACTGACGTGGATTAATAATAAAAATTGAAACATCTATATCTGAATAGAAACAATTTGTGCTCATTTTATCTATTCATTGACCTAGGTAACCTTTCGGCCAAATGATTCTTCCGGAGGTCGATCCTTGCCAGGAGATGACGTAACGAAATTGATTTTCAAATATGCGGAAATTGCAGATAAAGTTGAACGCGTCTAAAACAAATTTACGATTAAATAAGTTCGCAAATTTAAGAAGCAATATAAATGAACTAGCAAGAGCATAAAACAGAAAAAGGGACCGCAAAAGTTCTCCTTCTGTTTACAAAGAGATAGTTTTGCAATTTAATGCAAACGGCCTTAAAACTTGCAAATGGTGCTTGACCTGTCCATATGCTAAAAATGGAGAATGTCAATGAAACTTTCATTCTCTGCCTGAATTGCAGAGTCGTATGTACAGACTGTGATACACGAGTATGATTATTTGAATGTAATGTAACACATTTAGAATCTAAGTCCAGTCCATCTATGTACTCAGCCCTCATCCGGCTGGCACTTGAACTTATAGATATGAAACCTACTAAGATAAGACAGTTGGTCATTTGTAAAGGAAAGAAACACTAGACGTGTGCTAAAAACAACACGTAATTTGCCCGAAAAAAGGCAGTAGAGACAGAATTGGAAACTGTCGGTTAGAATTTTACACTTCTACCAAATCAAAGGCAATTTTAGATACAAATCACATGTTCAGTGCCGAATTTAGAGATACTGTATCTTATATCTTCCGTTCTATTGTATGATCAATAATATTGGTTGGATAACCATTATTAATAAGAATAGAACGTATTTTGTTTAATTCTTGCTGAAGGGTACAAGAGGAATAAATCATCAAGGCCAGATAGAATAAAGTTTTGATTAAATTAATTTTTCTGGTACGGGGACAAATGAGTTCTAACTAATCTAAAGGCCTGTAAAAGCGCTTTACAGAACACACTAGTAATAGCACTCATTCTTTTCTGCTTGCCAAAACGTCAAGACAAGAGAGAGAGAGAGAGAGAGAGAGAGAGAGAGAGAGTTACTTTTTTCTCTCCATTCTAAATAATAGCAAAGATGGATGTAATGAATTTAAATATTGACAAAAAACAGTTGTTTACATATATTGTTGTTAAACATAAAAGGTGCCATCCATAACGCAGATAGACATAAGGTTTCCGATATTTCTCAAATAGTAGGCTCTCGGTATCCCAAAAAATGTTGACTATGGAGGAACCAATTGGCTACCTATAGAAACCCGTCGACCTAGGCGGACACTTTTATATTCGAAGCTGAAAAAAATAAATAAATGAGCACAAAATTTTGTCTATTCAGATCTATTTATTTATTCAAAACATTATATATATATATATATATATATATATATATATATATATATATAAGTAAAAGGATTGTCACTTTTGCTGATTGGTAGTTTCCACAGACGGACCTGTCCTCCACTTTTCAGAGAGTATCTGCAATTGGCTGCTTATACTTTCATTTTTTCTTTTTTTTATATACACTTATCATTTTTACATTTTTCATAGCGTGTGTGTGTGTGCGTGCGTGTGTGCATTTGTAGTAACCTATGTGCCTGTCTACACGGATGTGCATTCGCCCGCAAGCGCCCATTCGCTCGTCTGCGCGGATGTGGGTACGTAGGGTGTGATGATTTTTCCTTTTCGTCATTTTTTTTTCAAATATGTTTCTGCGTTGAATATGATAGACACAGAAAATTTTATGAATTTGAGTTTTTCTGGTATCCTTAATTTTTCTTTTGGTGCGAATAAAGGGTCAAAAACATTGTCCGCTTTGTCTATTGTCCCAAGCGCTGGCCAAATTTTTAAGGGTTTATTTTAGTTGTTAATTTTTCATAGTTGTCTTTAAGATGAAGCCGTGATGCCCATAGTAGACGTGTTTATTCTGAGTCCCGCGAAAGCAAAAGTGGCAGTATTCTATTTAAAAAACAAAAACAAAAAACAAACCTTTTTGCAACATCACTTCCATTGTTAATAATATGAGATTGATACTAAGTGCCAAAATGTGTTATGTAGAGTACTTTTCATGTTTTCGGTTACGGGTTATATATATGAAAATTATTCAACCTCGATCAATTTTTGGCCTTCTTATTATTATTATGATGATCATGGTGCTTTTGACTTAGTTCATCTGTTAATTATTTAGGCTCGTACGTTACGTCCAGAGAGAAGCTCATTATTAATGAATTATTCCGTTTTGATAATGAAAAAAAATGAGGAAGATATATCAAAACGCACGAACGAACGAATGATTGAATGAACGATAAAGCGATAATACCATCATATGTTAAACTTCAGTTTCAGAGAAATGGAATAAAAAACTTGTTCAAATCTTTTGCATTTGTATCCTTCACTTATTAATCGTTAAGAACAAAATTTGGTTGTCAAGCTAAATGTTTAACGATGCCGTAGGGGAATTTAAAATGAGCAATGTATAAACGAAAAACTATCAAGGTGCATAAAGGAGCACTATCTTAAGAATGGATTAGTTCGTTCGAGTTTGAATTGATGAATTGAGAGCTGAGTTCGAATTCCATTCGAACCCATTACATTCACTTACGTGCTAATATCCTTGGGAAATGTATGAACTAATTTCTCCCGCAGCCATGGGTAAATACTAGAACAGACTGGGTTCTATAGCCTTGATGGCAACTGGTTTACCGGAAGAGAGAAATGGAAAATCTGTTTCGTCAGTCAAGTGTATCTAAAACTACATGATCGCTTAAGCATGTACTGAACTTAAGAATTATGATTCATTAGAAATTTCGAATAAGAAAATCGTGATATTTTTGCGGGTATTTATAGTTTTATTAATGCAGTTCTCTGTGATACGTAATTTTTATGTATCTACCAGGGATCCAGTTACAGTGAACCCCTATTTTCAACACCTGCATCCATTATTATTATTATTATTATTATTATTATTATTATTATTATTATTATACTCAAGGTCCCCAAGGACACCTTAGGAAAACCAGGCACCCAGGAACGAAGGGTTCCAAAGGTGAAAGAGGAAGGACGGCTTACCAGGTCTACCTGGCGGCGTTGCTGGAAGTGGTGATGAGCTTTTGATGGACCCGTTGGCCGACACGCTATTCAAGGAAAGGAGAGAAAGGTGAATCAGGACTTCAAGGTCTGGCAGGACTTGATGGCTACCCTGGTGAAACTGGTGCTCCAGGAGAGAAAGGTGTAATTATGGATAAATTACATGCCTAATATCCGATGTCGAGGAAACAGGACGACAATTGTAGGCATTAAATTTATTAGTTCTGATATATTTAACATTTTGAAAATGAAAATAATATATATATATATATATATATATATATATATATATATATATATATATTTCTGCTGTGATAGAAGATGAAATAAACACACAGGTCATTAATCCGTTGAAGTTTTACCTGTTAAAAATATCGCATAAAAAAACGCAGTAACCCTAATTTTTTATGCATTATTTCAATGTTTTCTTTTTTTAGAGGAGGCTTCGAAAATATATTGGTGAGAGAAAAAGCGCTTGAGGCGATTTTACCCAGCACTACTTTCAACATAGAAACGACCCTAACCTTCGAGAAACTTACTTCGAAAAATATATATTTATCTACTGAGATAAGATAAAAAATATCTTTTTAGTTCTTCCTGATCAACAAATAAATAATTAAGTCTTTAATCTACGAGAAACGAAATGAAGTTATAATTTATCTATTACAATATTATTACTTTATTTCTCTAGTGTATATTTATTTTTCCGGTCCCAAACAGAGAGCTAAGGTCAGAGATAGCATCATGAAATTTTCAACTGAGCATTCTTTGAGAAAAAAAAAAAAACTAACATTACACATAGATAAAGCCTTCGCGTGGCTGTACACGTGAGTATTCATTTAAGGCTTGGGTTACAAGGAATCCATTCAGTTGTCGGCAGGGTTATGGTTAGGGTCATTATTATTATTATTATTATTATTAATAATAATAATAATAATAATGATTATTATTATTATTATTATTATTATTATTATTTTCTTTAAATTTTGTTGTATTCCACATTTCCTTCCTTTAATGTCATAAATGGCTTTATGACATTTTCCACTGATCATTTTTGTAAAAACAAAACAAAACAAAAAACAACCTAAGAACACACACATTCTACGTACATAAAGCTCTTCGTAAGGTGTGAGCTGTGAGTGCAATTTTCGTATTTCTTTAAGGCCTGGTCTGCTAGGAATCCCTTCAAAGAGTCTATCAGAACAGTTGTCAATCAATTCGAGGGCTCTAACTACAACTGAAATTGTTGATGTCTTTATGTGCCACATTTTTGAGGTTTCCCCTTGAAGATCCTTGTATTTTAATAGCTTTTTGAAGATGTCCAAAGATACATTATAATCTGCAGGTACTGTCATGTCAATAAGAAAACACATTCTGTGTGTATTGTAAAGTTCCATAAAATTATTACACGTCCTATCTCTGTAACCGGATCTGGGTGATGTTCATTTGCTTCCCGTAAAAGTTGTATGCTTTCCATTTCAGATATTGGTCCACTTTATAATCTCGGCTTTTATATTCAGTGAGCGCTCATACAGTGCAACATGATAAAGATGGTCAATTGTTACTGGATTACTAGTATTACTTACACAAACCAAAGATCAAATATTGGTTACAAAGTCGGATAAAAATAAAATATTTAAAAATTTCTTTACTGAATAAGGTAATAAGGCTACTAAGACGCAAAGTGGTGAAAGATTATGAGGAAAAAAGTTGAAAAGAAAATAATAAAAGAACAGGAATTAATAAGACAAGATAACAATTGATATTGCATTTTTAAACATCAAAGTTTACTGGAAAGTCAGAACAGAGTTTCACAAGCGAGAAGTAAAGCAAATAAACTATCTGCATAGAACTGTAAAGTGATGAAACCTTGTTGCAAATCTAGTACAGTATTTAGTCACCCCCCACGAGGGCATCATGTGGCACAAGGCCGGTTTAACGTGGCCGGCTGTAATAGTGCCATTTGAACCCGTATAAACGGGTTCAGGGTTTATTTATTTTTCCGAAAGAGACTCCGCTCTTCGGCGTAGCTCGTTCGGGTTCCTCCCGAAGGGGGAGAGAGTTCAACCGATCAGCAGATCAGCGTCGCCCGACTTCAAACTGAAAATCTATTACTGCGCTTAAATTCATAAAGTCTAGCTAGCAAAAAGGAAAGATTATCAGAACAATTGCTATAAAAATATTTATAGAAAAGGCAAGAGAAGACATGAAGATGCAATCAATCTAATACATTATTATCATAATCATCATCATCTTCGAGTTTTGAGTCGGCACTGCCGGGGAAAGGACTGAAGCCGAGATACCAGGTCAGGACAGACAACACTGAAGATTCTTTTTGATTTTATCAAGAATCCCAAAATACATAGTAGATGTATCAGACCAGATGTTAAAGTAATATTCAATGCATGGCCAAAAATACTAGATTTATAAATGTATAAGATTAGATCCTGACGAGAAAAATTGTCTAGATGACATATTGAATCAACTTTCCTAGTAGCAGACCCAGCAATTGATTCAATATACTTTTCCACTTTTATATTTTTATTTTATATAATTAGATAATCTATAGAATGACGAACTGAGATATTGCGATGAAACGCAACTGAAATTAAGATGAAAGAAATCCTAGAAAATTATGATTAATATTGATTCATCCATTTTTGTTATTGATTCGGCATTTAGAAGATTATTTTTTTAAGTAAGCAGAGTGACTGAAAATTTATTGACTTACTTTTTATAATTTTACAAAACTGTTACAAATTGTTTATTTTACACTCCTTTGATTTTCAGGGGAACCTGGAGTAAATGGATTTGATGGTGTGCCTGGAAAGATGGGTGACCCGGGACCAAAAGGTGATAAAGGAAGTGAGGGACCAAGAGGATATAGTGGCGAGCAAGGCGTTCCTGGTCTTAAAGGAATGAATGGCATACCAGGTATTTATTCTTCTTATAATATTCATAAAATAAACAAAGTTAAAAAAAAGTGAAAATCATAACAGGAATTAAATTAATATAACGATATCTAATCCGCATGAACTTAGAAACAATAGATCATAAATTATATAGGACAGATCTATGTAATCTAAACAATTTATATAAACGCATAAAACTATATACAATACATGTTATATATTACATAGTGTAAAAAATAGAGTATATTTGCAAAAGGACAATGGGAATAAAGACAAAAAATATCTTAGCCGAAGCGTTTCCTCCTCTGAGGGAGTTTATCAAGACAAATTTGCTTTGGTAAAGTCCATCAGAGCATATTCCCATTACATATATTATGTACAGTATTTACATTAGTCGGACTATTGTCCTCATCTTTGTCGCCATATTTGTCACAACGTTTCGGCCGTTGTACGCTCCGGCCTTCTTCAGGTGGTTGGAATTTCGAACTGAACCCTTTATTTCGATCGCTGGGGTAGACTGTTCTAATTCCACGTGCCATGTTTGATGGATGTCAGTTATCAGTTATCTCCTGCTAATTTTCCCTCTGAAAGTTCTCCACTGCCTTAACCAGGAATTGAACTCACCTGCTTTGGGTCTGTCACTGGATCTAACCAACACCTTTATCCACTGTGCCATGTGTCCTTGAGGACATCTGGGTATTATAAACCTAATGTTTTCAGCATCATTTTTACCAGTGCTCATATTGCAAATTTTTTGCTGTTATCATTGTACGTCTTTTACCAGAGTTCATATTGCAACTTTTTGTTATCATTGCTTTTTTCTCTGGTTCCCATATTGTATTTATTTCTATGCTTGGTCGGCTCAGGAGATTTTTGTGGCCTAGCATATGTGCTGATTCCTTAAGTTTACGAATTTTCCAATGGTGTACCATGTCTATGATCTCAACATGATCCCACAGGGGGCGGCAGATCTCCCTCTCTCCATATGTGGTCAGCCACGCCTGATTTTTTCTACTTCCCCTCGCGTTACAGTTTTGGTGTTCTTGAAGCCTTACCTTGAGGGGGGCGGCCTGTCTCCTTTATATTCCTTTCCGCAGTTGCATGGGATAGCGTACACACAGTCTTTAGTCATGTTCCTCTATGGGGGTCTCACCGTGAGAGATACCAAGGAAGTGTTGTCACGCTTTTGAAGGTTGTTCTGATGTTATATGGACCGCAGATCCTTTGTATTTTCTCTGATAACCCCTTCACATATATTATGTAGTATTCAGGAACATAACAAGCAAAAATATGATAACATTAAGTTAACGATAAATGTTACTACAATGTTCTCTTTGCTAAGGTTCTTGGGCGGAGAGTTGAGAATACTATGTGACTAAATAGCCCTGCTTGAAATCAGGTATTTGTAGCATAAGTACAGGGAGAACAAAATGATGACAAGACGCGAATTTACAAAAGGTTGTTACCGGATTAAGGTGTATTTAACACTTAACAGCTAAAGTAGTAAAAGCCTTAAGAAAATAATTTCAACTTTTAAAACTCTTTACAGTTCATTGGTTCTCTGTTTCATACAAGGTGATGAAATTTTGAAAGATGTTGAGGCATCTAAAAATTGAAACAACAGATTTAGAATTCAAAGAATTAATTTAAATGTTCACACTTATTAGTATTAAATCATTATTGATCAAATAGGGTCACTGGCATGTGGGTAGCGTAACAATTATAGACGTAAAATATAGAATAAATGAGATGAGTTCAAGTTTCATCACAGTGTGAAAAACGGGACAGAATTTTCATTAATATAAGACATTATTATCATGGTATGATTGAAGCTTTTTCCTTAGTTTCTGAGTTAGCACCTATATGACATCCTTTCATTACTCCAGATAAATAATTGTACTTTACTGTATGATTGTGAGGATAGACATAAGAATATATATATCGAAGGTTCTGTTTGTGTAGTAGAGTAGTTTTCACAGTGGAGGCTTGTATTTCAATAAATCGGTCCTAAATTAGGTTCGACGTACAAAACGTTAGGAACTTGAAAAAATAGTTAATGACGCAGCAATCTAGTTGCGGGGGTTGATACATTAAGGTCCGACATCGACTGACTCATCAACTTAATATTTAGTCACCCCCCCACGAGGGCATCATGTGGCACAAGGCCGGTTTAACGTGGGATCTCCGAGCCCGTGGACTCGGCCAAAAATATGCCCATTGAACCCGTATAAACGGATTCAGGGTCGGTTTACCTCCCCGAAGGCAGAGAGTTCAACCGATCAGCCAGTCGACTGACTGACCAATTCACCCTGAGCCCCACCGGCGACTGTTACTACTATTAACAATAGAATAGGTATGTTCTGGTATAAAAGTTTGGTTACAGGGAAAAGAATGAAAACGAAATGAAGAAAACGAAAATAAAGGACCCAATAACGCTCTCCTGTATTTAACTTCTGCTTTGGTGATATAGAAAAACTTGTCAATTTTTAGTCATTTCATTTGTACCCTCTTACATCTTTAAATAATGATCTGTATTCATATTTATAATTGTTATTGTAATATATTTTTAAAGTTGTTAAGCTCAAATATTTAACGATGCAATAGCGGAATTTCTACTTGTATTTTATGGTCATAGGACTCGTGATGATTTTATTCAATCGTAAACTTAGAACTTAAGATTTATCAGAAAATTCTGATATGAACAAACATCATATAATTATTCTGGTTCCTTCGTTCCTTAATTAGTTAGCATGTACGATACACACTGGCATTTCCCTAGATAAAGAGTGGACCATTCTTGTTTGATTACGAAGATGGACCTTTAATAGCTTGTTTATCTCCTGTCCACAAAACGGAAGAAAAGATAAATCGAAGGCGACATTCAAAAGAAAGAGAAGAGAAGAAAGAGGAGGCGATAAAAGACTACTTTGATGATATAGAATAACTTGTCAGTTTTTAATCTTTTCATTTGTATCCTCTTACTTCTTTAAATAATGACCTCTATTCATATTTATAGTTATTATTGTAATATTTTATTAAAGTTGTTAAGTTCAAATATTTAACGAAGTCATAGGGGAGTTTCCATGAATATTTTATTGTCTAGGAATCGGAAGGCGCTTATCGACCATTAAATTAAAAACTGAAATTCTTCAGATAATTAATTTCCTTTTATTATTTCATCCTAAACGTTGGAATTACATTCGTATCTCTGACTTTGCTTCTAAGGCTAATCATCTTGCAAAATTCATTTCATATATTCAGGATTAAGGCGGCGTGAAATAATTTAAGTTCATACCTTTCGTAAAGGTATTTGTGTGAAAGCGAATGCTACGAAATCAACTGGTATTCGAACCCTGCGCGCCGATTACTACTAACGAACCGCTAACAATTATACTAGTTTCACATCCATAATAGTAAAAAAAAGAGGCAAGTGAAGTCCATATATGCTCCAGGAAGACCGGTAAAAATCTGTAAATTAACAAACGCGGGAGGTTCCTTATTTAGCCCACAAAAATAGGTATTAGGTTGGTATAAAAATAATGACGTAATAATGTCGTTTTTTAACGACATTATTACGTCATTATTACGTCAAAAACGACATTATTACGTCATTATTTTTGTACCAACCTAATATATTTGAGAAATTCAAAAGAAAAAAATCATTTTTCTTAAAAGCGAGTTTTTATTTTTCAGAATCAAATGACAAACATCTATATGTTGGTGAACTTTTTCTCATTTTAGGTAGAAATGGTCCATCAGCCTACATCTACGTCCGTCACAGTCAGTCCGCAACGACCCCTGTTTGCTTTGATAATCACACCCAGATATGGGATGGATACAGTTTACTACACACGGAAGACGAGGGCAGAATCCACGTTCAAGATTTAGGTAAGACTAATTGATTATAGATCACATAAGGAAGAGTTAAAGTTTTGGGGAATTCGACACTCAGAGGTCATCTTGAAGACAAGTGGAACATAGAGAAACGAGTCTATGTAAATGGATGGCAGATCTTGAAAAGGTACGGATAATACGTGAGTGCTTCAAAGGAGAACAAGTTGTAGAGAGCCAAGACCGTCCACGTCCTAAATGTGCACAGTCCAAAAATCATCGATAATATGGTTCTTGAAAATTAGGTAAAAGGAATCAATGATTATGAGACACCTAATAAAACATGAATAATTTGACACTCACAATACATACTACAGTGTAACCCGAATATAAGACCCGTATATAAGAGAGATTTTCTCTGGTCCCAAATTAGAGCCTGTGTTAGACCAAACCCGGATATAAGAGAAACCCGTATATATGAGACTTCTTCTCCGGTCCCGACAACTCTCTTATATCCGGGTTACACCATATATATATATATATATATATATATATATATATATATATATACAGTATAACCCTGATATAAGAGACCCGGATATAAGAGAAACACGGATATAAGAGAGATTTTCTGGTCCCAAATTAGAGCCTGTGTGTTAATGTATATAAAATAGACCAAACCCGGATATAAGAGAGACTTCTCCGGTCCTGATTAACTTCTTTATATCCGGGTTAGACTGTATATATATATATATATATATATATATATATATATATATATACTGTGTAACCCGGATATAAGAGACCCGGATATAAGAGAAACCCGGATATAAGAGAGATTTTATCTGGTCCCAAATTAGAGCCTGTGTTAAAATATATAAAATAGACCAAACCCGGATATAAGAGAAACCCGGATATAAGAGACTTCTCCAGTCCCGACAACTCTCTTATATCCGGGTTACACTGTAGTAGCAAGACTGGCAACGGGAAAGATCGTAACTTATCTAATTATTTTATGCAATGTAATGACAGAACATGAACAGGGATATTTAGGGGATCAAAATTACTTGCTGCTACAAGCGATAGGTATTTGTGGAGAGCCACAATCCTCTACGTCCTGAATGGGTACGAACCAACAAAAAGAATCATTGGTTTTATGATTCTTGAAATTCTTTAAATAAAGATTTGTGTTGCTATTAGTTTTTACATCATTTGTAAGGATCGGGTAAGAATAGTTTGTTTTGCTTTTGTGGGCTCTCACCCTCACCTGAGCTGGTTAAAGTGAACATTAGCTCGCTCAAACAGAGCCTACTGTGCCTGTCCTCAGTAGCTCAGTAAGTAGAGACGACCAAGACGCATTTCAAACCGAAAGTATTCTTTTATACAGACTGCATTACGTAGTTGAAGGGTTCTACTTGCCTGCTTTCCGAGTGTCAAAAAATGACAGGAGGCCAATTACATTATGTATCACATTTAGGCAATGATAACATCTATTGCATTTGATTTGATTTGGTTTGTTTTGTCTTATGCCATATCAACAACAATGGTCTATTTAATGCCGATTTTTTTTGTTGGTAATAATTTTTTTTCCAGAAATGTATAGCTGGTAATAATGTATTGCGGGTAATAATTTTTCTTCAAAAATTTTTGCAGGTAATAATTTTTTACAACGTATTTCTGGTATTAAAACCTATTTTTACACTTTCATAGTGTTTTAATCCCAATTTGGAGGTTAACTATTTAACCATAGCTGGGACCCTAACAGGTGCTACCACCCCGGGTCAGAGTAGTCCTGGGAACACCGGCAATTAAGAGGTGGTTCCACGCTCTTCAAAACGGCCTGATCAGAAGTCTTGTTGTTGGTCGTAATTTATCGTCTTACCCAGGACGCGGATGTAGTTTATCGTCATACCCAGGACGCCCATTGCAGAGAGGTGCAGTCGGCGTTTTCTGAAGTCCCAGCCGACAGGGTGGCTAAGGCTTTCATTTGGAAATATTTGTTTTTCTTAATGTTACCGTAACTCTATTCGTTTCCGCTTTTTGTTCCTAATGTACAGGTAGGCCGTCTATATATTACTTACATTTTCTGCTTATGGTATTTTCATCATCCACAAGTATAACCACATCTCTGTCACTTTAAGACATTTCCTCATCTCCGAGAAAATTACCCAACATTCATTGCTTTATAGAGAATATCTATTACACTGTATTCTATCTTTAATGGAGTTTTCTGAACTCTTAATTCTTTTCTCAGTTACTATGTATTTATCTGCGCTTTCGGACTTCTGTATCAGAATGTGTTCTTCTCTCTAACTACAATAACCAAATTTCTATCTTCCGTCTCCGATACGCAAATTGCAGATTTGGTTGTCTCTTTTGTTGACAACCATGCACTTTGTCAATTCGCGATCTGTCATTTATTTTTACTCTCCTAAAAACACAGGCACGGTGAAGTAATGTGTAGCAGTTCTGACTGGGGAATTGGAGAGACGAGTCCCAGTGTGCAAATATCCATCTATTCTGCCTCCAGCTATGGGTAAATAGCAGGATAGACTGGGCTTATAGCCTTGGTTGTAAACTGGTCTATTAGAAGGACAACTGAACCCAAAACCTGAGTGGTCGAATGGTCGGCGACTAAGTTGGTTCCTAAACCAAGCCCTGGTCTTGTGAGGAGGGTAAGTGAAACCCTAGCAGCATAAAAAAAGAACTGTTAAAGGACGTTTTAAATCATCAGAGACAACGGCCAAACTATGGGTTAAATAACCTCGCCAAACCTATAATGGTTTAAGCCCGTTGAGCAAGGCTACACCTTTGAAACAGCGGGTGGGGAGGTTTACTCAAGCAGGAGTGAGAATACCTTGGATTTAGAATTGGATTCCTAAAATAAAAAATTATACGTAACCCTCACAATATTTGGCAAATAACATTTTCCCCCGTTGTGTATCATATTTTCAGACGTCTCTCATTGTGATGAATAAATTTAGTAAAGGAAAAACCGAATTTTTAAAAAAAAATGTCTATAATACTCTTTCCGATTTCTAATAATTTCTCTTTGCTTTAAGGTCTTGGCGGATCTTGTCTCCAAAAGTTCAGTCCTATCCCGTTCATGTTTTGTACAATCTCCGGCGTCTGCAACTATGCCAGTCGAACTGCCACCAGTTATTGGTTATCCACAGGAAAGACCGTTCCCATGATGCCTATTGATGGTGAGGAAGTTATGGAACACATCAGTCGTTGCGTTACATGTCAAGCACCAGCTCCACTCATAGCCATCCACAGTCAATCAATCATGGCACCCGTTTGTCCGCAAGGATGGAAAGAATTATGGATGGGCTTCAGTTTCGTTATGGTAAGTAGATAATTTATGGTTTCCTCCTGTGATTCTATTATCCTTCGAAATAATTAATTAGATAAAAAGCTAATGAGGATTAGACATCAGCGTTAATTATATTTTAACTATTACAAGACTCACGAGCCATTCCATATAGAGGGTTACTGACTGATGTGGGTAATATGAATATAAAAGTAAGAGGTTATAGCGGATAGGTAACAATTGACCAATGACTCCAAAAATTTAAGATTATAGTGTATGAGGAAGCATCCACACGGGAATCTATTCGACAAATTATCTGTTGGGGGGGGGGAATATGTCCTAATTCCAATTTAATTACAAAGGGAATTATTGTAGTTCGACTTCGTGGATTAGTATGCCGGGTCTTACCTGTAAGAATCTGAACTGATATAACTAAAGATTGAATGTTTCTCATTGAAATAACGATAGTTATTTCAATGAGAAAAAGTAGCAATAGGCTTGCGAACGTTGTATTTGTTGAAAAGTGATTACAGTTTGGAAAATATGGCAGAGGAGGCCGCGTAAACTACCTAGCACTCGTGAAGTTTATAAAATGAAGGCCGAGTAGCTCCAGCCTAAATACTTCATTTTTTTGTTGTTGTTATTGTCTGAGTTGATTCTTATAAAGATAAAGTTTAGCAGAAAGAGTTAAGGAACCGAAAATTTTTCAAGCACGTTTAGCAAGTGATCATATATACGAGTTCTGTTTGAGGACAGGGTTGAACTTGACAGTACAATCGTTCTTTATGACTGGAGAAAAATGTCTGATTGGTAATGATTAAATATCAACTTGGCTATTTTTTTTTTTCAGTTTTTTTTTTATTATTCAAACATAACTATAATAAAATTAATGCTTTATTAAAGATTTTGCTTCGAACTTTTTCGGTCCTTAGTTTACCGAGGGAATATAATGAACCTGACTGGAATTGGAACTCGGCTCTCTGATTTTCATATTTTTTTTTTTTAAATCATTTTTCCCCAAACAAGGCGATAATGCAACTAACGTCATGGTTTATTACGATTGAAATTGAATGAAACCTCTTTAAGAGAAGGAACCATCAAATTGATTCTAAAAAGGAAATAAAAAAGAAGATAAACTTCTACTCCTGTTTACAAACGGGGAACGAGGGTGAGGTGTTGACCTCAATTTCCTCTTTTATATTTAAATAGACTCTATCCCTGATATTGGGCACTTTAACCCATAAATATAGCATACATTAAAACTATGTTTTTATCATATGACCTGAAGATTAGGTTCAAGCATGAGACAGACTGTTACTGCTCAGTTTTGATCTGAATCTCCGCTTTTATATATACACACTATCCTTGATTCTGAGTACTTATTGTTAAATAATATTAATACCTTTATATTTATAAAAAAAAACAAATATTGTTTTAATATGGGAGTAAACCTTTTATGTAGAAAAAGTATTTAAGAGGAGATAAGTGAACCTTGATCCAGGCGATAAGAGAAATTCTGAGTCGTTACGCATATCCAAGCTAGGAGGACCTGGTTTTCCCCAAGTGGTCACCCATGTAGGTACTGACCAGGTATGACGTTTCTTAACTTTGATGATCGCACGAGAACTAATTTTTTTAACGTGATATAGTCATAATCCAATCAGTAAATTCTGTTTTATTGTTGCGACATCGTGCTCCTGTTTGAAAAAGCCTATTTGTTTTGATTTCTTTTCGATCAAGAAAATATCATACATGAGCCATGCTTGTCAGATCTTTTGACTTGATGCTATAACTAAAATGTAACACGTGAAACAAAGAAAATTAATGCGCGTTAAAGCAACTAGTAGTGCAATGCAATACAATACGGTGCAGTGGTTCCATGTATGTTCACCGAAATTAATTATGGTGTTCAAATCGAGGGGTTCAAACATATGGCGTCGACAGGGCCGAATAAAATGTATACTTAAGTTTAATGATGCATAAAACGGGATACACTAGCAAATCAATCTTTTCAGTTGGCAGTCGTCTCCTTCCTTTCCAACCTTGAATCTTCTGTTGAAAACTCTACTGTGAATAACTCGAGCCAAGAAAGGCATAAACCTATCAACACATTTGCCAAAAGCGCAGGAGACATAGGCTTGATTGCAAATATCTAAAACAAAGCGCATGGTTACTAATAAAGATAATGATGCTTTCAAAGTAGAAGTCTATGGAGAGCCATTTCAGCAAGTAACTGAATTTGGCAACAAACACCCGGTACTTTAAGCAGCCACCTACAATTTGAAATAAGTTTCGGCTTTAAATAACCCACAAAGAGTTGGTATTCCGCCAAAAATAAATAAATTCATCGAAATTATATTGGCCACGGACTTTCATCTTCGAATAATGGTCCAGTTTTTCTTCGACATAGAAAAAAATAGTTCTTGTCTCTGCAGCGCTTGAAAAAAATACCCCCCTCCCAATATCTGCAACATATATATATTTTTCCTGTACTGCTTTACGGACTGGGTTGGGAGAACTGGACTATAACACTTAAGTAGAACAATTCCACAATCACATTACCAAGAATCGCTTAACAAATTTCATTAGAATACAAACCCTTCTGGGCAGAACTTGTCTGATTTCCATCGTCCCTTTACATAAGTAGTGCTCAATCGGGATCCATATAGAATCTGAGAACCCATGTACCATTACTGGAGTTCTACACAAATAATATAAAGTTAGGGGTCCACGGTAATATTTTAGAGATCCATAGAAAAATTTCACTATGGAACGATTGTTACAACTGAGAATTTCTACAGTGATTTACTCTATATTAAAAGAGAAAAATAACTCTAAAACTAGCAGAGAACGAGATCAAATGTAACTTGGCGTTCCTTTTACTCTACTAGATGATTTGATTGTAAAAGCTGAATAAAAACTGATAAGTATATGTAAATGAAGGATTACATACAGGGTAATTCTCTATTTTAAGCATGATTGACTCTGCCGTCTAATTATAATATTTACAAGAGTGGAAAGTTCATCATACATAAAATAGGAAGTTACTTTTCAGCCACCCTGTATAAAAGAACATTATATAAAAATTATAATTTATATAAATTAATTTAATATCTGATTAATAAATAAGAATATTAATTTTAAATATTAATAAAATAAAATATTAATAAAATTAATTTAATATATAAATTATGTAGGGATTACATATAAAGGCAGGATATATATTCACTATTTATATAATACAATTCCCAAACTTATCTCTTACCAAAAACTAAAATATTTTTTATCGGTTGTTTATGGAAGTCCACCAAAAATATTAAGAGTAAAAGTGGTCCATGGGTAAAAATAGTTTGAGAATCATTGCTGTACATAAACAGTAAAACCCTTAAGTTATATTATCACATTAAATGAAGCGAACAAGGATTTTCAAAAATATGCATTGAATAAATGGTTGTTAGAAAAAGGAAGCAGATGAGACAAGCAAATGTTGTTGCTTAACAACATGGGCAAAAGAACACAACTTGTTCTGTGATTTTTAAACCGAGCTACTCAAGATCCTGGACTCTGGACGGAGATGAGTCGTGTGAGTGCATATATTGCCATAGGCAGAGAAGGTGGTTTAAATCCTAAATTTACTGCTAGATTTGAGTAAGACATTGTTCTTCAATGCTGAAAAAAGAGATTTGGGAACATTCGCCTAATGTTATTACATTAGTTTAAAGAATATTGATTTAAGACAAAATTGTCTAGGGATATTTGCCTGAGGAATACTCGTCTAAGGACATTGGTCTATAATAATATTACAAAAAATTAAAATTTATTGATATTAACTATATTACAGAATAATAGTTAAGACGCTTATAGAAACATTAATTAATGATGATGCATGTGGTTTATAAGCATTTACTCGTATGTATTGTTTGCATATTAATACTAAGACATTAAACTATAATTTTCTAGATGAATATTTCTCAGACGTATATTCTTTAAAAATGTGTTCTGGATTCCCCCAGCTACCAAAAAATAAATAACGGGAGACTGAAAGTTTAAAAGATATTTCAGGTCAGCATGTGTCACTAGAAAACCACTTATGTCTTGTAGCTTTCAAACATTTGAGGTCTATCGCAAAAGAAGGCCTTAACAGCGTTAAAAGCGGATGACGGGAGTATCTATCATTGTATTGTTCTACAGCAAACGAAGGAAATATCTGTAGAGTTATGTGCGTAAGTGTGTTTAACCGCCTACGAAACTCAAATGATTTTACACGTCTTCTATTTTTGTTTAACTTTTAGCATACCATTGGAGCCGTGGGTGGAGGTCAACCCCTTGGAAGTCCTGGCAGTTGTTTGGAGACATTCTATTTCAATCCGTATATTGAGTGCAATAACCGCGGTGAATGTTATTACTTCCACGACAAACATTCTTACTGGTTAGCACGGATTGATGCCAATAGTGATGTGGAACCCGTAAGTCAGACGATGAAGGCCGGTTCTCACATACAAAGAATCAGCCGTTGTAAGGTGTGTATGATGCTGCCTCAATAAAATTATGAAGGAAAGAAGAAAAGGACTTTTTTTATTAAAATGTGAGAGAGGAAAAGAAGATGAAAAAGAAGAAAAAGAAATATTAATCAATCCATAAATTTCTTTGCCAAAGGAAAAAAATGTTCAACTGTAAGCAGAAGTTGGGATTATACTGGAAGAACATGTCTTCTAGATATATATCTGTTGTGTGTTGATTCTGGGAAAAAAATTACTTTAAATATATTTTCTATTTTTTTTTAATGCGAATGTGCAATTAAACTTTTTATTAAAATATACTTAATTAAAAGTTATTACTGGGAGAATATAAAAAAAATCAAAAAAATGATATTTGGGTAATGCTTAGGGGGAAAAAAGAAGCTAAATTTACAAAAGAATCTCAGAAAATTGCCGATTGAAAGAAATTGTAAAATATGGGAAAAGGGGTTGGCTCTGTATATTTTTTTTAAAAAGTAAGAACTGATCAAAATCCTGCTGCTCTATTTGGTATTCTTTGAAATAAATAAATTTATAGAAATATACCATCTAAAGAAATCTTCAACAGAATGATTCACTCATTTACCAATCAAATCACTTTTATATAGATGCAAGAACAAAAGTGTTTTAAATGATCAGCGTCTAAATAGAGATGAAGATGGCGCTGACAATATAGAAAAAAACAGCAGCATAAAAAGAAAAAAAGTATTTTTTTAGAAAAAAGATGTGTGATGAAAAATGCAATGATAATTACAAGCCATATGATGGGTTAAAAATCACGTGATATTTTTTTCACGCATCCTTTCACTTTCGAGGGGTTTGGGTAAGATTTTGGTGTTGGGATGGGCGAATTTGATATTTTTTCTCTTTTTTACTTTTTTTTTTTTTATTCAATTTGTGTTGGTATCTTAATTTGTATGGGATTTTGATATAATATTAGAATAAAAAAAAATAAAAAAATACATGCTTTGTTTCAGTCTTCTTTGATTTCATGATTTTTTTCTTCCTTTTAAACAAACTATTAATTGCATCGCAAGTAATGAACTGCTATGCAATATCAGTCCTCGGATAATGAAACTGAACACTGAATAATTTCCTCACAAATGTGGAGGAAACGTGAGACAACAGATATGTGGTACTACAGAAATATATATATATATATATATATATATATATATATATATATATATATGCAAATATATATCATATTTGCAGGAAGTATTATGGAAAAAGACACTTGGAAATTTCCGGGAAGTAAAATGAGGAAAGAGGGCTTCGCAAATTTGACACTCAGAGGATATATTGAAACCAAGTGGGAAACGGCGAGCAAAGTACATAACGATCATTTTTATATGGATGTCAGGACTGGGAAAGATTATAAGGAGCAAAGTATTGCATAAAGCTGCAAAAACAGGAAGTTGTGGAGAGTAATGATTACCCCCCGAAGGGTTTGGAGCTGCTAACATTCACTCTAATTCACTTTAATATTAATATTAAATAGCAATATACACTAAGCGGAGGTTACTAAAGTTTTATTTTCGTCAATCTGCCGTGTCCATTAAGGACGTGGGCGATAATGGCCCTTTCAATTTTCTATACTTTTTAGCTCATAATAGTATTTGTCTTTTAAACAATGCTACCGCTGTAATTTTGTGATCCATTTACATAAGTTTGTCAAGTAGTAGTTCGCTGCCCCCCCCCGCGCTTTTGCTTTTGCCTTTGATATGACCTGTGAGTTTCAAATTCTCCAAGATCTCCCTCCACATTATGTGTCGCAGAAATTGCATTAGTCTCTTTCCAAGTATATTTTTTTTTTATTTACGCTCTTCATCGTTGCTTTGAAGATCCGTCCATGTCATTCTTTACATCCTTCGTGTTGAGAGCTTATGTCCATCCACTCTTATCTGAAAATCAAACACCAGCCAAGCCAAGTTTTTACCTCGAGTATAAAGTATGAAATTCGGAATCATTTCTTATTACCGAAAATAAAATTATCTAAGTCTCGATTTAAAAAAAAATACTAAGATTTACCCAAGGCAGAAGAACCACTCATGGTAACGTGTTATTTTCGTGTGACATAAATGAAAGAGGAAGTAGTAGGAAGTGAAGAGTATAAGGATAAGTGGGATAGACAAATTAATGAGCCGTAACTTGAACAGGTTAAGATTGTTATGTTTTGATTGATATAAACTTAGAGTAATCTTCAGCAAGATTTTTGTCAATTTATACTAAATTAAAAAATCAGAAATCGATTGAATTGGAAATTTTTTTCTTGAATCATTTTAATGTTGTTGATCTACGATGTTACAGTATGTTGTCTTTATGGTAACAAACACAGCAACACACGGAAATCACAAAATTGTGATATATATATATATATATATATATATATATATATATATATATATATATGACCAAGCAAAATAATATATAAATAAATATAATATCCAATAAATTAGAAAAAGTTAAAGTGACTCAAGAGTTTCACATCGAAGCGATCATCAGGGCCATGTATTTCATATAATTTCATTATTATTGCAAATTTCAAAATGTTGTATAATTGGTAACAAACGAAATTATCGATTACTTATCAGTTTTTTTAAATTACTTGAGTAATTATAGATTCAGTATAGATTTTTTCAGCAAATATCAAATATATATTTACATTAAAATTCAACTATATTTATTGCATATTAGAAAAACAAAAATAAAATAAAATATGAAATAAACATAAAAAAATAACCAACACATTTATATTAAATATTCATTAATAATATTTACTAAATATAGTCGCAGTTTAATGTAATGATGCGTTTGATGCGAAAAAATGTATATATTGTATCTATAATTAATCAAGTAATTAAAAAAATAAACAAATAGGTAATTGATAGGTTTGTATTTTACTGATTATACAACACTTAGAAATTTGGTTTGTTTTGTTTTTATGATATATCAACCCATTGGGTTAGTTAAATTGAATGCAATAATGAAAAATATATATATATATATATATATATATATATATATATATATATATATATATATATATATATATATTGAAAAGTGAATATAAATATAAATAAATATATATATATGTATAATTATTTATATATTATATATATGAGCGGTACTTATTAGAAAGCGCTCAATATCAGAGATAGAGCTAATATATTTGGTTGGATAGATGTTTAGTTTTTGACCCTGGGTTTCACGCTTTAGCGATCGTCAGACAAACTCTAAAGCGTGAAACCCAGGGTCACAAACTCACATCTATCCAACTATATATATATATATATATATATATATATATATATATATATATATATATATATATATATATACATATATGTGTGTGTGTGTGTGACTGTGTGTGTGTTGTATATTTCATTTCACACATCTACACCAGGAAATGAAAAAAATGATTTAAAGTTGATATTTCGCATCTTAAGAACCTAGAAAATTTTGAATCATGTAATCGCGCACACATTCATATGAAATGCGCGTGTATTCATATGAAAAATCTACTCATATTTTGTGCATATATATATATATATATATATATATATATATATATATATATATATATGGGGTACATAAATATTTATATTCCACACGCTTTACTTCGATGAAAGATGATATCTCTCTCTATATATACCATTGTATTTCTAACTAATGATTGATCGAATGATATATCTTACCTGTCGCTGAAATAATCGACAGTATGAAATATGAATATGAAATATATATGTGTGTAGGAAAATGAATTAGTTCTAAATTTAAACTAGGTAACGTTTCTAACCCAACTCTAGTGTGTTAAGGATTTCAAATTCGAAATTTGAAAGTTAGAATTAGCGTTCGTTCGCGCCAAAAGATCTGATAATAAGTTCAATAGATTCACCAAAACTCTTGAGTCAGCTAACCAAATAAGGCACTTGAATTTTTCTTAATTTATTTAATATTACAACTTTATTTAACGCTTTTTGGTAAAAGTTCTGCAAACATGAAAACACACTTAAAATTCTCATTTCCACTAATTTTCTCAGATGTGTTATTATTGTTATTATTACTACTATTACTATTATTAACAGCACTTACAGGAGAACGCGACTTAGGAAAAGAAAAACAAAAGAGAAGACACACTGTTTAACAATATTCAACAATATTTCGAAAGTATATCTGTCCTCGTCAAGTTGTTTAAAATTTGCATACAAGTGTAAAAATATTTTTAAAAAATGTACAAAAAATGACAATTCTTTTACAAACGTTTTTTGTCTTGAGAAAAACGGTTGTTCTGGTAATCTAAGCGTCAAAGCGAATGAAAGGTCTCCTGGAATCCTTTTTTCAATCAATTGGAGGGCTCCAACTACAACAGGGATAGTTGATGATCCCATGTGCCACATTTTTGAGATTTTGTTTTCAAGGTCCTTGTATTTTGAAAGATACATTGCAGTTCGTAGGTTCAGCCATATCAATAAGGAGGCACTTTTTTCTGTTTGCAGTCTCTTATTATTATTATTATTATTATTATTATTATTATTATTATTATATGAAAATTAAATAGCTCTTTATATAAAATTCGGTGACTTTTGTTAGTTCGTCCGTCCTCTAAAATAGCCAAATACTGACCGATCAAAACCAAAGTTTGGGAAGAAGTGCAAACAAGCAAGAGGGTACAAGTACAATTTGTTTTACTAGGTTTGCAGCTTAATGCAATAGATTTTTATTAATGTTTCGCAAAAATTAAGTTATATTATCTAACATACAAAATACTGCCACTAATTTAAAAACAATTAAATTATTAAAATGACAAATACTTATAGAATATGGTATTTTGCATATCTTTTTTTATATATACAAGAATTCAGTTTTCAGTTCGCTTTTCATTTGAGAACTATAAACAAATCACAAGGCCAAACGCTTAAAAAATTGGAATTTGGCTCCAGAAAGAAATATTCACGCATGGCCAGTTATATATTGCATGCCCAAGAGAGAGAAATCCTAAGAATTCGCTGTCAAAAAGAAAAAAAAAATTCTTAAAAATATTATTTACCATATTAAATTAAAGAAATTATTAAACCAGGAAGTAGGGATTTTGTCAAAGTATTTTACCAAACAAATCAGTTTATTCAAATTCCATCGACTGGATGGCGAAATTGAACAAAACGTAGAGGTTTTGAATCTCGACAAAAATGTTAGCAACAACTTCAACAATACTGTGAGGATTTTATCAAAAATCTTGCAAAAATATTCTAGTATTTATCTGTAAAAGGCAGGATGTGTGTGTGTGTGTGTGTGTGTGTGTGTAACGAATGCACAGCAGCAATTTTCGACGGATTTGCACCAAAATTTACATGCACATACTCCAAGTTAGCGGGAAGGCCAAGACCGACGTTGCATTTCCCATCTCCCATCGACAGTGGAAATAATCGATGTTTTCATGCTTCTATGGCAGTTTTCATGTAGTTTGCTGCCATTTTGTACTGGCCAGAGTGAAAGCCAATAGCCACGAATAGGCAGGAAGATTCTATTGGCCAGCGTGAGAGCCAACAGATGACTGACACGAATGTTAACTAGCATGCTAGCATGCAAAAAAAAAATCGATAGCTGCATTCGTCACAAGTGAGAAAAATTTAAATCTGCATGGCACTTTACTCCAATTGGTTCATTTGTTTGTTTAAACTCAACGTTGATTCTGATTCCGCAAAACTGGGTTGCGTGTGAAAAAGTATTTGTTGTTAACATTCTTTTTGCATTCGGTTTTTCCAGTTACGAGACCTTTTTTAAAGCTGATCGTTTTGTGTTCATTTTGTTTAGTTCTTTTTTCGTAACAGATTTAATGTTTAGTATAGAGCTTAGAAAAAATTCGCAGTGTGAGATAGGCAAGAAGTAAGGCATGTAGCAACATGAGCACGGCAAAGGATACTCGTTTAAGGCAAGGAAGGCCAAAAATATTTTAAGTCAAGTGATAGCGATTGCTGCATGAGTCGTACGATTTTTGAATCAAGCACGGGCAACGCCGGGACATGCTGTTAGTATTAAATATCAGCACACATTTGACTAAAAAAAATCGTTTGCCAATTATGATATAATTAACATCTTAAGTTGATGCGAAATTTCTAAGTGCAATCTACTGTTCAAATGTTTATTATGAATAAGTTGAGTGACATCGCTGGGAGAGGAGTTGGTAAGAACTGAAGCTTAAGAGGATGAATAGGAAATATAACCATCGATCCTAGACTTAATGTGGTCAAGTCTGTACAGGGAAGGACCCAAATGGTGGTCTCTTCGACAAAGTAGCATGGAATGAAAGTGATGTGACTCTGTGGAAATGGCATAGCGTATACTAGCAGTAAGAGCCTAAGCTTGTGGAAGAAAAAGATGGAGTTTACCTGAATATCTGCCATGGAAATAACGATGGACTAGAGAAAGGCAGGCAACGTTGTGCCAGCAGCAAAGAGGCTGCAGAGGGCAGAAGAAGTCTTCCTCACAAGATCGGGGAGAAACTTTGAACTCTGTCAAAACTTATAATTGATGATTGTGCAGCTCCATGTTAGATATGGAAGCACTACTCTACGTTTGTTCTAATCTGATTCTTTTAAAGTAAGTATGCTGCATACTGACTGAATTGGGCCAATCAATAAATCAGTATTGCAGAGAAACATTGGTTGACGTATGAAACGTCATAAACAACAAAACAGACATGAAACCCACAACCACCTCGTTATTAAACTACACAATCAACTAGATACAATATCTTGTCCATTTAAATCAACAGATGCACCGAGTTCATTGATTCTTGGTATTTACAAATTATAATGAAGTTGTAAGCCCTTTTGCTATTCTCTATATTTATTGTGATGGCAAATGGTGGATGTACGGTGTAATGAATGGCGGCTTCAAACTAGAAATTGAAAAGGCTAGTTGGAATTCTAGTTGTTACATTTATTTACCCAAAAAACCATGGGAATGATATGCAACGATCTCCTCCTCCCGCTATGGATTAAAAGTGTGACACTTTTCTGGAAAAATTATTTTTATTCTCAAAAAATGAAAAAAATGTAATATAATATTCGTTCACAAAAAGAATTATTCTTAAAATCCGAAATATTTATGGGAATGATATGAAACGATCTCCTCCTCCTGCTATGGATTAAAAAGTATGACACTTGGAAAAATTATTTTTATTCTCAAAAAAAAAAAAATGTAATATAATATTCGTTCATAAAAAAGAATTATTCTTACAATCCGAAATATATTTCAGCATTAAACATCTCACAAAGGGTTGATAATCTGTAATAAAACAAATCAGTCAATCAAACAATGAGAGATGTTCAGATAAATTCTATTTGTTTGTTCCACCAGTTCATATCCTTTATAACAAGGTAACCCCATGACACTGCTACAGAGCAGAAACATCCAAATTCACTCCATGTTCTAAAGATAAGATCAAAGTTCCAATCAAATGGTTTGTTTTCCGAAGAACTATCAATTTTTGGAACTGATACATGCGTTTGTAATTCCGTGAACACTTGAGACTTGGCCTCTTTCTGCCAAAGGTCAATTGATATTTTTCATCATCATAATCATCATCATTTTATATCACCTTCTCTTCCATTCATTTCACGTAAATGATTTAGTTTTACTATCTTAACTGGCACCGTGTACCTTGTGTTGGGAAAATTTTGTATAATAATAATAATAATAATAATAATAATTATAATAATAATAATAATAAAATAGTAGGAAGGTTTTATTTCGTCGATATTAACGTTCAAGGGAGGGAGATCTGTCTGCTCAGAAAATTAGCATTCGAAATCCTGGAGTTTACCGATGCTGAACGCCAATGCCTAGCACCAGCGAGAAATACATAACCATTTCGATCCCAGGACGACATATTAGTCTTAACCAGCCATAAAACAGATGAATATAAAGTAACCAGTAAGGATTGAACTCATTACAACGATCTCTTGGAATAGCTACTTAATTATAAGTCTAAGCTTAAGAACGTTAAGCGTTCAATCAGGCTTGAAATTACAGCAGCAGTAATTGTACCACAGACTAGTTGATCTTTATTCAAATTAGTCATGCATCATTAACCTTTAAATTTATTCTTCTCTAAATTCTTTGGTGTAGATGAACCTATCTTTTGTATATTATCATAGAAGAGGAGACAGATTCGTGGAAAGCTATACGAGAACACCATGATAAATTGTATACAAAATTATTTATGAACTTTAAATCTGGGGTAGATCAATTTCAATTACACGACATATTTTGACTCAGTGTGAGTCAAATAACTCAAGAAAACAAGTCGAACATCAATAAAGGTTAAATTAATCAAAAAGAAAACTGTCGTACTAAATTTAGAGTTTCAAAATGATGTTCCTGAAGAGGAGACTTAGTGGATGAGATAGTTGTTAGCTGTTAGTGTCTGTGATCATTATTCAAACTGAGATTTCGCATTCTGATACTGAAAGCAGGAAGAATATTGACTTTTGGAAGAATGGCGTATTACAATCATGTCTTGATGATATCTGAGACTATTGTATTTTTAATCAGTAAATATTCATTTTTCTTTCTTATTTTTCTTTCTACTTTCGTATATTTTTTTCTTACTCTCTTTTTCTTTTTTTTCTTTTTCTTTCTTTCTTTGACATCTCACTCTGTTCATAACTTCTATACACTTTTCCTTATTTTCTTAGTAATAATTTGTCTTTTCCTTTGTTTCCTTTTTCTCTCTTAATCTCTGTATATTTTTCCTCTCTTCATTTCCACATTTTCCTACATTCTCTTTTCTTACTCCTTTCTTTATTCCCTCTCTTCCTCTCTCTGTTTTCAGTGTTTCTTCTTTCTTCGTTTTACTTTAAACCTCATCTCTTTTCTTTCTTTCTTTCTTTCTTTCTTTCTTTCTTTCTTTCTTTCTTCCTTTCTTTCTTCCTTCCTTTCTTCCTTTCTTTCTTCCTTCCTTCCTTTTTTTCTTTCTTCCTTCCTTTCTTTCTTTCTTCCTTTCTTCCTTTCTTTCTTTCTTTCTTTCTTTCTTTCTTCCTTTCTTTCTTTCTTTCTTTCTTTCTTTCTTTCTTCCTTTCTTTCTTTCTTTCTTTCTTTCTTTCTTTCTTCCTTTCTTCCTTTCTTTCTTTCTTTTCTTTTTCCTTTCTTTTTCTTCCTTTCTTTCTTTCTTTCTTTCTTTCTTCCTTTCTTCCTTTCTTCCTTTCTTTCTTTCTTCCTTTATTTCTTTCTTTCTTTCTTCTTTTCTTCATTTCCGTTTATGATATGTCAGTCTAATTATTCTTTTCTTGAACTGTTCTTGTCTTTATTTCTATAATTTCTTTCTTCTGTAATTCTTTTATTTCTTCCCCAGCCATCTCTCCATGTTTTTAAGGTTTCTCTCTTTCTTTTTCTTTGCTTTTATACATTTCCATTCTTGATTTAGTCACCTTCTTTCCTTTATTTTCTTCATTTGCCATTTCACGTTGTTTATAAATTTCTTAATTCCTTTGCTTTTCGCTCTTTTTTTCCTTTTTTTTTTTGTTTAAAATCTCCGACTGTTTTATAACCTCATAACTTTCTTTCTTAACATTTTCCGCCACACTCCTATGCTTTCTATTTTCTGTCTTTGTCCATCTGTTATATTTTATCTTCTGTGTATATATCTCTTCGCTGGTATTTCCATTTCTTTCTTTCTTTTCCTTTTTCTTTCTCTATTTCTCCACACAAACACAAACAAACACACGCACACCCCCACACACTCAAACAAGCAAACAAACACACACACATATACATTTTTATTTAACTTCAAAAGTTATTATTTAGTAAATACTTGTATTTGAAATAAAAGACAAAATTTAATTTTTACTTTAAACGTCTGGCAGCTTGCTTATTTGAAAAAAAGTTATTAAATTAGATGTACTCTCCAGCTATGAGCGAACCTGCGTTCCTCATTGTAGGAGAAAACATTATTTGATGCGGAACGTTTAAAGTCATACAAACATTAAAAATATATCCATAAATTCTTAAAATATACACATACAAACAAACAAACACACACACATATATATATATATATATATATATTGGCCCAAACCGCCTGAGGTTACCTAAAGGTTGAGACCAAGGTAGCACGATTGGCTGATCACCGAATTCCTGGTGTTAAATTTTTATTTTGTTTATACTTGTATTTAGCACAATTTATAAGACTGTTTCCTGATCTAATTCAACTCTGAGCAATAACTATTTTATAATTTATACATAAATATATATATATATATATATGTATATATGTGTGTGTGTGTGTGTGTGTGTTTGTGTGTGTGTGTGTGCTTGTGTGTGCGTGCGCCTGCGCGGCTATAAAATTCTTGTCGATTTAAGTATAGGCATATTTTCAATTTGCACCAATTTTTGAGTCAAAATGCAAACTTGATTACAAGACGAGCATTTAGGTTTGTCCCATTTTGAAAGTTTGACGCTTCACGCTCTTCCTTCTTTATGTCGGACAATGATAGCTGTATTGCATAATTTGTTTGGATTTGTAAGATCGGATTTTTTTTTTATTTCAGTCGCACTAGTAATCGCTAATCGAAACTTGGTAAAGTACGTTATTTTGAATGTTAAATTTCAAAGAATTCAGTCACTCATCATTGTGAACTCGAGCACAGTGACGACATTATTTTAGATGAAAGATAAACACTGGCCAGAGTTATGATTGAGTCAAAAGTTAAACATAAGTTCAGTTTATTTATTTATTTTTGTAATCAATTCACCCCAAGCAAGGCTAGAATGCCACTAGTACGCAGGGGATTACAGAGATTCAAAGCGAGAGAAAACACTGGGTATAGTGGGGGAAAGGATAAAAGATGAACGAGATTCAAGTCAACAGAAGATGGCTGTTGAAGAATGTAGTCATCACGGAAGCAACTAAACAAAAGAGAGTTCCATTGTCAGGAAGTGCAAGAAAAAACTGTTGAAGTAGAATTATCTGTTACATTTAACTATACCAGTAGTAAAACAGTGGGACCTAGATGTCACTGCGTACAAGCAAAAAAGTAAGACGACGATGCAGATAATCAAGACAACAAAAATATTAAATTAAAAACAAAAACATACATTACATTAAAAAATGGTTAGAGTTGCCCATTTGCAGACAGGTGAGATATTCTTTACGATATGACTTTTGACCAAAGTGTGAATTCTGGGATCACTATACCAGAGTCTGCAAACATTTACTCAGAAGATGGCTCGATTGATAGCTCGGTTGCAGAGAATTAAGCTTGGCAAGAGATGCAGTCGACTGCGCATAAATATTTGTGTAGAATATTTTTAGCAGAGTGAATTATTGATTTACTTACCTATACAGAAAGTAGACAACTTCCAGTATTACTATAATTCAATTAGTATAAAAATAGACATCTAGTATTATATCAATAATTAAAAAATGACCATTTAATAGAAGCTTCGGAAGCGTGCATAGAAGTTAAAAAGAGGATATTTTAGGCCTCCTCAAAACATTCGTAATTGTTTGTTGAGTGTTAGTTTTATTACAAGAGGTTAAAAATATTTCTGTGTTCAGAAAATAATTTTTACCAGAAATGATATAAATACAGATGTAGGTTTTTAAAAAGGTTTCAAAAGTTGTTTTCAAATTCTTTCTTTGGGATGTTCTGCCACTTATGAATCGATATAATGAGTAAAAAGACTCAAGATTTTAAATCTGGAAAATATGGAAAAAAATTCTATCCTAATCATTTTATTTTTATTTTCCTTGTCATGTTGGAGAATAACACCATTTTAATTTACAAAAGCATAACATTTTATTGTTTTTTCTTCGTTTACCTGATCAAATTGGTGACAATAAAGAACCGGGGTGATGATCTTTCGATGTTCTACCTGCTCGTAATAAACAACACCTTTCATATACCACAAGACGCACCTATGTTCCACCTGTTAGTACACAACAGCACCTTTTATATACCACAAGACACATCTATGTTTTACCTGTTCGTAATCAACAACACCTTTTATATACCAAAAGACATATCTATGTTCCACCTGTTCGTAACCAACAACACCTTTTATATACCACAAGACATATCTATGTTCCACCTGCTCGTAATCAACAACACCTTTTATATACCACAAGACACATCTATGTCCCACCTGTTCGTAACCAACAACACCTTTTATATACCACAAGACACATCTATGTCCCACCTGTTCGTAATCAACAACACCTTTTATATACCACAAGACACATCTATGTTCCACCTGCTCGTAATCAACAACACCTTTTATATACCACAAGACATATCTATGTTCCACCTGCTCGTAATCAACAACACCTTTTATATACCACAAGACACATCTATGTTCCACCTGCTCGTAATCAACAGCAACAGCACAAGATAAGAAGTAAATACGTTTCTGGATGGAATCCTGTATTTTTTTTTTTTTTTTGCTAAAACTGTTTATTCACTTTGTGATAACCCTGAGAGCCAAGTGATTCAATTTTATAAATTCGTGGCAACGGTATCCAAATTGTTTGTTGAACATCAATGTAAATACCTGACACGTATGATATAGATTACATTCATCACGTGTCCGCAGTTGGTAATCATCAATACTTTGCATGCTTTTTGAGATTATCTTCGCGTTGCAGATATCCTGACGAACGTTTTAGAAATAATGTCATTAAATTTACCATTTCCAAAAGCTGTATTCTACGGGTTGCATCTGATGTATTTGTTCCGAGGTTAACAATTACGATTATCAACTCCTGAGTGGATATTTCGTTCACTTATTTCTATTGTAGGTATACATTGCTGAAGGTTATCACTTAGGAAATATGTGTAACTTTTTTATCTTTTAAAATGTCTATGAAATACATCTATTGGAATCAGTCAGTGCCATCTTATATTAGGCGATAATATATTTTTCGATACATGACTGACGAAGCAGATTTTTTCTCGCAGTAGGTTGCTGATTCTTTTTACTGTACTGATGCGGCATTCACCCTGGGCGGATTGAGCCGGCTTCTTCCTGTTATGAGAAGAAGATTCTTGGGATAAATTACGGGAAGTAGGGTACCCAGGCCTACTCGGATAACGTTCTTGCTTGGCCGCGGGTTCCCACAGACGCAGAGACAGGAACGACCAGAAGCCGCCGGTTACCGATGCAGACGCTCCTTGGATTTTCACCAGAGCCCTTGTTAGCCGGCGTGTGTGTCAGACCTGTCCGCCTTGGTGGCCCTACCAGGAACGAAGTTCCGGGCGGCATAGCTCTGACACTACCGTTTACACCCCCACCGACTGTGAGGTAAGGGTTGGACTTTGGGGCTTACAGTACCCAAGCGGTCCCCCATCTAAGTACTGACCTGGCTCTACGATGCTTAACTCCGGTGATCGTACGAGAACCGGTGTTTCAGCGTGATTTAACCGTAAGCACTGATTCTTTTTGCAGTAGATCAGTTGCTATCCAAGGCTACAGAAACCGGTTTTTCCTGCTATTTGCCTATAGGTTGTTGGGTGAAGGAAGAAGACAATTGGTGCCTTTCCCAAGGGTAATAGCATGTAAGTGAATGTAATGGATTTGACTGGAATTCGAACTCGGCTCTGCGGATTCCTCAATCCGAGCCGCTATCCATTACCCCACCGTGCCTCGTCTATTGAAATAGCGAATAATAAAAAAAAAAACACTTGGAATCTGATTATGAAGAAAAAACATCGAAATATTCACAGGAAAAATAAATATTGAAGACGAACAAGATTTTCAGAGTTACTTTTGTTCTTAATGCAAATAAATTCATAGAATTGTCTGTAGTGCAGACACTAATATTGATTAAACGATCGCCAAAGGAGGTCAATATTTGAGTTCAGATAACTGCCTGGCCACAATCTCATAGCGGATAATTTTTCTCATTCCCCTAAAGGCTTGAACTCATAAACATTGGATATCATTTTGCCAACTAATTTGACTCATACAGCACATAAGTTACTTATTTGGCCATATAAAAACAAAGTTTCGTGCATGAACAGTGAATGTTCTCAAATATTGTCCATCTTACAGTTAGTGGATACCGTATTCATTAACGTGTCTTGACCAGTAACGTTCGCAGTTAAGGAGATTAAACAACGCATTTCTCAAGTGATACGACAAGCCGTGGGATCACATGACGAAGTACACGTCGCTGAGTCATGATGTGGAATTGAATAAAGAAACCATATAAAATTCCTCTAATCGAACCTTTTGCTGAACATTCACACTCTGACTTTCGATCATATTGCGCTTCAGTATGGGAGGTGATTTAATCCACACTTTTGGAAGGGATCAGAAGATTTGAAATAATGAAATCTTGTATTTGTATTGTCCCAATTCTAAAAGAACCTTGTTATCAATGATTCAATTATTTACCAATACAAATACAGATGATGTCTTAATAGCAGAGTCATGACTATTTAGATCTTAGTAGCAGATTTGATGACTATTTAGGTCTTAGTAGTAAAGTTGATGAATATTAACGTGTTAGTAGTAGAGTTATGAATATTTAGGTCTTAATAGCAGATTTGATGAATATTGAGATCTTAGTAGCAGAGTCGATGGGTGGTAGAATACTGAAGTCATTTTCACAAGAACATTTACCATTTTTTATTTCAAGCAAAACATATCCTGCAGTCATATTCTCCCGTAAGAACTTCGTAGATTTCCAGTGGAGCTTTATAAAATACCAAGGGAACTACATACACTTCTGATAGAGCTCCGTAGACTTCCAAGTGAACAACAGCCTTCCAAGGGAAATTATATTCTTTAAGATATTTCATAGACATATGACTAAAGGCAAACAGACATTCAAGAGAATTATGAAGACTTAAGAAGGCACGTCATGAGTTTCATAAATAACTTTATAGACATACGAATGAAATTCAATGCGGGATGGGGCATTTCAACACCTTTCGACTCAACACCGACGACTCAACACCGACCAAATCATCTCTGTCATAAATCAACACCAGGGCGACTCACCAAATTACTTAGCACGAGGGCAACTCACGAAATTACTTAGCACGAGGACAACTCAACGCTGGCGTCGAATTCATATCTTCCAACTGATATTGTCTGTCCTAATGTGCACATCCCTTAGATCAGCTTTGAGTCGTAGAGATTTTGAAAGTTTGGCTGTAGTGGTTTATTAGTTACAAGAGCCTACTTGAACGATTGGTGTTTAATTTTTGTTGTAACCTAGGTAAGGTTACTGAATATAATAATCAAATGAAGGTTAGTAATGAACGATAATATTTAGGACAAAAACAACGCATATAGGATTCGCCAGCGTCGCGTAGAATAAGTAGCCAACTGCTAGAAGCGAGTCAAGTGAATTCCACAATAAATCTTCAACTGCCGACCAACATACAGTATTTACTACTGTATTTATGTGAATGAGGACATATCCATTATCACCGTAGGTATGCTACAACAATTTTCAAGATCGAAATATAATTATGTTAAAGTAAGTGGAAGACTGCACACAGATTTGGATATGGAGTACCCCACAATATAGAGATTCGTTACAGTGTTGCAAAAGGGGGCAAAGAAACTGAGATTAATTTTTTGGGTGTATTCATTGCAGGTCATCCCGTTCCCTCAAAGTTGAAGAACATGAAGGCAAATTTTGCTGATTATTTCTTCTTTTTCACAATGACGCCCAACTGAACATTTGATGGGAATTGCATTCAATTTTCAATAAATTTTTAAATAAAAAATGAAGTCATGTATTAAAAAAACTTTCCTTAATAAATTACCTTTTATTGTTTTTAAAAATTCAACGAAAAAATCTTATCGTTTGAATATCGTTCAGTAGACCGTTAGAGGGTTGTCATGGGGATGAGTTGGCCGGTGTTGAGATATCCTGCACCTCCAAAATGAAAGCTTTAAGGACGTCTGAAGGAATTTCATAGCCTTAGGTAGGAGCTTCATAGACTTCCACAGGTGTAGATTTATAGACTACCGAAGAAGCTTCAGAGATCTTCGAAGGACATTCATAGCGTTATAGATTTTCATAAACGTCCTAGGCAATTTCATAAATTATGACGAACCTTCATAGATTCCGAGGTAGCATCATAAACTTCCAATCAACCTCATAGATTTTCAAGTCAATTTCAAGGACCTCGATTAAACCTCATGGATATCATGGGTAGTTTCATAAACTCCGGATTCAATTTCATATATATATATATATATATATATATATATATATATGAAATTGAATCCGAAGTTATGAATATGAAGTAAAATATACTGAATTATTGAATATGAAGTAAAATATACTGAATTATTGAATATGAAGTAAAATATACGGAAAAAACAAACAAAAATCCTAATATGCAATTATGCTGTTTTAATGTTAATATAATGTCATCGTCGGACGTATCGGTCTAGTAGACCATCATTCAATTGTCTGTTTTGAGTAGTCTTACTCCTATGTCCATCGCCTTTTCATGTTGAATTAAATATAGTCTAATGTTAATTATGTTTTATGAATATGTCCTGAAGATGTCATGGGGATGAGTTGGCCGGTGTTGAGATATCCTGCACCTCCAAAATGAAAGCTTTAAAGACGTCTGAAGGAATTCCATAGCCTTAGGTAGGAGCTTCATAGACTTCCACAGGTGTAGATTTATAGACTACCGAAGAAGCTTCAGAGATCTTCGAAGGACATTCATAGACTTTCATGGGACTTCATACATATCTGAGGTAAATTCATAGACTTCCGAGGTAGCGTTATAGATTTTCATAAACGTCCTAGGCAATTTCATAAATTATGACGAACCTTCATAGATTCCGAGGTAGCATCATAAACTTCCAATCAACCTCATAGATTTTCAAGTCAATTTCAAGGACCTCGATTAAATCTCATGGATATCATGGGTAGTTTCATAAACTCCTGATTCAATTTCATATATATATATATATATATATATATATATATATATATATATATATATATATATATATAGGTAAAATATACGGAAAAAAACAAACAAAAATCCTAATATGCAATTATGCTGTTTTAATGTTAATATAATGTCAACGCCGGGCGTTTCGGTCTAGTAGACCATCTTCAGTTCAGTTATCAGTTTTGATTAGTCGTACTCTTATGTCCATCGTCTTTTCATGTTGAATTAAATATAGTCTAATGTTAATTATGTTTTATGAATATGTCCTGAAGATGGTCTACTAGACCGAAACGTCCGACGTTGACATTATATTAACATTAAAACAGCATAATTGCATATTAGGATTTTTGTTTGTTTTTTCCGTATATTTTTCTTCATACTGTCGGATCTATATCCATATATTTTGCGACAATTTTCGAATTGAAAATATCATAAACACCTTTTTAGATACCTTCTCCAAAAACTGTTTTTTAAGGATAGAATCTGCTGTATTTGTTCTGAGATTAATTTCGTTACGAGAGCAAATGAATAAAATCTCTTACAATCAATGTCTGGGTTGGCATGCAGATTTTACTCATTTCCGTTGTAGGTATACACTTCTGACGGTTACCGGAAACACATAACATCCGAAAAAATAGAAGAACATTGAAATATAAACATTATTTTTTGCTCAAAAAACGAATATTGAACACGTACAAGCATTTCGGGGATACATTTCTTATTGATGTGCAATAAATGCATAGACTCCGATGTAGTACAGACAGACAGATAGATAGATAGATAGATAGATAGATAGATAGATAGATAGATAGATAGATATGAATAGACTGAGATAGATAGATAGATAGATAGATAGATAGATAGATAGATAGATAGATAGATAGATAGATATGAACTGGCTTATAATATATAACAAACTTAGATAGACAGATAAATATATAGACAGAGAAGATAGATAGATAGATAGATAGATAGATAGATAGATAGATAGATAGATAGATAGACAGGGTAGAAGATAGATAGAGAGATAAATATATAGACAGAGAAGAAGATAGACAGATAAATATATAGACAGAGAAGAAGATAGATAGACAGATAAATATATAGACAGAGAAGAAGGTAGATAGACAGATAAATATATAGACAGAGAAGATAGATAGAAAGATAGATAGATAGATAGATAGATAGATAGATAGATAGATAGATAGATAAGTATGGAAGAAAGACATATGCAGATAAAGGAATAAAATTAAAAATTATACCGAATAGAAACGGCTGTATAAAGAACTATGCCGACGGCATCTTTTTAATAACAATTGCTAAATATTTTGACCTCATTATTTACAGATATAATTGGTGAACATTTTCATCTTAAGCCAAGAATCCCTCGTAATCCACCCCATCATGCATGGATTTAAACTTAGCAAAATATCACCCCTTCAAAGATTAACGCCCAATACATGTTTGATCTCTATTTATGCCCGAATGCAAATTTATATACGAATACGAAGATTTACCGAGCGTAGATCGAATTCTGGCGTGTGAGGGGTGATAACGGATAAATTTATTCCATCTATTTCTCTTCTTTGTTTATTGGTCCCATTTTCGTATCATTAACGTATTGTGGTTTTCCATTTTTGCCTCTTTTAATTATGTATGTTCTTATCGCTTTAATTAAAGTTTTACCTCTAATAAGATCTTCATTTACGATAATAATTGATTAATCTATTTGTCTCTTTTCAATATATCCGTTTTTTTTATTGCTATCCTTATTCGTATATCACTGAAACGATGTCTATAACATCATATCTACGAAGACTCGCACATTATTCATGCAACATTTCTGTCAACACCCTTGTCATAGAAAAAACGCCTTCTATGTGCCGTGTCCCTGCAGGAGGTGGGTGATCATGGCTCTCTATAACTTCAGGTTGATCCAACCTCTAAGTAATGTTATTCTTATTTCTCCCTGTCCCTGTTCAGTCAGATACTTATACAATTTCGTTAGTCAAATTACATGTTGTTCGTTTCTCTATCCCTCTTGCCTTCAATGTGTACTATCTTTTCCTCATTATGTAACCCACAAATATCATCCTTATCTGTCAGGAAATTACTCAGCGTTCACTGCTTTATTAGAATATTGATATCTTTTGTTTGGAAAGCTTTTCCTTGTTTCGAATAAAAATTAACATATCCAATGCGCTGTTTGGTTTCTGGATTTTCGTCCTTGGCTAAAACAATTAAAATAAATTAAAGTAAATGTTTTCTCTTGCTGGATTCTCCAATTTGTATGTTTCATCTTGAGATTTTTCTCTTCGTAACAAGCATACATTTTTTTCTCTTGTTAACAAGCATAAATTTTCACTTCTTAAAATTGATACTTAGTCCTTTATTCAAATTTTCCATTACTACTTTGTGTGGTGGCCCTTAAATTTAATTTAAATACTGATAAACTCGAAATTTTTATGTGGGCTTATAATTATCATGTTCTAAGAGTGTCTATATTCCCAAACACTAACTCTCTTACAAGGTAGATCTTGGCTAAACCTTTGGTGCTTTAGACGTCACACCAAAGATGGAATGCAAACCGAAGATGATCAGTTCTTTTCCCGAGTCCCATGTACAGGTTTGACACCCATTTTAAACACGGTATTATGCCATATTCCTTCCGTGGGAGTGTCCGAATTAATCCCGACAAAACCGCATTTATTTTTGTCACAATTTTACGCAATATTTGCGCATGCACAGACAAGCAACTCTACACAAATTTCATTTAGTTTCAGATTTCCCAGCCGTAATACACACTAATTTTAATTTATATATATATATATATATATATATATATATATATATATATATATATATATATATATACATACGTACGTATGGTTGTGCAGCTATTACATTACGCCTATCAAAACATACCATTGATATTATATACTCTGGGTCAGTACCGACGAAGTTGCACACACCCATGTCTCAAATCAAATCATCGACATGGATACAGTTTTTTTTTTTTTTTTTTTTTTAATGTGAAGGAGATGTAAATGATATTGAAAAAAGCTCAAACTGAGAAACTGAAATTGACATCATAATTGCTGACAAAGCCAGTTCCGTTAAAATGTAAGATTAAAAATATAAAATGAAATTGATATACGAAAAGTCAGAGAATGGCAGTTTTCAGAGTCAACTTTGATATAAAAAAATGTGAGAAGGAAAATGATTATTTACATTATTTACATTATTCGAACTGTTATCTTTATCTTTATTGCCATATTCACAACATCTCGGTCGTTGTACGCTCCGGCTTTCTTCAGGTGATTGGAATTTCGAACCGAACCCTTTATTTCGTCCACCTTTGTAGATTGTTGCAGTTCTACGTGCCATGCCTCTTCTGGATGTCTCAGTTAATTCTCTTTAATACAACTCTCAAAGGTTTTTGGTTCGCCACTGTTGTAGCCTGGTATTGACAACAGAACGCTTTGAGCCTAGTCCTCAATTCCTCAAGGGCGCATGGCCCAGTGGATAAAGACGTTGATGAGATCCAGTGATTATACCCGTAAAGTTGGGAGTTCAATACCAGGCCACAGCCAACCGAAAATGGAGGTTATATTAAAGGGAAATAACTGAGACATCCGGAAAAGTCATTGCTTGTAGAACTAGAACAATCTACCCCGGTGGACGCAATAAAGGGTTCGGTTCGAAATTCCAATCATCTGAAGAAGGCCAGAGTGTACAACGGATGAAACGTTGTGAATATGGCAATGAAGATGAATACTCATAAGTCCGCATAATGTAAATAATGTATACAATCATATTACCTCATCTCAGAGATATACACAGGAAAATGCTTCTGAAACAGAAAACAGTTCCTAATCAGTCAAGAAGGAATTTTCAGACGATTTTCGGGTAGAAACCCTATGAATGTTCCAAGATTTCTGGAATATCAATAAGAAATTAGAATATATGAATAGCAAATTGGAAACAGTAGTTGAAAAGGGAGCAGAAATAACAGCGCAAATAAAGGGAAATGCTTATTTAAAACTGGAGAAATATGCAGATAAATCCGTAACGAGAAAATTAGAGGCGGGTTGGAAAAAATACTAAGAGAACGAATGGGGCAAAAGGTTGCTGATAGATCGACGAAAACGCACAAGTAAAAGACTAGATAACAAAATGAACAGATCATATCACATTGAATCATCGGTTCTCATACAATCACCGAAGTTAAACAACATCGAGACTGGTCAGTTCATAGATGGTTGACCACTTTGGAATACCAGGTGCTGTTAGCGTCGATATAATGGATAATGGCTCGGAATTGTTAATTGGAGAGCAAAGTTCCAATTTCAGTTGGATCCGTTACATTAACTTACGCGTAAATACCATTGGGAACGCTATATCTCTTCTCCCCTCAGTTATGGGTTAATTAGTAAGTCATGTATTACTGAATAATTATTATCTGAAAAAAAATCTTTAAATATTTCTGGCTTTAAATAACTAGGAAACGAATCAATCAATCAATTAGTGGTCATTTGTTGAAGTTTCTTTTTGCAGCAGAAGTTGTAAAAAGTGATATATCCGATGGGTCGGTGAAAATTATCGGCCAAAACAAGAAACTTTCCCCTTCACCCCACCTGAAAAAAATAAAATGATATTTGGTCAGATCTTAAAAATTGGGTCGGGCCGAGAATATATATTTCCCCTTGCACATGTGTTTGCTTACGTGTGCATGTTTTTTTTATGTTTAAATGGCTTACCACTATACCACATTGAAACGCCAATCCTCATACGGAAGTTAAGCAACGTAAAGTCTGGTCTGTATCTCTGGAGACCCGCTTGGAAATACCAAATGCTATAAGTTAGGACGTGCGGCTGGTGTAATGGATAACGACTCGAAATTGGAAACCTTAGAGCTGAGTTCCAATTTCAGTCGGGTTCTTTAGATTCCCATACGCGCAGTTACCCTTGAGACAGGTATGATTCCACCTATTCTTAGGTTAATTACTAGGACTTGTACCTGAAATTATTATCATCGGCAAAATTCTTCTTCTTTTTGTACGAACCCTGTCCCTTCTAAACATTAGCGTTCATAACCCTCCACAATTTCCTGTCCTTTGTAGCTCTTAATAGATGTTTTTATCTTAAGCTTGTTTACATCTAAGTTCGTTCATATCTATCTATCTATCTATCTATCTATCTATCTATCTATCTATTTGTACTACATCGGAGTCTATCCATTTATTCAAACAAGCTATGAGTCGTTTTCCTCTCTGCCTTCAGTAAATCCTGTGAGTATCTAATTTGCCGAGATATCTATCTATCTATCTATCTATCTATCTATCTATCTATCTATCTATCTCAGTCTGTTCATATCTATCTATCTATCTATCTATCTATCTATCTATCTATCTATCTATCTATCTATCTATCTTCTTCTCTGCCTATATATGTATATGTCTATCTAAGCTTGTTTATATCTAAGTTTGTTAATATCTATCTATCTATCTATCTTTCTATCTATCTATCTATCTATCTCAGTCTGTTCATATCTATCTATCTATCTATCTATCTATCTATCTATCTATCTATCTATCTATCTATCTTTCTGTACTACATCGGAGTCTATCCATTAATTCAAACAAGCTGAGTTGTTTGACTCTCTCCCATTTGCCTTCAGTAAATCCTGTGAGTATCTAATTTGCCGAGATCTCTTTCCTCATTATGTCCCTTACAGATAAAAGCGATGTCTCTTAATAATATCAAGTAGAAGTGTTTTTATATTTCCATTGCTCACATGATCGGTCAATGATATTTTTCGCACCCTTCTATAGAACTACATTTCTGCTGCTTCAAGTTTTTTCTTCATGTGTGTGGAGACTGTCCAGCATTCACTGCTATATAGGAGGACAGATATTACATAGCATTTCCGTACTCTTTTCTTTGTTTCTAACGAAATTACTCCGTTTCTTAATACTTTGCTCATAAAGCCTCGTTAGCTATCCCAACGCGCCTTCGGACTTCAGTGTCGCATTTTCCGTCCACTGGTAAAACAGTTCCCAGGTATTCAAATTATTGTACTTATTTTGGTATCACCAATTTATAATTTGCATACTGGACTGTTCCTTTTGTGAACAACCATTCATTCAGTCTTCTTGCAATTGATGTTTATTCCTTTCTTCTTGCTTTCCTTCACTACCTTCTGTACGAGTTCTTGTAGTTCCCTTTCTGCGTCTGCTATCAACACTGTGTCATCTGTATATTTAAAATGATTAAGTTTGTGGCCGCCAATAATGAATCCTGGTAGGACTTCTAATTACATCAGAATCGCCTCGCTGGTTAATAAGTCCGGTGAGAAGACACATCCTTGTCTTACACCACTTTTTTATATTTAATGAACGCATTTTCTGGCGGTATAAAGACACTTTACTGCCAGTATAAGTTCTAGAATATTCAATTATACTTCCCAAATATGCCAAGGTTCCTGAGCAGCTCCAGCAGCTCTTTGTGTATAAAACGCTTTTGCATCATTTATATACAGATATACACATTCTTCTGCATTTGTATTGCCCTTTCTGTTATCCTTTTGAGCGTAAATATCGTCTTCCTTGTTCCAGCGTCTTTAACGAACCCGCACTGTACTTGTCCTATTTCAGGTCTGAGTATGCTGCTTGCGCTATTCATCAGGATTCAAATGAATTTTTATGATATGACCCATTAAATAGAGTTCAAATTCGCTTGCATCTGGCTTCTTATAGAGATCTATAAAGAATAGATCTACTTAGGTCATCCGTTATATCCCCGATTTTGAAGATTTCATTTATTATGTCTGTAATCCTGTCTATGCCGAAATTATCTAAGGTTACCAGCATCCGTGTTATAATTCCATCTGGTCATACTGCTTTTTGTCTGTTCAATTTTGCCAGTGCAGCTTCCACTTCAGATTTTAATATTTCCGGTTCTTCAACTAAAAATATTATCTGGCTTTAAATAAACTAATAAGCTGTAAAATCAAATCAATCAATCTGTTTACATCTATGTGCGTGTGAGTACGCGCGGATCTATATTTGTCTGTTTTAATGAAATTAAGTATAAAAAAGAGAATAAAAGCAGAATGATAAGCTGAAGATTAAAAACAAAGAAATTACAATTAATTTAATAATGGAATTACTGGAAAGAATTCTTCAAGAATGCTATATTTAAAAATAGCAGCCATAATGCTTTTATAGAGAGGCGAAGCGACGAAGACGTGGCTCTACAGACGATTAACTTTCAAGGAGGAATATTTTAAACGAGTAGAGCTAGGCTGACACATTTCTAGTACGCATTCTGAAGAGAGAAAGCTTGGAAAATTTAACACTCATCGGGTATAATGAGAAAAAGGGGTACAAAAAGAAATAATAGATGGCAAATCGAGGACAAAGAAGGGTGGTAAAGAAGTGAAGGTTCTTAGAGATACAAGATTCTGGAGGTTGTGGAGAGCCATGAACACGTACCTCCTGAAGGGAAACGGCATATAAACGAAGAGTAATAACAAACGACGATAAGGATGACTTTAAACCTGTGTTTCCCAATCTTTTTTTTTCAACCAGTGCTCCCTTTGGGCACAAAAATTTTTTGTCAACAAAAAAGTCAAATTAAATTTCTAGTTTTATACTGAATTCATAGCAAGATAACATTTAAGTAATAAATCAAGAATAATTTTAATATTTTTTTCATTTCTATTATAAATTCCAATGATTAAAATGCTAAACAAACGTTTTATTTAATAGCTTATCTCAACGTTTTCAATTCCATGGTTACATTTGGTGCTTACTGGCTAAGGCTTTTACTCTAAGGTTCATTTTAAAGCTTTTCTCAATGTTTTCAATGCGATGGTTGACTTTGGTGCTAAGGCTTTTATTCTAGGTTCCTGCTACTTAGAGGTAATCGTAAATCTATTTTTAGGCCGTTTTTTGTTTAGGAAAAAGCTGTGTAACTGCGTTGAAACCACATTCAGCCATATAGAAAACATAGAAGAAAAGTTTAATTAGCTTCACACAGCTTTAGATAACTTTCAGAAATTTCTTTTTTTTAGCCAATATTGTATAATCGTTGAAATTTTAAAGAAAATGGACAAATGCTAACCGCTCTCCTGAGTATGTTCACCGCCCCCAAATGAAATAAAAAAATCCTAGTCCCCCCACCATTCAACATAACAGAGCCCACAAGGGGGCGCTAACGCCAACGTTGGGAAACTCTAGTATGAAGGATATAACAAATAACAATGCTTGTATGTAATATTATTTCAAATAATAAAAAAATATGGAGAAAAGCGGAGACGACTAAATATTAAAATTATCACAGACACACAAAACACAGAACTAGATACTCAAGTCAAAATCAACTAGAAAGACGAGCTATCGATTATTTTGCAAAAGTTAAAAGACAGTGTTATGCTTCTGTACTGCCGTAACCAGGTGAAGGCAATGAAAAAGAGAAGCAAAGATGATAGTGTGACAGACAAAGGGCATGGAAAATGTGTAATACTGTTTTGACGGTAGATGCAGTACCAGTAAGACTTCATACAGTGATTACTGTTAGCATTACATGATGGAACACTATGCAAATTATTTTGCATGATAAGATATCTTTTTTTTTCTGTTATTTTAAAATTCTTGCATGCTATTGCAGCAGAATTGCTGCATATACTTTTCCGATATTCAATTCACCAAACCGATAACTTCTTGCATATACAGGCGACTAGTTTATATGAGTATAAATGTGCCTACACAAGAAGACATTCTAGTGGAGTGGAATGGTTAACAAGCCCAATAGTGAAGGGATTAATGTCTCATTGGGTTCCCTGTTACTATGGCCCTATATTCTGCAAAGTTAAATATGCTTTCTAAAAGACAAATATTATGAAACAGGTAAATGTCCTTAAAACAAAGAAAAAATGTGAAACTACAAACACAACACTCATGTCCCTACGATTGCCTTTAAGCATGAAACAGATGGTCGGCTCTGGGGGTTGACTTCAATGTCTATATACAGACAGACATACATATATATATATATATATATATATATATATATATATATATATATATATATATATATACATAAATACATATAATATATATATACATATACATATATATATATATAAATATATATATATATATACATAAATATATATATATATATATATACATATATATATATAAATAAATAAATATATATACATAAATATATAGATATATATATACATAAATATATATATACATAAATATATATATATACATAAAAATATATATATATATACATAAATATATATATATATATATACATAAAATATATATATATATACATAAATATATATATACATAAATATATATATATACATAAATATTTATATATATACATAAATATATATATATATATACATAAATATATATATATATATACATAAAATATATATATATATATACATAAATATATATATACATAAATATATATATATATACATAAATATATATATATATATACATAAATATATATATATATATACATAAATATATATATATATATATATATATATATAATATAATTGGTTTAAAATATGTTTTTTTACTACACAGTTCTGACCATGTTTCAAAAATGGAAACTAAAAGCCACGAATTTAATTTTGCGATTAAATTAAAGACATTAGTTCCATTTCATCCTCAAGCGAATTTAATTAATTAATAGTTTTCCATGTCGACAAATATGAAAATTTCTCCGATTAACCATTAATATTGTCTTCTCTGCTGGTTAAATCGGAGAAATTTTCATATATACATATATATATACATATATATATACATATATATATATATATATATATACATATACATATATATATATATATACATATACATATACATATATATATACATATACATATATATATATATATATATATATATATATATATATATATATATATATATATATACTATCATCCACAGACAGACCATTTCACTGTGTAACTGCTCTTCAGTGTGGTTAGACGTCCGATTTCTTGAAGCCGAGATCGAAAACCGACTAATGTGGTATCATATATATATATATATATATATATATATATATACACAGAAAAAAATGTGATGAAAAGTCCTCAGTCCGAATCACATCCAAAATGATTTGAAGAATAGTGGATTAAATCGTGGAAGAAATCACTGGATATACCTACTTAGAGCAAGTGATCAATTAAGAGAAAGATTAAATCTTTTGTAGCCTCTTTCCACAGAATCAAACCTTATCATCTTCTCTCCGTTCTATCACTGTTTCTATGGACGGGCATCATTCACAATTTCAGAACTTTACCCCCAACAGATCCAACATGTGATGTACACAGAAACAAGCCACCCTCATTACCTCCATATTTTAATTTTAACGGGTAAGTTCCACTCATACACCTCCCCCGCCCCCACAGGAACTGCTGCTTTGTGGAACAGGTTTTCCTGAGTGTTTCCTGTACGTTACAATCTTCATGTCAAGAGTCAATCTTTACTTATCCTCCGTACCAACTTCTTCTTTTCTACTTACATTCACATTATTTAACTCACTCACTAATCCTCTACAAA